TGACTTCTACTGATTTGTTATTATTTTACAATTTTTTTTATAAATTAACTGTCGTACTTGCTAAGTGTCCACTAAGTGAAAATCTACAAAAAAACGCAGTGTTTAATAATGGACTACATTTTTAACCGAATCCAAAAATATTCCGTAACTTAGTCAACCCTTCCTCCGAGGAGTTTTTGTTAAAACATCTTAATTAACTGTTAATCTTGATAGCAAACATGGGGGGCAGGGGGGAGCTGACTGTGATGATCGTATCGCTACCCAGTCTATACCGAATAATTGTGTGTTTTGTATATGATTTTTATTAATTCAATGCTTGTATTCTGGTTGACAAAATAAATCTCCCTCTCGTATTCTGTCATGTTTTTTAACCTAGTTACGAGACCGGTATTGTACCATTATAGGCTGGAGATATTCATCTTTTTTGTATACCGGTACCGTACAACTTGTCCTGCCTATTGGCAAGATGGCCAACATTTTTGTTCGTAGGCCTATTTCAGTATTTACTAAATAATTTAGTTTTCACCTCTTGCAGTCTTGGTACGGTACCGGTAGTTTAAATAACGCGTCCGCATGCCTTCAGTAAATGATTGCTAGCTGTACAGGTATAAATGCGTAAAACCAGTAAACAAACGTGATAGAAATGGTACGGGTTATAGATTGCCAATGTTAAACGCTTCCAGTACCGGACGGACACGGACCCAAAGCGACAATAGGGCCGCATTTGCAGCGCATATCCCACAGAGCACGGCGCGTTGGCAGAATCTCATGGTCTAATGAGAATGACGTCATCGGAAACACCGTGCTCATTAAAATTTTAATGAACGATTATCAAAAATCTTGACCGTGTTTATCATGATAAAAATATCAAAAAAGATGTAAAAAATATTCTATCTTCAAAACGGCTCACGTATACAATGAAAGATATCTAGAAAATTACAAAAAATGCAAATTTCTGCTCTGGTGATCACATTTCCCATAAGAGCTAATGTTAAAAAAAATTTTTTACATCACTTTTATTTTTTGCGCGTAGGATGGGTTTTTAATGAATAAGGTCTATTCTCAGTATCTAGAATGTCTTATCCCCAAAATAGCTAATCAGTTTCAATTACATTATTTTTTAGGTTTAAAAATATATATTTCATCAATATAACACGTTCTGCACACCCACCGAAATAAGACTAAGATTAAATATAAAGAATAAAACAGCAATGCACCCAATATAAAAGCCAAGCAAGGTGAATTGGACTAGGAATGTGAATATCACAAGTGCACGTCTTACTATATTGTAGTATAAATTCAAATTAATACGCGTTAAGCTAGAATCCGAGATGCAAAAACTCAAAAATACTTAGCCGAGGTTGTTTTGCCTTTGTGACGTCACAATAGTCCTGTGGTAACAATGATTATTTATTTATGACGAAACAATTGCACAAATGTGCATGTCACACTAAATCTCCATTTTTATGGGTTCGGAATTCTTAAAATAAAATCTGAGTTAACAGACAAGTGCGCAGCATTACATAAATACCTATTTTATAAAAAACTCAAAATCGCCAAAAATGACTTACGCAATTCGGTTATTAGCGTGACGACATACATGTACCAGCGCTGCGCGCATTAACCCATATTCAATTCATTTATTATTTTCTCTCATTCTGCCGTCAAACCTATGTTAGCACAGATGCCATGTACTCGGCATATTTATAAATTACATAAAGAACCGCCGTTACGTAACGACGACCGTTTAGTTATGTAAGAATTGTAAAGCGGACATTTTCCGTATTTGCGACCACACAGATATGAACGACTTAAAACACGAAACAGGCCATGCGACACCTTACTTGAATAGACAGTACATCGATAAATCCGAGCATTAGTAGTTTGATAACAATTTTTTTGCAGAGAATATATTTCATTGAGGCGACCAATCAAGGATCCGAATCCAGAAGAGTAAGTCAGAATATTTGAACGAAAGTATAAATTTTTTTATTTCACTTATCTGACTCAATACGATAGCCTAATTAGCAAATAGAAAGTAGAAACAGCTAGAATTGAGATATTCCCATATTATAAGAGATTTGAAATTGGAACACAAAAATGTAATAAATTCGGGGGAAGGGACATACCATTGGCACATACAATCGCGTTTCGTCGCTGTCAGTAATTAAGTAACAAAGGAAAACTTGCAGATGAGCTTTCAAATGGGTAATGATATATTTTAAACTTTTGACAGGTCCTGTATGAGCTGACTGGACCTTTTCGAAACAAACTTTTACCTATCGATCTTAACACGTTGGGGAATAGATATTATTATTGATTTTTCCTTTATTAAGCTTGATGAATAAAATTGAAATTTTTGTCAATCAAAGTCGATTGTGTCCAACTGTGGAAGGCAAAATCAACATCTCCCTTCCCTTCCAATTATTAAAGTATTATGTAACGTAGTTATATAACCAAATTTTACGATGTTCGTCACGATTATATCACACAGCGTTAAGTTTAAATACGAAAGTGCGTTGCAAAGTTTTTTTTGAAAATGTTCAAGATAAGAGTCGTTCTAACACCTTGCTATGAAAATGTAAACTGGCAAAATGGGGCGTAGGAATACATGTGTAATATGTAGCAGCGCGGTCCACTTTAGTATATTTTCAACTAATTTATTATTTGTTTATTATTTTCTCTCAATCTCCCAGTGTATCCGTACTTGAACGTCCACCGGGTAAGTATGTCTGGGACTTAATCCACGTAAATAGAATTATTAAAAATTATATAACGTAGTTATATAATGTAGTTATATAATTTATATCAACTATACTCACGGTGATGCCACTGGGTAGGTTCGCTTCGCAATGTTCGACAGTCTATTGCACAGCGTTGTTGCGTATAGGAAAGACTTAAAAGTAACGGTTTGAGGGTTTTATTGAAGCTTGTAAAATTATTGTTAGAGTCAGATGGCAACAAAGCGATTTACCACAGAAAGGTTAAAAGATAAATCCATCACAATTGCAGAAAGCGTGCATTTGCTTATTACAGAATCTCCAACTTTGCTTTTCTTCGTATTACAGTAACTGTTTGGATATATTTTTGTAGTTGTTGTGGTTTATCATGTTGTCATTGTTTTTCGAAAAAAAATCACTTTTCCTCGCAACTAACTACGATCGCCATTTCAAATTATCAGTACCTAAAGATGGAGGAACTCGCTAGAAGACTATTACTTTTGTTTGTAATTTGGTCTTTCAAATCTCATCTCAGTCCCATGGGACCAAAAATAACCTTCGAGACCATATTTGAACAGTTCCTCGTTTTGAAATGAAAGCTATCGGCGCTTGGCATATTTGTTACCTCAGCACTAGCTCACGTGACACGGCAGGGAGATAAAACTTTATTGCGCGTCGCGGTATGCATTTTCGCAGTATGCATATGCGAGATAGGTAGGAAATCGCAGTTTCATCTTTTATCGCCGAATTTATTCCTCATCGCATCGACTGTCAAACAAATATCGATTGGCGCAAAGTGGTCGTGTAAACAATGGAAAGCGGTTTCTGTCGTCTTATTCGTTTGGCTCAGAGATCTCACTAATTGTTCCTATTATGGTGACATTTTATTGGAAATTACCAAGTGTTTAAGAAGTTATGCAACAAAAAATTCTTTACAAGTGCTGTAGACCCGTTAGGCATTACCCCTCTCGAAATTATCATGCAGGTGCGATGAGATCTTATTACCAATCGAGCGATCTGAAAGTTTCAAAAAATTATCGAAAACTTCGGTTTTTATTTATGCTTTAATGACTATATAAGATCAACACAGCCCCGTTACGACAACAGACGACCGCCAACAATCTGATGAATTAACTCTTGTTTTGGGCAGTCAATTTACGGTAATGATAGGACTTATGCTCATGTAACCTCATTCTGTGACGTATTGTGTTATGTAACAGAAAAGAACGAGAGAACGTGAAATCGAGAGAATATAGCGAATGTCGCGCAGGCGGGTGAATGCGCATTTCATTATACTGGACAGTTAAGTATAAGAACTGTGATGGCAGGTTGTCACTGATTTTACGAAATGAGCATTCATTAGCAAAGTAGATAATATATTATAGCAATTAGAAAATACTGCTAAGTATATTTTATTCATATTTAAAATAATATGCAGTTCGTTCAGCAAGCTTTATCACTCTTTGTATATGACAAATAACAGAATAAGCGAGAGAAAGCAGTAACACCTACATTGAATTGATCGACTTCAAATATGATCAAGTTTATTGAATGTTATGAATAGACAAGTTTACCCGTTAGTAGTCAATTCAGGAAACCTCATTTACCCATATGAGATCGAAAATATCAACTATACTCAGCCAAACAAACTTACGTAAGAGTATAAAATTACATAATTCTAGAGTCTAGACACGGAACACTTGACGCTCCTTCTTTGCTCGAAACAGTGAAACGAATGAGTTTATTGTTACGTAATGGTAACTTTTTTGGTGATTTGTCGGCTTTAGAAAACAGCCTGTCACAACGTATGGATCGTCCTTTGAATGTAGGGCAGTAATTTTTTTTAAAGTTGTCCCTGTTCGTGACATCAGAAAAAATAATTTACGGTATAAGATTGAAATTCGTCTCAAAATCACGGTATCAATTCATGACTTCATGGAGACGCTTAATTTAAATAAGATAGGTATAAAATCGAGATAGGGCAATTGAACATGATTATTGGTTTTTCTCACGATAAAGATATAATTGATATATGTACAAAATAGATATTATAAATCCGTAAACTTCAGTTTCTCAATAATTTACATCTAAAAACGGACTAAAATAAAAGGAAAACTGTTATGGATTTTTCATCAACGAAACTTCATATATTGGGATACGTTTATGCTGGTTACATTTCAAGTTTATCAATTAAACCGCAAACAAAATAAAATAAAAACGCCGTACGCGATTGCCTGGTGGGCCTACGCTTTGCAACCTTCATTGCGTTATTGCGCAGACAATACCAATCCTCCATTTTTAATTTCCAGTTATATTAAATGATCTGTGTGTGCAATATATATCAGAGACTTTAACAAATTCGACGAAAGCTTTGTGTTACGGGATTTTTTAATATTAATTCAACTTTGAAGATAAACCGGCATTGGGAGTATAAACTTTAAACGACGGAATGGGAGAGGTTTACGTCATGAAAAGGCTGATTTCAAGATTGGTAGAACAATTACGACAAGACGCTCAAGATATTGACGTTTCTGGTAGGTGTATTTTATTATTACAATTTTAGTATTGTGGAAATCTCATTAATCGTGAGTTTTTAAAATTTGTATTATTGGTTGTATTATAAGAATGCCACTGGTCAAGTATTATTCCTGCTGCGCCAGGGCTTACAATGTTGGTATTGTCGAATTACCATCAAGCATGGAGGTTTTTAAATTGGTATTGTTGATTGCTTTTTGAAAATCTGTCTGCAAAATTTATTTATTTCTCTAAAGTTTTAAAAAATAGTCAATATAAATTACCACCTACAATACATTCGTCATTTGTACAACATACGTTTGCCTCGTATTATAAATAAAATTTGAGCGCCTAAAATTTTCTGCAACCTTTTAATTTTTTTTTCAAGTTTATCCTGCTGAAAGGTTGTGCTCGGGATGTCAAGAGTTTCTCTATCACCCTGTAACATCACCATGTGGCCATAGCTTTTGCGATGAATGTTCTAAGGGTTCTGTAATGTGTATCCACTGCAAACATCAGTTAACGCTGTCACAATTGAGGTATTGTACTTTTAAAGCTTCAACACTGATATCTACTGGTTAATAAATGGGGTCTAGCTTACAAAAAAATCAAGTTATCAACGATGGTTTGTTCCAGATGTGCAGACAGATATTTATATTATAACTTTATAGAAATCGATTGTCTCGCCCAATCGTGCTTCTAACCATTGTTTTCTAAGCGATCACTTCCTGTATAATCTCTATATTACTATGGCATTCAATCAGGCATAATTATGTAACACAAAGACACATCGTGGTCCGACAATCCTCTAGAGTAGAGTCTAGACAAAAGTGTTTCAGGGATGGAAATGGCGGTCAAGTGCAAATGATCGACTCTTTAGGTTTTACATATATTAGTTGATTAGATGTTTGAATAAGTTGTGGAATGAAATTAATACATGAAAATAAATACTAAGTCATCGACTCGATATTAAAATTGTACCCCGTGGGGCAGAATATCCAAATTTAAAATTTGATTTTGCCAACTTCAACAGGGTGAACGTAACACTGAATTATGTGTTAGAGATGTTATTCCCGGACGACTATTTATATTTTCAACTTATATCAGAAGGCGACAAATTGCTTCAAAACTCTTTGCACGATGAAGCTTTATCCAAATACAATGAGGCTATATCACATAGTGAGTAGATATTTTCTCTTTTACATTACGGTCATTTCCAATATTTAGCTCTGGAGCATGTCTATGGTGGCCCATCGTTGTCACGCGTAAAATTTAAAAAAAAATGAAAAAATAAAATGAAGAAGCGAAAATGAAAAAATTGTTGTGAAAAAACATAAAAATAATTGAAAAAAAAAAGAAAAAAAAAAAAAAGAAAAAAAAATTAAAAATAAAAAAAACGAAAAAAAAAAAATAAATAAAAAGAAAAATTGGATAAAAAGAAAATAAAAAGGTTGACAACGATGGTCCGCCTCGTGGCCCATCGTTGTCACGCGTTTTTATTTTTAGAAATTTTGATGCTGCTTGGGACCAACGTTGTCAGGCTTAATCCTACACGCACAAATGTGTTTCCTGGGTTTCTAACTCACTACTGATTTTCATGAGCAATATCCAATAAATTCAAAACGAAAATGTTCTATAAATTCTCCATGCTAAGTTCAACCACAAGCAATATATTTATAATAATGATAGGAGAATATAGAATTGAATACGAAAATTTGTTTTTACGTGTAAAAGGTAATTGAATTGGAAAATGCTGCTTAACTGCTCAGTTGTCTGGACACTCGTGCGATGCCGGTACGGTACCGTCTGACCGTACCGGTACCCATGCAATCACTCATGAAAGAATGGGAGATACGGATAGTCTTGTAGAATATAGACTACTGAAACACTCTCTGCGCCTGCCTCATACCGTACAGCCGTAACGTACCGATCCAGACAAATGATGAATCGCCCGTGCTCAACCATTTATTTCAATCCATACCTCGACTCACTATATTCTACTAGGATCGAGGTATGGATTGAAATAAATGGTTGAGCACGGGCGATTTATCATTTGTCTGGATCGGTACGTTACGGCTGTACGGTATGAGGCAGGCGCAGAGAGTGTTTCAGTAGTCTATATTCTACGAGACTATCCGTATCTCCCATTCTTTCATGAGTGATTGCATGGCTACCGGGACGGTCAGACGCAAAGCGACTATAACCGACTATCGGTATTTGGTAAGACGGTACGGTACCGGCATCGCGAGTGTCCAGACAACTGAGTAGTTAAGCAGCATTCTCCAATTAAATTACCTTCTACACGTAAAAACAAATTTTCCGAATTTTCGTATTCAATTCTATATTCTCTTATCATTATTATAAATATATTACTTCTTGTTGAACTTGTAGCATTGAAAATTTATAGAACATTTTCATATTGAATATTGCTCAAGAAAATCAGTAGTGAGTTGGAAACCCAGGGAACACATTTGTGCGCGTAGGATTATGCCTGACAACGTCGGTCCCAAGCAGAAGCAAATTTTCTAAAAATAAAAACGCGTGACAACGATGGGCCACGAGGCGGACCATCGTTGTCAACCTTTTTATTTTCTTTTTATTAAATTTTATTTTTTTTTTTTTTTAATTTTTTTTTCTTTTAATTTTTTTTTTCCGTTTTTTTTTCGTTTTTATTTTAAATTTTTTTTTTTTAATTTTAATTTTTTTTTTTCAATTTTTTTTATGTTTTTTCACAACTATTTTTTTATTTTCGGTTTTTTTATTATTTTTATTTTCAATTTTACGCGTGACAACGATGGGCCACCATACATGTCTTCCCAACCGCCAGTCCGCGGACATTCGTTGCGTAACAAGCCGTTTTATCGACAGGCGTTGAATTTTATTTGACATATAGAGCCAAATGGTTGCCCGACGGTGTTTAGACCGACGAGCAATCGGCTGCCATTAATTCTAGCAAGTGTACAAATCTACACACGCTTGATTTAGTCCGTTCTGATCCAGCCCATAAGTGAACTTAATAATGATACATAATATATTGATATTGCTGTACCTGAACGATAAAATAAACAAAAAAAGCGAAATATGAAGCTTTGGAGTATCACGTCACGTATCGAAATACTTCCAAAGATATGACTCAATTACCCGTTGCTATCGCCATATTAACTGTGATCTGTGTCTGAATTCATACCGAATTTCATATTGACGAGGTGGTAGATATTACCACGAATATTTATATTCCACTATTTTAAGCTGTTGTAAATATTTCCTTACCATTGAGTTACTGGATTATGTAACCATTTTTATGGTATCGCTTGAATAAAGAGTTATCGGTAATTTGTTGGAAACTGCGATTGAACAAGAATATCGCATCTCGCCAAGGTAATTAATACACTTGCAAAATATCATCGATTCAATTTACGTCAATAATCGAAATCTATTCTGTTTTAGTTCCTGGAAAAAATCTTGCGGTATTAAAAAGAGCCATAGCATATAATAAAGAGGGACATTGGAAAAGGGCTCTCAGTGATGTCGTTTCGGTAATATTGCGAGGCAAATATGCTTCAAAGGTTGGTATGAGTACTACTTGATTTTCATTTCTACTGTATGAAGAATAAGTCAATGACGGAGATTGTTTATTACTTATCCATGCAACAAAAATATTTGGTCTGAATTAGGAAAACCACCAATTTTATGCACCTTCATAGTTTTAAGGAGTCATTAAACATTCCCCACGCTGAGATTTGAAATATCTGAAATGAGCGTATTTTTGCCATTTTAAAATCACTTGATGGTATTACATCTTTTTGAATTCACGAGGAGTTATTTGCCCTTGCACAGGCTATTAGAATCGCGTCGTGATTGACATAAGTTAATTTTTGAAGTTAATAGTAATAGATATAAGGATTGTGAAGCACCTATTAGTTGTCGATTTTAAACACACTGTATTGTTAATACTCGATACTGTTGTTCAGAGTAAAGAAATGCCCACGCAAGAACTACTATTTCACGAGGAGGAAATCATTGAAAAAATAGTTCAGGTAAAATTATGTTTAAAGGCATGATCAAATCAAGTTGGCAACTTTTGGTATACAAAGCTTACTATAAAGCACAGTTTGTGGAATCTGTGTCATTTGTTCTGAAAACGTAGAATCAAATTAAAGTTGCCCAAGAATTACATTGAATCGAACATGGACCTGCAGCATTTTTTATCTTGATTAATAATTTTAGATCGCTTTTGTAGATTATACTAAATGTTAATTTCCACATGATTCTTTAAACATTGCACTTTTTACTTGTGTCTCAAATTGAATAGTGAGCAGTCTCAGATTCACTACACAAACAATACATTAAAATCAAGTAATTTAAAAAAATGTTTTTGATGCATTCTTGCATTAATTGTACATAAAGTCTTGAGAATTTTACCATAGCTGCTTTATTGGTACCAACTATCTGAAAGTTAGTACAGACGCCAAGTTCAAAATATTGCTTTTCATTTTCGGTGGGACCAAAGGCATTAATTATCTTCGGTTGGGTTTCATCTTAGGTATGATTCTTCATAAATATATCAATCTTATTTAGCGAATATGCTGATATCATTGGTTAAACACTGTTTTACAGGCATTTACAGAGGAAATTTCACATAAGAATTTTTCCCACCAATGCAGTTCATCAACATCCCAGAAGTGGACGTATCCCATAGCAACGTATTCGGAAAATTCTTCGAGCATCCAATCACATGACGAACTTTGCTCAACTGAAGACCAAATTAGCGAAGATCCTATATTAATGGGTAAACGTTTTGAAAAACTCACATAAAATTTCAATTTCATTTTAATAAAAAATATTGTCTTGATGCTGTTATTTGCGAAACAGATGTTTAACCCTTCCCTATGCACTCGATGTTCAAATATAAGAAACTAATAATAACATGGACTGTACTATGGCGTTAATCGCCATTCGATTCCTTCATAGTTTTTCGATATAGAATAGTGAATTAATAACTGAATATTTTACTATTTTCAGATTTACAACGTTTTCTTGAATTAGTGATTGCGGCAAATCTACCATTACTAACACGGAGTCATTCCGCATCTTACTGTCACTTCAACGGTTTGTAAATAATTAATTCTTGTATATTACTTTCGACAGCGCAGGATAATACGTTTGTCGCAACCAATGATGTTGTACTTATAGCAAATGCACGATAATATTGAAATGCGCATATTAACTAATCGGTAGCAATATTTTGGACATAGCGAAATGTATCTTCCTAGGCGTAATGACTTGATTGGGGCTCAACATGGCAGAATCGATTTTGTTTCCCCAACCGACCAGGATCAATCTTGAAAATGAAGAGTAAAACTAAAAATGGAATTTCGTCTTCAGATTCGACGCAAAATGAAGTACTTGAAATAGCGGAATCAGATACATTCAACTGTATTTTGTGTTCCAGATTACTATATGATCCCGTCTGCACCTCGTGTGGTCACTCATTTTGCCGTGACTGTCTTGACAGGTAGTTATTGTAATAATTTATTGCTTCGCTCTGGGCCACGTGTCCATATATTTGAGCGTTGCTCTCTTGTTATAGTTAATTTCCGTTCAGCAGTGGAAACATGGCAGCAACTTATTGCTTTTCGAATGGGAGCGTCGGCTTATTCCTATTTTGACGCCACAACTGTGAAACTGGGTTACAGACTGGATCAGAACATACTTTTTTTTTTTTGCTGTGTTTAAACAGGAAAATACTGATATCACAGAAGCAATTCAGAATAATAAAACTTTGTTTATTCCGATTAGAGTTAGGTATAGAGTAGACTGACACCCTGAAACGAATAATAAATTGATCTGATGTCTTCAAAATCTTCTTTAAACGTATATTTATAAACTTTAAAAATGTCAGATAATAATACTTAACCTCTAACCTCTCTTTAGGTGGTTTGATCATCGGCTAACTTGTCCAATGTGCCAAAGTAAAGAAGTGCGTGCTATTCAAAAAGACTCAAACAAATGTTATTCTCTAGCAACAGATATTACTATGAATATTTTAATGCAAAAATGTATTCCTAACCTGGTAAAAGAAAGAGAATTATATCGCGAGGAAGAACGCAAGGTTATAAGGTTAGATGTTACAGCCAATTATTTCAAAAATATCATCGTTGTATTTGAATAGGAAGCATTCAGATGTATAGGCTGTAACTGTGTTGCCAGAATCGAGCACGGTCTACTTCATAGTCATGCTTTTTGAGGTACAACTAAAAATCATACGCATCATTCTCATTATTGAATGAATATGCCGCCGATTTTTCTCATTTGTTTCTTCATATACCCGGCATCGGACGTCGAATGACCTAAATTCAAACCCCATAGCTAGTTTTTTAAGCAAACCAATTCATTGATGATCACCTTTTATTAATTTTGAAAACAGGGAGACAGTTCCTATTTTTGTGTGTACCCTGGCTCTGCCGTATGTTCGTTGTCTTCTTCATGTACACGAGCCAAGATACAGACTTATGATGAGGAGGGTTGAAGAATTCCACAATGGAAATTTTGGAATGGCCACAGCATCAACTATAGCACCGTAAGCTTATACTTTTTCTGTAAATTTGATTCAAAATTTGAGAATATCTTTTTCTTCGTGTCGATCTTAATCTTAATCTAATATCTCGCGTTTATATCGGTATAAACTAAAACCATCATGTGTGTTCACTGTTTACACATTGCTAGCTTTTGGCCCCTTTTCTCAGAAAGCAGTAGCAGAAAATAAATAAGTACAATAGCCTGTAGTAGCGAGCGGTTAGATAGGTAGAATTGATTTTTTTTTATTTTAATCTCGTTTGTGTCGTAATAATTTAAATCGAAAAGTTACCCAGAGTTTGCGTTCCCACTACAATACTGGATAGGCTACTTCTCCTCTTTGGGCGCGTGTAAAAGTGAAAATTTTGTATAAAAAAACATAAAAACGCCAGGTAAGACTTGGTTTGACCCCAAGTCCAGAAGTTCCAGTTGAATTGGCAGCGCAATCAATATGTACAACATCAACACTAAAGGAGTTTTGTCAATTATATAATTACCAATTATTCGGAAGTGTCGTGCACACGACAAAATTATTTTGAAAACTTTGACTCGTATCCTCATTTGACTTGTGCATCCCTGGTCTAACGTAGAGTTTTAGGAAGAACTCTAAGTAGAATTCAAATATTTTAGTATCCTAATAATTTTCATTCAGTTTCAGCAAATATGGTACAATTTTGAATGTCGAAAAGATGTCCATTCTTCCCGACGGACGATCAAACCTAGTGACAATGGGTACAAGACGTTTTGAAGTCGTACAATACGATAAATGCGACGGATACCACACAGCTAAATTAAATTATATTGTAGACGTCGCAGACGCGGACGAAAAGAGCAAACAGACGACGACAAATATGGCTGAAGAGGTAATTTTAATTACAAGCTTTCTTCTTTTCAAGCTTTTATTGTTCGAAATTCGCTTAATTAGTTAACCGCACCGATTTAGTGAAGAAGAAGCTATGTTTTCAAGTTTGTAGATATATTTCTACTTTTGTCCTCGTAAACCTTTCAAAACAGGCTGATGTGGTAAACATGCTTTCTATCACGTTGGACCAGAGTAGTAATATTTCTTCATTGTCAGTTTCGTCTATCTGGTCGCGCCTCTGTTTTTCTTGCTTTTAATTGTGTGTTCTTCATTTGTATCATATTAGAGGTAAATTATTGAGTGGACGTCGTGATATGTGTTCAACAACCATGGTCAAACAAGTTGAAATTAAATCTGCATACATTATTTAATTACAGGTTTACCTTCGTGCTAAGGAGTGCTTCCAAAGATGTTCATTTCGCTTCAAGACAATCACAGAAATGCAAATCGGAAAATTTCCGGAACAAGATAAAACAGAAGTATTGATTGAATTTTACGGCCAAGGCATTTACGGATGCGATTAGAAAATTAAACTTTCAGATTGTAAATCTGGTCAGCACTTCGACCACAGTTTCAACAAGTTGACCTGAACATGAAATTGTACCAAGTATTGAATAACCTTTTGCAACTTACAAATTCTATTTCTAATTGTCTGTTATCTAGCCACATAGCAGACTTGCTGATGGTAAAAATCACGGTGTACGGTACTAATATCTAATCGGCACACGTAGAGGATATACCGAGTGAAAACTTCTTGCATCTTGAAATCTATCGTTTGTTTCTCATCGTCACAATAACTGACCGTGTCTTCTGTCTTTCTTTCAAGGGTGACGACGGGCCTCTCTGGGCGTGGTGGGTATTGGCAATGATTCCTTCAAACGACAATTTGAAACTTCACGTATTAAAGAAGACACGATTTCGACATAGACTGGCCCTGTTGAATTCAATGTTGAAAAAATTCGATAAAATGTCGTCGGTCCGAGATCTCATGCTTGACGAGTAGTAAAAGTAATGAAATGTACTTCAGCCAGCGTCTGTACGATACACGTCGATTGACATCATCCAACAGAGTTCGAGTGAGAATTTTGAACTTGAAACTGAATTTTTGTGGTACAAAGGCCAAATCAACACTCACCAACATTCTGTAAAACCAAATACAAAAATCGATGTATGCTTGAATCAGCATATTGTATGGGTATGGCTGATTTGACTTGGTGGTTCAATTCTCAGACAAAATACGAAACATTCGACTGTTCGAGGAATGTCTTTAGAATGTTTAGATTCATCGAATGTCGTCGGTTCGCAGCATTGAAATACAAATGTTACTACACTAAGACGAAAGTGGGAGCAAATGTATGATGTAACCACTGTGTACGCAAAAACTACGTTTGTAATCTTCACCCATACTAAATATACATTGATTATTTCAGTGAAGTGTAAAGCAGTGTGCTTGCCAGGCATATAATATTGGTAACGAGAATAGAGCCAACGTTTATAATTGTTCTGAATTGTAACTTTATTCATTGTTTGTTTGTATTACACCTACCTACGTGCTCACTGTTTGCAATAATTTTATTGACTGTCTTCTACAGATAATTTTTTATCATGCGCGCAAAATGTTTGTTTGTATATATGATGAATATTGTTCAACTTGCTTTTTATCGAGAATAAAATAGTTTGAAAACTTTGAGAACTATTGCAGTGGTTGAAAGAGTTAATTAATGTAGCCTAATAAAAAAAGTAATCATTATTTTTCTACGGAATTGCCACGGACATCACCAGTGAATTGAATCATCAACGTGAATTGAAATACCAACTGAACCAAGTCACTTCTGTATTACCAGGTCAGGCACCGCAGTCTTCCGTTCCCCATAAAAAACTTCCCACTCTCTGATAAGCACGACAGGACTGCCACTATTATCTGAATAAAAACATCTATAGATTGATTGACCTCGAAAATCATCTAAAAATATCTAGATAGGAAAACAAAACATCCAAAAAATATATCTGAATATGAAGCCACTAAATTTAATAAAAATAAACAAAACAAGAGAGTACAAATAGTTTGTTATATTACATTATAGTAGATTTGGAGGATCATTTGAAGTTGATGTTGTTACTACAGTTGCTTCAGAGGGATTTTTATATGTTTCTGCAGTACATATTTTTCTGAAACCGAAGCGTGCAACCTTGTTTATCTTGAATTGGGTTAGGTTTGATGATAACTAGTATTGCATTCAGTGAATCTGTCGTCCTGTTGTTTCTTAGTTTTTATTACAGTTTATTGCATTAAATTTTTTTCAACATCAGCATAACGTAGTAACATTGCTGGCTTACATTGCTGTTGCGGTGTTATTGTTCCACTTTATGACTTTACAAGATTGAAGTTTTGTAGCTGACTTTCTGCCCTGCCGATGATGTTTTTAGGATACCTATGTTTTATGACAGTTGAGTGGAGTTCATCGCAGCTTGTATTCATATATTTCGTACATATTGTCACAGGTGATTATCGAAGGTACTTTGTTAGTAAGGTGCAGCCCGACGCGAACGGACAGAATGTACAGATGTATGTCCTACCGTGTTTTCCCGAAAATAAGACCTAGCCTGAATTTTAGGAATGATTTTAATATAAGCCCTTCCCTTAAAATAAGACCTAGTCAATAACGAATTTTTTACCTGGTCGATAGCAAGAAATCTCTCCCATGCGTTATAAATGATTAATCTGATCTAAAACGTGTGAGAGAGGAAAACGTGACATTTAAGTAAATGGATATCGGTTTTAATATTTTTTATATTTGAAAATGTCCTAATTCTGTACTTTCTAATTTTGTTTTTGATAAATAAAATTATAAGACATCCCTCGAAAACAAGCACTAGTGGTAGTTTTCGAAAGAAAATTGAAATAAGACACTGTCTTATTTCCGGGGAAACACGGTATGTTGCTGACAGAAAACAAAGACAAGCTATTTAAAACAGTCAAATTTGAAGGTAGTCTTTGTTTCAGCTGTTTATGTGAGATACTGAATGTAAAAGGGAACTTTGGCATATACTTTATACAGTTATTTTGCTCTCTCCAGTTTTGTGATAAAAATTCATTGGATTTCATATCATGCATACCGTATGATTTAGATCAACTTTACATCTAATTCTAAATACATAAATACTATTCGTTTAACAATTATACACGTCGCCTTTTTATTTCCCACTGGATAATAATTAGAACGTTGAAAAAAATATATCTAGATTTTATAGTTAACATCTAGACTCCAAATTTTACATCTAGATATTGAACAAAATAAATAGATCTAGCCAGTGATGAGCTAGGAAAATCGTAACAACCGGAACGCAGCTAATTTGTGAAAATGTAATATATATTTAGAACACGACGCGGACGCTACCACAAATTTTTGTCTGTCCTAAGATAGAGCCGAAGGACTACATAGAAATATAAATAAATTATCTGGTATATATTTGTCTGTTCAAAATTACAAGAATATTTATACTAATTCAATACGTATGTGTTTATTAGAAAGGTATAGGATGAAATTCCACGCAAGTTAATAAGTAAGTTTACAATATGTAGTAGAACTAGACTTTCTATGACATAATTTTATTTCAACAACCGGAATGAAATGCAATAAAATGTCTAACAACCAGAACACCGTTCCGGTGCGTTCCGGCTACAGCTCATCACTGGATCTAGCTATAAAACATCTAAAGTAGTAGCCCTGATTAGCACGAGATCCGCTGACGTTCTCTGAGCACGAGATCCACTGATATGCGTTCGCGGAACCGCCACAAGGTACGCAGATTTTGCTGACAGTCATAGCACACAAAAAGACGAATCGGTTACAACAAGCGGGGATTAGTCACGAACCTGCAACCTTGGCGCTTTATGAACGTTTACTTCTACGCAAAGCCACCTCTACTATATATTGCCCCTCATTTGGAACTGCTTTATTACACATTGAACTGAGAAACAATATATATTCAACGGAAGTATAATATTATGGTCACTAGCGTATCGAGAGTGGGCATTGGATCATGTTTTCTTGTACTCTGTCAATATTCAAGTATTGAGTTTTTCAATCTGTTTTTAATTTTAAGCCTTTGAACTCTGCTTGATTATCTTTGCTTATTTGTTTGTCTAGACTAGAGCAGAACTTTTGTATACGCTCAGTTTGCCCATGGACCGTTCCCCGACCTATGACCCCCGAAAAATTCTTCCTATATTTTACCATTGCAAAACTTTCGGGGCTGTTTTAAAAATGCTCTTGCGAGTTGGCACCTGTGAAATGATGTATGTGTTTCAAACCATCATTATGATGCATCGCATACAACAATCTGTTTTTTAAAAGTACCAGTAAAGAATTTTAGCCTAGTCTATCCCAGCTATTTCTGTACTATTTTTTATTACTGCAATTAAATTATCTTAAATTAAACTCCTTAGATATTAAATTAACTCCTAGAAAGACAGAGCGATCATTGAATTATCTGATTTATATTTAAGTTTCCGTAACACAACAGAATAGATTTCAAAAACGCAAAAACGGGGTAACGTTTACGACCACGCTTGAAAATTTGTCTGAGTGAGAAAAGTGACAGAGCGGATGCAAAAAGGGAGCATTGTTACGTCACTTTTTGCATCTTACTGATTGGCCAATGTCACGAAATAAACATGGAAGTCACTTCGCGAAGGTGAATGAGCGTTAAGAGGTTTAGTCTAAATTCTCTTTTCAGCTTTTCCTTCTCTGCTAGCTGTGAAATAATTTCTTCGGGCCCTACTAAAAAGGTAGGTATCATAGGTATCACAGGTATCACTCACTAAAAAGGTAGGTATCAGTAGTAAATAACTAAAAAGGTAGGTATCAGTAGTAAATGACTAAAAAGGTAGGTATCAGTAACAGGTTAGGGTTAGGCGATAATTTTTTTCCAATTTTCCTTATTTTAGTCCTATTATCACTTCGAAGACTAGCCAAAGGCCTCCCGTAGTATTTATACCTAAAATTATGGCCTAACCCTAACCTAGTACACATATTACATTCCGATGTCCGCCATCTTGGTTCGCATACCGGTACCGGTACTTCGGGAGCCCCCTTTTTAGTCATCTACTACTGATACCTACCTTTTTAGTTATTTACTACTGATACCTACCGGTACCTTTTTAGTCATCTACTACTGATACCTACGGTACCTTTTTAGTCATCTACTACTGATACCTACCTTTTTAGTCATTTATTACTGATACCTATCTTTTTATGGAGTGATACCTATGATACCTGTGATACCTATGATACCTACCTTTTTAGTAGGGTCCATTTCTGAAGGTTTGATATAGGCTGCTGTTGAACAGACATCAGCGCAATATTGATTTTTTCACCCTGATTACAGGATTAATACCTAACTTACCTGCCTACTACTGTACTGTCTGACTGTGGTATGGATATAAACGATATATTGAATCAAGCCAGAAAAAATACCAAAGAACAAAATGTCGTAAGTATAAACCTTTGTCTCTACTGCTCTATAGGCACCTAATACCGGTACCAGGTATTATTAAATCTCTACTGCTCCACACACCATCTGACAATGTCTGAATGTGAAACTGTAAAAAGGGAAGACTGGTAATGGTAAAAATATAGCGTTTAAAAGTTACTACTGGGTAACTGTGAGTTGATAGATTTTAGTCGAATTAGCTGCCCGAGGTGTATAACTGACCAATGCCTGAATACTGTCAAGTTCTCACACACTCTTGACCACCACACAAGGTAGGCACTTTTTAGACACTTCTTAAATTGACGTTTATTGACACTCTGAACAATGTGAAGAAATTAATATTTGACATACTACTGTACTAGCTATTAATATTAGTCATTTTACCTATCCAAAATGCCTATGCGATGTTTTCACTCGAATATAGCAGTTCTAACTTGAAATGGTAACTTTGAACATTTTTCACTTCACGGAAATATTCTATGTAATATTAGGCTTTATATTCTATATTTCGATGTATTCAGTTATATTTTATATAGCCTAATTTTTTTTAGTCATTCAAGTACAGTACAGATGTTCGTCCTGCAAAGAAGTTGCCTCGTTCAAATGTCAACCCAGAAGCAATTAAAGCATTTCTCGATAAAAAGAAAAAAAATGAAGTCCATAATTGTAAGTGTAGGAATGTTACAAAACGCACTTTTTCGCGCTAAAAAATGTACGCACCACGTCTGCTAAGTACCGTTACGCCGTGTCAGAATACCGCTCATAAAAACGACTACGGACTGCCTGCTGTTGTTTGGAATTCCATGAAATTTTGACATAAACTTAGATAAAATACACAACTATGATTCGGTATTTGAATTTTTTCATTGGCGCATAAATTTCCCAACATTCGGGGCTTTTGAAAATTACGCTAAAGTTATACGTACTGCAAATTAATGATATTGTCTATGGACATGAATAAAATATATATGGACGCATGTATGTCATTCCTAACTTGATACTTACCAATTTTTATGAAGTTTGTTCAATCAGAACATCATTAATTATTACCCGCAACGAGGCACTGTCAAACTAATATGCACAACTCCAGGGTTGATTTGCGACGATCTTCCGACGGCCTCAATGATCGTTGCCAGAATAAAATCCTAAAATAATCCCAATTTTTCTTAGATGTGACGCACATCGAAAGATTAGTGATTGATATGTGTTCTTTTTTCATATTCATTAAAGTTCTTGTTAAAAAAAGTCAATTCGCATACGATTACGAAACGGTACAAATTAATTCAAGGCACAGGAAGTATGATCTTAGCACGCTGTCTGTCAATGCGGATCAGTTATCGATTGAATGCCGACATTTTCCCTCGCAGCGATTTCTCTCGTTTAGCGTTTCACTAAGCGCGTTAATATCTTACGAGTTAAGGAATATTAAATGATAATTAATCGTTCATTAAGGTCGGATATGAAAAACGATAAATCAGTTAATTGCCGCGTAGGCGGGGACTTGCGTAGTGGGAAAGTTGTTGCCGACCAGAGGTTATGTAAAGTTCAGAGACTTTCTCGTACATAATTAATTGGAAAGCAGCTAATTTCGTTAAAAAGAATTTGTAAACTTTTTTGCATTAGGTTCTTCTATTCACAATAACTTTTCATTCCTAATTTTTTTCGATTACCTTCAAAAATAGCCGAGATACATTCTGTTGTTTATCGGTCTGACATTCTCGCGGTCACAGTTTTTGAGTCGGCGCAATACAACCCTCATGGAAAAAATTGGCATATCGAGCATTACTTAAATGCCGATATCTCCGTTAATTCTTGACCCTTTTTCGCAAACTTGGTATTGTTTTCTTATTTTCACTTAGATCTATCCACTGGTGTAGTTTTTATTTAAATCGGATGAACTTTAATTTTTTTGTAACATACCTAGTAAGTGTAATATCAATATGGTTATTCTCATCAAGTTTATTTTATTATTTATCCAAAAGCACAAGAAACTGAGTTCGCAAAAATCACTCTTCACCCAACATGTTGTGAAGTTAATCGATAATCAAAGTTATTGGAAAATAATCAAATAATCAACTTTAATTAATTTGCTGTTGATGTGTGGTTTATTTGTTTAATTACAAACAAATTCATCCATTTGAGAACTTTTTAATATGTCTATCTGTTTTATCTGTTAAATATATATGAGAATCTGAATACCTCGTATTCATTATCTTCATTTAACTACTGGTAATAGGCCTATTAAAAATCTAAAGATTTTTTCTGTTTTTGGTTCAAGGATAACTAGTAACAGTTAAGTCCAAAACTCACTTAATTTTCAAAGATACCCATATGTATTATTACCAGATGGTTGAAATCACAGTGACTCCATTCCCGGATTGGGAGGCTCATTTTTTAACCTAACTTTTGAGGTTTTTTGGTATGACGACTTCACGAAACATCAGCCCAAATGCCGTTTCACAGAAGCACAACTAAAAACTATGATATAAAGGTTTCAATTTCAGAATCGACTTTGACAAAAACTTTTAAATTAATATTAAAATTAAATATAAAAATTGTAAGCAGAGGAGGATAGCTTTACTTATTTATTTAATTAGAAGTATTGAAAAATCATGATGGAAAAAATAATTAGATGGTTTTGCCGTATTAGAGGTAAGCAGGAGCTGAATCCGGTAAATTTTTTTGCCAGCCTTGGCTCCAGGCTCTGGCTCTTCATCCCTAATTATTATTAATACTCATTTATATAACTGTTGTGACATTTGCTGAAACATATAATATATTCATGTTATGAATTCCACAATATTTTTAACTTCTGGTAAAGATCTGAGCCTACATGAACATAGACTAATAATATTCACATTATTGGCTATTGTTATTTTTGAAAACAATATTGAAAATTTCATCCATTTTCAAGTGGTCGAAGCACAGAAGAAGAAAGAGGGACTGCAAAAATTAAGGGATGAATCTAAAACAACAAGGAAAGCAAATTCTATGGCAAAACGCACCAAAGATAATTTGAAGGTTTGGTTTAAACAATGCAATGCTCATTAAATATCCATTATCAAAATCTTTGATTTTTTGAATAGTAATTTGGAATTATTAGTAACATTCACCTCATTGTTGTCTTTCGCCATGAAAGCGGTCTCCTCTCAAGACAACTAGATTGAAAATACAGTCTAGTATATGGCGCCGTATTTTCTTTGATCACATATCAGAAATAGGCTCAACCACCCGCAACCCTTGTTAAGTATTTCTGTTTTACATTGCACACACACACAGCTTCAGTCAACTATGACTATCACCTGGTGCAAATCACACTCTATGAATTCTTTCGATAATTTTTCATGAATCTTACGAACTGGAAATCTTTTTTCCTAGTAATCAGTTTTTCTTGTTACAGGTTTACAAAGGCGAGGATGTATTGGGTATTTATGCAGAACCAAAAAAAAGGAGACGTAGGGGCGGACATTCGCCGCTGCGGCTTTCACCTGAAGCAGACAGAAAGCATGGAGCATTTATGAAGAGTATTTCCAAGGTAAGGTTTAAGATAATGATTGGTAGCACAAATGTGCTCTGAGTTTGTTTGCATTGGGTTGATTATTTATATTTAATATGTTGCAATGTTGTAGTAGAATTTACATTGAGATATCATACTGATGATGGTAATGTGTTTTGTCGGAAGTAATGCCATTTATCAGTGGAATTGAATGTAAATAATATGTTATTTTTTATCTGCATATTGGAAAATCTTATTCTCCAGTTAGAGTTTGATTCATTTCAGCTTCACGACATTGAAAATCGAGTCAATAATTGGAAATTATTTTTGTAAATTCAGATCAAAGTTCCGGGCATAAATGATGATGAAAGTGATGAAGATGAATACAAGGAACCTGTTCTTGAACAAGATGAGAGAAAAATAAGGAAGCTAGAAAAGAAAAAGGCAAAAGCAAGATCTGCTTCTAACCTTGAATTTGGTGATCTTCTGCAACTTGCTGAGAAACATAAAAATAAAGTTGACTGTCCTTCGTCTGATTCAGAAAACAGTGATAGTGACTCAGGGGAAGATTCAGATGGTACTTAAAAATATTGTCTTTCAACATTGATTTATTATGTAAAGCAGGAGTGTGCAAACTACGGCCCGCGGGCCAAATGCGACCTACAAATTGTCGGCACGCAAAACGAATTCTTAATTTAGTTTAATCTGGAACACATGAGTAATTCCCTTTGCGTTGCCAAACTTATACTCCAGTCCAATCTATTATTGATGCCAATGATGTTACAATACCCTAACAGCTAGCTTGTGCGAAGCGAACAAAGCATGTCATAACATCAATATCCAAAATTTTTGTCTGTGCACCCCCTGATGTAGAGCATAGGCTAATTTTTATTAGAAAACAGTAGTTTCGTAGAATCTTACCGGCTTTAGCATTTTTTTTAAATCCATGATGTTTGATACTTTTTGCGTCATCGGAATTATCATTAGGCAGCAATGATATGCAAGTGTTATTAAAAGCTAAAAGGTCTAGGAATACCCAAACGAGTTGTAATTACTCGTTAATTAATTAATTGAAATACATAAAATTCTACATCGTTGTTTCATGGGTAATGTAGTGACGATTTAGTCATTTGTCAAAGTGCCATGAACTAACTTTTAACCTTGGATTTCACTGAGTGACCTACATATTTTCAGGTAGTACAGATAAGTATGGACGACCTTTGACTGCTGAAGAAAAATATCAAAGAGAGAGAATGAAAAGAAGAGAACTGGAGGAGAGGCTAAAATGTGCAAGTGGTGAGATTGAGCATCATCGGTTAACAGATTTGTTATCAGCTTGAAAATCAATATTCCGTAGTAAATATTATAGTTGATATATTCCTTATGCTTGAATGAAAGTGTATTAATTCCTTAGCTATGCTTTATGTAACATTATTTCTCAGCTCCCAAAGCAACACCGACAAACATGAATTCCCATAAATCAAAACCTTCTAGTGGTTTTCTTCCGAACTTTAAAATTGGAAAATTGAGTTCTGGAATGTCCGAAGAAAGCAAGCGTGCTAAGGTGAGGGTTTCATAACATAATATTACATAATTAACAGGTAATACGTCTTTTGTCTATGTAATTGTAAACCATTATTCATGACACTAGTATATGATCAGGCCATTTCCTCCTGCTTGCTCTCTTAAAGTTGTACTAATATCTGACACATTTTTAGTTTGTGCTGCCACCGAGTTTCCACTTTTGTTTTTATAAGGTAAAACTTCTGATGGATAAGTTGAAAAAGACTTCTGCGGAAAAGGGGAATGATGATCAGAGTGAAAATAAAGGATCGTCCAAGCAAAGAAAGGCACATTCTGACAAAAAAATGCACAAAAGTCATTCAACACCATCTTTAACACAACTAGACAAACAGAAAGATAAAAGGGTTAAAGAAGGGATGCGAAAACCTAAACCAAGTGGAATCAATAATACAAAGACAAAAGAAAGCTCAACAAGATCTAAAGATGAAAAGTTAAAAGGTCTTCCTGATTCTAGATTAATGTTGTCTAAAGCATCGTCATCGAAAAATTTGCACATGATAAGAAAAGAAAAACATGTTAGACCATCATCCGACAGTGAAGCAAAACAAACACACATTGAAAATCACTTTAAACCAAGGAAGAAACAGTTACAAGGTAGCAGTAATTTAAAGTCATCAACACATAAACGAATAGAGGAAAAATCCATAACAAATCCATATAAACACACTGTAGTTAAGCCTTCAACAGCTACTAAGAGAACTGCTGATACACTGGTTGATCCATGGTCAAAATCGAATAAAGGTAAGCATTATTATTATTTTTTTTTTAAATTTTGTTTTATAGTCCTATTTAGACTCATAGAAAACTACATATATTGGTAAAATATTCTAAATAATTTTGATAATGAGCAACAGTCATTGCATTAAAAAATAACCACACTACCATAATAATTTATTTTAATATCATCACCATTAACATTACACACTTCACATAAACCTATAACCTAACTTTTGAAATTTCAAATATATTGCTGTACAGTCGTCAGCCGCGGTGATTGTTACCCATTTGCTGTGGTCATCTAACTCATAAAAAAGGAACAGATTGCTCGCAAAATATCCCAACTTTCATGAAAATTTCCTTGAATTCCATCACTGCATACTGCTCGTGATTGACTATCTGTTCATCCATTTAAAATGTTTAAAGTTAAAAAAAAAATGCTTTTCTTCCTTCTTATAATCAGGTGCTGGTGCATGTTCAAACACTGTTAAAAAAATGAAAATGAAATCTTCGGAGCAACATATTCCAGCAAAAAAAGCATGCACGCTAAGTGTTACAAGTGAATCCGTTCGTACAAATTATCCCGGAGTTGCTCAAGCTGATCCATACATCCAAGCATACAGGAAAAATGGGAAAGTGATACGTAAGGCATTTAGGACTTTATGATTTCCGATAATTGTAACTAACAGAATTATTATTGCCCAGGAGGTCATTTGGAACATATTCTAGAGCAGATGGGCGAGGGTTTTGGACTTGGGACCACAAATTTTGCCCATCTAGACCGGCGGGCCATGTAAGTGTGACGTAAAAGTTACATTTTATGAACAATATTTACAGTGTTACCAAAGCAAAAGGGGTAAACAATAATTGCCTTGTGACCAAACTAATTTAATCATAATTTCAACAAATTCCTTGAATTATTTTTAGCTAAAACATCGAAATTTGGTTTTAGTTTGGTTGTGGCAGCATCAGGCGGGCCAGATTGAACTACCCAAGGGGCCGGATTTGGCCCGCTGGCCGCAGTTTTCCCATTGGGCAACTTTTGGGCAAAGCCTCTTGATTACTGAAACTTTTGGGTACAATTATACACAAGCAGATGTTCAAGTTATGAATAAATAAGTAAAGTAATTGATAAATTTATTGGTTCCTTTTTATGTCACCCTATGTTGACGCAGGCATTTATTCATTTTCTTACGATTATTTACCTTGAGTCTGTATATATTTGATATATTCTTCAGCTAAGTTAACACCAGAAATGGTTGCTCGGTGCAAAGCTGCCATTGCAAGAAAACTACAGCAAGATGGAAAGGTTCCACATGGGAGGGGTCACCACCCACTACCAACAAAGCAGAGATACGGCGTTATTGCAGATGATGACAGTGATGAATATGATTCTGAATTAGATGACTTTATCGTTGACGAGGAAGACGAACAAGGTTTGATTTGTTTTATATAGAACTCAATACTTATTATATGAATAGATTTTCATAGAGTTTCGATTGAAAATCAAATTTTTAAAAACATTGAGGATATTGAAAACAGATTTTGGTATCAGGATTATTTACGTCTTTGATGCCTGTTATGCTGACTTGAAATAAACCTATTATATTGGTATTCTTACTACTTGTGCTTGTTTCCAGTTGTTGATGATGATGAAGTTGATGTGTCTTCTCATATAAAAGCTATCTTCGGATATGATAAATTAAAGTATGGACGAGAGAGTGAATGGGAGTTATCAAGGATGGATGCCAGTTATAAAGATATTGAAAAAGAAGAGAAAAGAAGGTATTTTTCTTTTTTTTTCTACTTTGTCTTATGAAATGTTCGTCTAGATTCTAGAATACTTAATACTGTTCTCTACTGTGATGCTTTATTCCATAGTTGTTGGGAATTTGTAAGAAATCTGAGATTTGAGAAAATGTTGAACACCCGTTCATACGTTCTTCTTGCAACATCTTTATTCTATTACTATGGAAAATGAATGTAAACTTTTCTCAGCATGATATAAATATGCATGATACATCTGTGGGTCATTTTTGGTAGCATCTATGCCATTGAGAGTATAAAGAGTATCTTGTTGAATATTACCTAGTTATTTTATGGAATTAATTTGTAGTTTAAGGATAGCGAGAGAAGAGGATGCTCGAGAAGCAAAACTTGAAGAGGAAAGGATGAAAAAATTATTGAAAAAAAACAAAAGATAACACGGATCTTTTTTTCTGTGCTTTACATTGACGATTCGTCATAAAATTCAATCATAAACCCATAACTGTATAAAAATGTTGAGTAAACGCAAAAATTGAATATATTTTATTTGAGTGCAATTAAAAGCATTTGCTTGTTGTTTTGATTGATATGATTGATCTCTTGGTCGTTACCGATGCTTATAAGTTTAAATGCGATACTGATATTAAACTATTTTCAGTATTTTTTCATGATTATCATTCGAATGAGACAGCTGTTTTCATTTTTATTGTTTTTTTTTATCATTAAGACTCAAATACTCTGGTTCAAATTTTTTTTCGAGCATCTTGCAAAAATGCTATCTGAAAAACGTTTTTGCCAATAGCCTGATAAAAGGGTTTTTAAAAGGGTATTGAAAACGTATCTTATTTGACATTAGAGATATATCATATTATGATCAAAATTATGATGGCTACTAATTATCATACTAAATTTGAGGACTTTGTTATGTTGGGAAATTATGTTTAATGTCAATATCCATGTTTCGTTTTCTCGCTTCAATAATCTAACGAACTATGACAACGGAAGGTTAACTTTTGTAAAATGAAACATTATTTGGACCTTCTGAAGTATGCGCACCAAGATGTCGTACAACCTGAACTCCGGTTGTGTACCAGGTTAGGGTTCAAGTTTGTGACATCTTGGTGAGCAGGAGTACCAAGTTTTCCTATTGAATTGCTTAACTTTTGATGCCAGTTAGTTATATGGTGATGCTTCTTTATATTTGATCTTATAATGTTAAATTGCTTTTATTTATGAAATGTCTATTGTTTGTATTGTCTATGCTGAATTAAACTGCTTGTGATGGAGAGTATTCAATTACACTGCAATTTCAATATTTGGGAGTATGTAAATTGTAAACCAATGGGATTATCGCGGGTGCCAATTGTCCCTATTAATGCTGATTCAACAAATGTGGAGTATTTCAGACTTCTGCAGCACAAAGTGGGATGGGGGCGTTTTCAAAAGGCTCCAGTGTGAAGCATTTGGTGTTCAACCTGCCAAAGTATATATAATATGCTAGCGTGCATTATTTATAAATGATCTTCCTTCGTATGATCACATAGCTTGAGATCTTTCAATTTTCCACGCCAAGTTGGGACTCGATAAGTGCACTGACGACCGGTGGTTCCCCCAAATAACAAAAACAACGTTTTCTTTCTAGATCTATATCTTACTAACATAAAAGTCGATTAATTTCAATCTTGACGTCCATAATCCGTCGCCAGGTTATTAAATATTATTTGAAGATTTCTCATCTTCGCTCTCTAGGCGTGACTGTTCAATAACCCACATTCCTCCTCTGAGCGTGACCCCTAGACCGGATTTTCCCCCATTATTTAATGATTGAGCTTGCGATGTCCTATCTGCTTCCTCTTTTGCAATTCTAATTTGCTCTTTGACTATTTCGGCTTCTTTTTTCCAAAGTTCCAAATTGGCATTGCAAAGATTCAGCAAATCTTCGCATTCTGGAAGTGCTTGAACCAACGTTTCGTAGCAGCGCAGTGTAACATTCGTCGAAAATCCAACCTTAAAAATAAATAATCCGAGTTCGATTGTAAGTACAGTCGAGTTTTTACATTCGTATCTTCGTTCCATTCTCAAAAAAGACACACCCATTGTACAACTTGAAATCAATGCGCTCACCTGCCCTTCAGGTATATCATACTGTAGATCTCGATCCATCATTGGCAAGTAAGAAAATCCATGTTTCTTCCTCAAGTCTCCTTCAGCCCAAAACTCTTCGTATAAATCGTAAACTGTGGCTTTTGTAACTTCCCAACTTTTGGCATTTGAACACAAATCACACGCAGTCATCATCATGCTCGTGAGAGAGTGCCTAAACAAATAACCACATCTTTAACTTCTGTAATTTTACATCAAATTTGTTAACAATAAAAGAAGTACCATGCACCTGTGAGTATGGTTCTTTATATCAAATTCGTCATTACTGAGCAGATCGTTAAGCACTCTCTGATTTGAGAAGAACAACGCCAAGTCGGTAGCTAATATGGCATCCATCATTAAACCGAGCAAAAAATCATAGGATTTTTGATCCATTCTGGAGAAAATTTGATGACCCTCTTGATTTAAAATTGTCAAAAGCATTTGATAGTGGTGTTGTTCCATTGTTGACGTCGGATAAAGCGCGGCCAGAGGGTGTTCAATCTTTTGTAAATACTGATTGGAGAATGCTCTGTGATCCACATCATGAGCTATACAAGCAACTACTAATCCCACCATTTCTAATTTGGAAAATATTCCCCCCGTGCGTTTTAGAATACAATACATGCAATGCGCAACGGTCACTGCATGTTTCCAATTGTGATATGGTTTGTTTCTGTAGTTTTTTCTTATTGCTAAAGTGAATCTTGCCAGATCTTCAGCTGGTATTGCAAAGTCCGGAGAACTAAGATCATTCACAATGTGTATGAAAAATCCCGGTAGTTCAATGTCGTAAGATGCGACTGAAAATTGAAACCTGAATGTACATAAAACAAAAATCTGAATTTTTATATGATATATAGATATATTCGTGTGACTTGACTTTAGTATAGTTTTGTTTTTTGCATTGCATTCACACCAAAGCATTTTGACAGTCTACACTCAGTGGTTCCCAACCTTTCTACCCTGGCGGACCGGTAAAATTAAATAAAATGTACTCGCGGACCGGCAAAAATTGAAATGAGTGGAACAGAAAATAATAACATAATATTTGCATGGTGTCGGGCAATCACTATGCTTTTAAAAAAAAAGATACACTTAAAAACGTTACACATGAAGAAAAACTATCAAACAATGTGCCCGCCAATAAATGAAATGGGTGAAACATAAAATAATAACATTCCATTATGCGTAAAAAAGGCACACATCTCACATAAAACCATGTTCATGCCAAATCATGTATAAATGCAATTAACTCCAACTCCAATGAGAATTTTGCTACTGTTTCGTTTCCATTACAGCAGGGGTTCTCAACCTGCGGTTCGCGAACCCCCAGGGGTTCACGAGAAGATTTCCAGGGGTACTTGGATGGCAGTCGAGTTTTCGTGTGTTGCTATTTTTTAATATCCTTATTACTACCAGAGAAAAATGCGTGAAAAAAAATTGAAACTCAGCGTAGATTTTCCCTGATCTTGCGCTGTTGTGATTATGACACAACAATGTGTCAAAACATTTCCAATATCGTTAAACTAAATTAACAGAACCAAATCAATACTGCACCAATTTTTTCCCAACATAGGTGAAGTTATCCAAAAAAGTTATTTTTCTGAATTAAATAAAACAAACTTTGCCATTATTACAGGCTTGTAATAACAGTTGTTGGGGCCAATCAGTGTACTTTCAAGTCTTGAAACAGAATTTTTTTGGAATTGCTCATTTCCACCAGTGCTTTTTTTTTATATCAAATCATGGTTGCAATGTAGGAATTTAAGAAGCTTCTACGTGCTTTTCAGTTAAAAAAATATGGAATTGAGATGACATGTGTTGCAACTTGCAAGCATTGTGGTATATTTAAATTACTTAAATAAGCTGATATTTTACAAACAAGATAAAACAGGCAAATAGCTATACCAATCAGAGACAACCTAATTCAACCCACAAATTGCCGAACTGATAAGCAAGATTTGCGTTGGAATAAACAGCAAATAATATTTGCAAAAGCCGTTTAAATTGAAAATTGTTATTCGTAAATAAATGCGCTTGTTTTTCATATTTTGTTGCGACGTTGTAAACAGAAAACGTTTCTATAATTCATTACGAACATCTTAAGAACATATCAGGGCACAATTTATCCCATGTCTGTCTCGAATCTAGGCCAAATGCTCTATTAAAAGCGCAGAATAATTTCCTATGAAATTTTCAAAACACCGACTGCGATTTTCACAACACTAATTTTGTTATTAAAATCACCGATTGTTCAAAATCGGAAATTCCCATGCAACGGTTACTAAAACGATCGCCGAGATTATGTGACATTTTCAGCCTACAATAACTTTTATGTGGCGTAAAATATTTAATCCCGACGACTAGGGGAATTTTAAATGTCCTTCTATATTAATTTAATTGTGTTCAGTGTAACTTGTTGTTGCGTCGACTTGCGACAAAATAAAAGGTTTCTACTGTAATATACCACAGGCAATCTGTGGACATAATAACGCGAGGTGAAAATTACCATGGCAATCCGCGGGCATAAAAGTGTGTGTGGTAACGTGCTTGATAATATCGTGTTTTGATTTATATTTTCGCGAATTTGACAAATCTGAGCTGTTCTTGTAACATTGACACGGCTCTTGCGCGTATCTATCGGCTCCAATGCTTTGAAGATAACACCGTTAGACAAAACACAGCGTCAGCAATAAAATTTCATGGAGTTAATTTTATTTCAAAAAGTTAATTGAAGATACTTTACATTAACTATTTTATATCAAAAGCTACGCTAGTTCCACGTCGGTAGTTTTAGAATGAATAAAAAGTGCCTCGCTCGCCCAATTGACAAAAAGAAATAAACAATTTTAATTTTATCTTTCTCGTGATACAAGACATTCGTCTTCCACTATTTGTGATTTCGGGAGAATAAAAGCCAAAAATAAAAATCATTACTGGATGAATAACACCGACGAAAACAATCGGCGATTTTAATAACAACATTAGAGCTGTAAATTGTCATCAATTGTGCAATTTCACTGACGATTCTTGGTCTCGAGGAAGAATACTGGTACCCAGCAGAGCTAATGCGTTGGACGATTCAGTATATCCACCAACCGACATACCGAAAAGATCGCCCGGCGACGTCGCAAGTTTTGCACATTTTAAATTACGATTAACCGAAATTGGAGAAAACTATTCGAATACAGCTCTAAACGAAAACGAAAGGGACATCCCTAGCTGCGAGTCTTGCAGAAAGTGATATGCTTATTGAAACTTGAGAAAGATTTTAAGAATTCATTAATTAGGTGGAGGACAAGGTCATTAACACCAACACCAAGATTTAATTTAGTTACAGCAGTCGGTCAATAAGTTGTTGTTGGAGCACATTGTTAGTCAATATATCACAACTTTGTTTGGTGTATGATTACCAGGGGTTCGCGTTGATTGTTTCGTGACTCGGGGGGTATTTAGCAGAAAAAAGGTTGAGAACCCCTGCATTACAGGATTGCAAACGAGGCATTAAAAACACGATTTGCAACACGTAGCTTTGCAGCGGCTCACAGTCAATTTATTTGCTTCGTTTTAATTAAAGCTATAAGTAACTGGTTGAAAATTCGGACAACTGTTTGATTGCTCGATTATTCATACTCAGCGATGGGTATTTTCGTTATCAAGAGAGCTCAAGAATAAATTGTGACAATGATTCGTTTATAAATCTGGACTGTAAAGTAGAGGTTTCATCGGGTTCCTCATAGCAATCCTTCTGCAGTTGATCGACGCCCGAAACAAAATTAATTTATAGTACAATGATAAAGTCGTTGCTAACTTGGCACCAGGCTCGTAGTCCTGCTGTGCATCACCCGGAAAATATATCAGCGGCCCCGGTTTTGTTACGCGTCTCGTGACTACCTGCAGGGTCGCAACAAGTTCATATCTTGTTGGGTGTCATGGTACAGCTCTGGAATATTATACTGTTCTTGACAGTTTTCGGGTTTAAACAAAGAAATATTCACAACCTTTTACTTGGATGGTAATATTAATCAAGGAAAACATGCAGAGCGGAAAAAGCACGAATGCTGATTTCCAAGTTTCTGAATCTTGCGAGAATTGACGGAGCGCTTTCGCGATGAATCGGAACCGAAAAAGCAAAAAGTGCTATTACTCGGCGCCAAGACGTCGCCGGGCCATTAATACCGCACTTATCAAACACCAATATGACGGCGGAAGTGAAATTGCATAATAAACTAACGTAACTTCGACTTATTAAACAAGAAAAGCATGCAGAACGGAAAAAGCAAGCATGCTGATTTCCAGGTTTCTGAATCTTGCGAGATTTGACGGAGCGCTTTCGCGATGAATCGGAACCAAAAAAGCGAAAAGTGGGACTACTCGGCGCCAAGACGTCGCCGGCCACCCCGCACGTATCAAACAGCGATAACACGGCGGAAGAGACATTGCGTAATAAACCAACGTAACTTCGTCTTTTCAACGATTGAGACGGTAGAAAAACAACAAAATGAAATTTGTTGCAAAAAAGCTTCCGGCACCGGTCCGCAGAACGGCGGTTGGGAACCACTGGACTACAGAATGTTATGTGTGGCTTTTCTTATGCTCAAGTGTTGAGGTGTGAATATATTACAGCCTTAAAACAGGAGTTAGGGCCCTTCGTACGTAATGGTACCAAATGCGAACATTTTGGATCAAAATTTTCAACCTGAAACTGGTAACATGGAAGACAAAAATATATATTCAAAGCTGATTTACCTTTCAAACTCGACTGGAATATCTGGCAAGCTTCCTTTGGTAATTTGTACGATTAATTCAGTAGCTTCTGTTTCTGGTGCTTTCATACTATTTCTGAACTGTTCTGATACTACCAAATGACTGTTATGCTCGCTTTCCAGTTTTGCATGAATCTAACCACAAATAGGCATTCGTCCGGTAATGTAGAATGTTTTTTTTTTTATTGATTGTGATTATATGATTTGATCAGTTTTCTTATTTTCAAAATATTTCAAACAATCACAACTTACCCGAGAATATCTCAGAGCCAAAGCACAAAATATCGCAAACATTGTGAAATTATCTTCATCGAGTTTTGTGAAGGATCCGCCAGTCCGTTTATTGATCATCTGAACCACGCCGTATACTTCGCTTTCGCTCATAATGGGAAGGCACAATATGTTGTTTGTTGTGTAACCTAATACATAATGGCAAAAAGGACAATAACAAGTACTCTACCGCTATATTTACAATCACCCCCAAGTACGGTTCTAGTCGAACGTAAATTATGATATTGTAATATCTAGTGTAGGCCTATTTGGTAGAACCATTCAAGTATGCAAAAAGTCTTGAACAGTACAGATAAATTTTGGTACATTCGGGAATTATTGCCATCCTCATAATATCTATTTAGTTCACCTGTGACTTTATCAACCTCCCTGTTGAATCTTGAATCGGCGTAGGCATCCTGAATATTCACGACTGTTTTCGTCGATGCCACATAACCCGCAATACCTTTCGACACATGGAATCTGAAAAAATTGAAACCATTTTAGGAAACTTAGCCCTTACAAGAAGCGGATAGATTTTGGCATCCCGCTTCATATAAGCGGATTCAGTTCCTGTCAGAGATCGCCTATATATTTCAGTTTGTTACGATATACTCGCTGCCGCGAACTTTGGTACACTGGAACTTCCTAGTCTTTATCTAGACTAGAGTCTAGTCTAGCACGTACAATGATTCATTTAAGCACTTTATTAACAGAAGATTAAACGTTTTCAGACACAGTTATTCAACAACGCAACGCGATGGTTGATTTTCTTAGATTAGATCTTGAGTCCGGTACCTTACGAATAAAACTACGGTGTTCTAGCATAATAATCATGTGTCAATAAAACGAAAATGAATTTAAAGCAATGGCCCACAAACATCACTAAAAAGTTGAAGTTGTAAAAATTACACGGGCTAACATAAACTCACCGAATTTCGTTTCTTTTTTCAAATACTGATTTCCCATCAACCTCGTCACCATTATCAAATAAATCGCTGTACAGTTCTTCATTGTTGCTGTCGTACAGAAATAACGTACAACGATCAGCTGAAACAAGCGTTTTTGCAAACCTGGAAATGATGAATTATATAAAACAAAGAAGCGGCAGTAAAATAGTTAGATAAGTAATGTAAAAACACTTTACCGCATGATGTGCTCAATGATATTGTCAATATGTGTAATGTCATCGAGATAAGTTCGTGAAACATCTAGCAAAAAATCATTCATCTCCGTTTGCTGTTTGAGACTGGAGCACACGGCTGATTTATGAATAGCAAGAGCACTCCATTCTAATATACTCTGTAACATTAATAGCTTCACAGAATAAGTACGAAGCATGGGTGTTGTAAAGAGTTATAATGATGGGGGCAGTAAATATTATCTCAACTGATCATGGATACAAACTATATAGCTTACCTATAGCATAACACAGGATAATGGATGCCTGAATAATGCGCACAATATGTTATGTTTTTTTGCATTTCATTAATTAGTAAATGATTTGAATAAAGTATACCTGCACAATCTGTAGGTCGTTCTGAATATAACAACCATTATGCCAAGACCTGTAGAATTCGACAACGGCTATCAAGTCATTGTTGGGAAGAATGACAGGTAAACAAAGAACGGCAATGCCGTCTGCGCTACAATCATCTGTTCCCATTTTTTTCGGAAAACGTGGATCCATGTGGACGTCCTCGATACATATTGGCTTTTTAGTTAATGCCACATGCCCCGATACAGTCGTTTTTTTGGAGATGAGAAAACTGAAACACGACATAACATGGCTAACATTGTGCGTACATAATTGATTAAATGCCAAAGAAAATTCGAGATATTTCATTTGAGAAATACCACGCGGCATCAGTACGAATTCAAACTTGTGTATGGTGTGGTAATCCATTTCAGTATAGATCCACCTTTGGCACGTTATTGAAAACGCAGTTAGCTCACTTATTACCCGGAAGGGCCTCCAAGGTTTTGTGGTTGTGAGTTAATTTCACTATCTCATTCAATGATCACTTACTAGAAATAACTGGTAGTCAGCTATTACTTGCTCCCGTATGCTAAACAGACTGATAACTGCGATAGGTGCCGTAGTGGTCTGTAACAGAATCAGTTCCTCTCTATCGACTCTAGAGTAGACTCACAACATCATTATCTACCGGTAATTATTTTCGCCAAAGGGGACGTCCATACATCCGAAACATTGATTTGGTGCACCAACTGCCATCTTGAACCCGGATTACGAACTATAATACCAATTACCATTTGACAAGTATAGAGTAATTGGCGACGGATAGTGAATTCATCGCGTGACGTTGAACGAGTCAGCTAAGGGTTATATTTACGAAGTTCAGTCAAAATTAGAGAAATCGATAGTACCTTCTTTGGCCAGTTTGTGAAGAATCCCACTGCGGAATTTCTGGGTTATACATGACTAAGGTCTTTCCTATTCCCCCTACTCCGTATAAATTGAATCCGCTTGAATGCGTTATTTGGCAGAGAGCAGAAGAAAGTGAAAATAATGGACGTAAAAAGTTTCCTCCTTCCACCTTGTCAAATAGATAAATAAATGCCTCATTGTAGTTAGAAAACTATCAGCCTACTCAGGATGCAAAAAGTTGAATATGCTGTTTCTGGAAGATTTCTGTTTTCCAAATAAAACGTAGCATCTCCTTACATATCAGTCATTGAAATAACGATGTAAAGAACCATAGAAAAATTTATCTTACTACTATTGAAAAAAAGACAAAATTACACAATTGTGTGATGAAGCTTTCCACGAGAGGTCATGTTTAAGTCGTCTTACAGCTACTACTACTTTCTACCCTGGCTAAATATAAAAATTCTAATCTCCAGGAGTTATTTTTACCAATTGTCTGATTCTTACTTTTTTAATAAATTCTGTATTCAGCGGTTGTTCCCCGTCCGGTTGTTCGGTATCCCAGAACATTTCAGAATCAACGCACGAACTTTTCGATAATTCTCTACATTGTTCCTTGTTCTTTCTTTTTGTGAGCCATCGCGAAATGTTTTCGCTTCTAACATTTTCCACTACATATTCTTCTAATAATCCAGGATAAAAAGACAAAAGGGAAGATAAATGTCGAGAGACGTCATCATTTGAAGCCTTCTCGAGGCTGAAATCTTTTACGGGCAGGAAGTCAGGAGAAGACGCTGCCCTTTCTGGAGCACAGGGACTTGTTGCCTGGTGCCCGGGAAATGGCAACCGTGGCTGTGATCCCATTTGTCGATAGGGCCACGGCGACGCCATAGTATCCTCGTATTGACTAACGTTTCAAATTATTCTGATTTTTCCTATTTCTGGCGACATTCTATTTTTTTATATTATGACGTGACAATCCCGATGAAAAAACAGAAGATGCATCGATTGTAGATGAATATGAATGATGATTCCCAACGGGGGCCCGTGGCCGAGCAGTTGAGGGGGGAGGGGATTAATTTTGATGCGTTTTTTTTCTGCGTATTTTTCCGTTTAAAGGAATTTTCATTACGTGAAAAGGTTCTTCCCAGTCGCATTTCAAACAGCTTTGACTTATCAGCCTTCGGTTTGTTTTTGCACGCCATAAAATGTTTAGAATGTTTTTTAGAATCGTGAACAGAAGGCTATGGGCTAAAAGCATTCGGAAGGGGGTCACAAGCCATGAAATGTTGGGGACCACTAAATTGGAAATATCAAAAACACCATAATTGTAAAATGATTATCGTGTGATTTATGTTTTCTGATATAAAATTCGCTTATTACCCTTTTAATTAGAAAAATGAACGATGATGCCAAGAAATAAGTTTTTTTTTTTCGGAATGAGCAAGTTTTTTCTGCAGACTCCGTCACCCATTCCTTCATATTATTTATGTTTTATCTCATTTTGTTCATTTCATTTGCTTTCATCTATGGTACTATATCATGTCAAGGTTAGTTTCTATGATTGGTCCGAAAAACCGACCCGCAGAAAACGATATTCAGTCATGGATAAATACTGCTATATTATTTTTTTATGGGCTTATATTTATAACAGTGTTGATTTTGTTTTTGGGATAATAAATCCCTATATGTTTTTGTACTCTATTAATTGTACCAAATAGCTAAACGATTCAAAAATACCCACAAGGTTGATGCTAGAGGTAAGCAAGAACACTTCAGTCACGTATTAAATATCATTGTTTTTCAAGGACTATGCTGAAACCTTTTGAAACAAAATGATAATATGAGCTCTGTGATCTCTCAAAGTAAGCACTTTGATCGCCCCTGCTCGATAACCATCTTTGGTTTATCTCGGCTTTTTTAGCCCAGTTAAACTGCGTGCCTATCTTTTTTAACGTAATTGTATGCAATTGACTCCATTTTACTGGTTGGAATCAATTAACTTGAATTGACTTGCTGCTTGAATTTTTCGAAGGAAAAATTATGGTTTTGAAGATGTATAAAAAACAAACAGAACTGAAGGCCTTGAGCGCGCTCCCTGCACCACACTCTCCGAGATAAAGTTTCTGCCCATGGTTTCTGCCTGTTTTTAACATTGATTTGCCGTCGTCTCTTCGAAATATAAATAGTGATTTCTGGATTTCTCAGGCAGTCAGGCTTCTAACAATCTTGACTTCAAACTATTAACCGATGGCGTCCTTGACAAGGTAAGATCGTTGATCAACCTATATTTCAGGTGGTAAACTGCATTACCATTACTCTGCTTCAGTTCATTGGTTAAAATCATTGAACACTGGAATAACTGTTATCGGTTTCAGTTAGCTAAGTCCAGAACCTTGGGTTTTAGATAAGACCGTACACCGCCACCCAGGCACCGGTGCAAGTAGGACAAGTTTTTTGAACTCCAACATAATAAATTACAAAAATGACAAGACAAACATGTCTGCATGTAGAATTGAAATTTCTGAATAGGGCACAGTTCTACGATTCCAGGAATAGCCACCACAATGAAGTACATCGGGTCTCCTGAAGCACACGTAATACGGCCTTCCAAAGTACAAGCATGGTTGTGCAGACAATCATCCGAAATGGAGCAAGCTATTTCAGTACGGTACACTATCCCGAATCCGGATTTGCGTCTACATTCCGGAAGAGCCAATAAATGAATAGGCTTCTGTGAAACGGGGGGCGTCGAGTCGTCTGCGAGCTCGATGCGTGAGAACGTCAGATGTCTGGATATGACGTCGAAGAAAGTCACGCACAGATCGGCAGTTCGGCACGGCTCTCGAATTTTGCTAATTTGATTTTCGTTTTTTACCGATGTATACTGACTGACCTATATGGTTAGATATACGATGTATTTCTGAATCATTATATTCAGTCTACTGTTGGTAGTGCCTAATTAAAATAATGTCGCGTAAATGCAAACGTCTGTGAATAAAATAATTACTTTTAAATAATATCAAGAGATTACAAAATTATGCGTTTCGATTAATACGTCTACGAGTCCAACTAATTTTATTATAAGTGTTTGTGACTACATGACATAGTTTGAATTGTCGTATAACGAAGTCAAAACGATGCACGATATCGAAGTTTTTTTTTTCAATAGTTAAATCAATATCGATAGTGAAACTTTGTATGTCCGTTGATACCTGTAATTACAACAATTTAACATAGCATCTTCGGTTATTTAGAACTGGAACATTCCAGAATGCACAACGATTACGATATCATTTAATAATTATATTCGAGATTTTTATTTAAATTTGAGCGTCAACAATCCATAGTAAAATAAAAGCCTCGATGATTAATTGGATTGAACTATTTTGCCAATTTGATTCTTGTTTTTCACAGACTACGCAAGTTGATCATTTGCGGCATACGAATGCATCGATGCGGCATTATATTAATTTGATTCTTGTTTTTCACCTATCTATTCTTGCATAAATCACGCAAATTAACATTTGCGGTATATGATTGCCTCGACGTGGCATTGAATTAAAATATTCACGTATTCCGTATACTTAGAAGTAAAACATTCACGACATATGAATGTATCGATGCCGCATTATATTAGTTTGAATCTTGTTTTTCATCGATCTATACTAGTATAAATTACGCAAATTGAACATTTACGGCATATGAATACATCGATGCGGCATGATATTACATTATTTTGCTAATTTTATTCTTGTTTCTTGCCGATCTATTATTGTGTAAATTACGCAAGTTGATCATTTGCGGCATATGAATTAAATTATTTTCGTATAGATTAACATTTGTGGCATATGAATGCCTCGATGTGGCATTGAATTAAATTATTCTCGTATACCGTAATTTTCGAAGTTAAACATTTGCGGCATATGAATGTATCGATGGGACATTATATTATTTTGAATCTTGTTTTTTACCGATCCATACTAGTATAAATTATGCAAACTGAACATTTGCGGCATATGAATACATCGATGTGGCATTATATTAAGTTATTTTGCTAATTTGATTCTCGTTTTTCGCCGATCTATTCTTGTATAAATTACGCAAGTTGCACATTTTGCGGCATATGAATGTCTCGTTGCGGCATTAGATTAAATTATTGCTTTATGAACTAATTCATCTAATGCTATATCGAGGCATTAATTTTACTGTTTATCGATTGTGTGTTATCAAAATGTAATTTTTATTATCTCTGATCCATTTATTATCGTTAACACGCCATCCTATCTACATTGAAAATGAGAGAAACACGGCACGCCAAGGTTTACGTCGAAGAACGGCCGATGCGTGCCTGCGTGCGTCGATTGAAATTCAGTGACGTCACACGCCGCCAATCGTTTTTTGCTCATTTCTCTCGAACGCACCGGTAAAATTTTTTTTACATCAGTAGATCTGATTATTTTTTCACGAGGAATTCAATGGTGATGGTTTTAGATTGCGCTTTTTGTTAGTTTACTGCGCAGCTTCAATTTATCGATATCGGGAGACAAAATCCGCCAGACGTCCCTCGAAGGAGGGATATTCGATCACCGTTAAAATAGGTTTCTCTAAAACGAGAGATTGTCTCTCGATCTGTAAAGTGTGCTGTACTGTATTTCTCTCGTTTTCTCGTCGAAACGATACCAATAAAAGAAAGATCGCTGACGTTAGTGAGTTCATTATAGTCGGCACAGATGCCATTTCCGTAGGCAGGTAGGGGAGTCACCACCCCTGTAGCTCCAAAGGCCCACCACATCATCTCAAAACAGCAAACTGCAAGGAAACGCAATTGGATTCCTTGGAAAAAATAATCTAATTTACCAAAGGAAGAAAAATTTACCGTAAAATTTGTGAATTTTTATTAAAAGCACACAATTTTGGGGTCTAGTGAAGTAAACGCCGTAGCTGTCCAAATACTGAAATAACACCTAACAAAAATGTCAAATGAATGCTGAAACTGCTCAAATAACGCCAAACAAAAACGTGATGTGAAATTGTAATGTAATTAACGTAAAAGTCTGTAGGGCGCCGAAAGAAATTCTTGAAACACGCGCTTAGTTCAAATCAATCCCACTAAATTTTCAACTAAGCAGGTATGTTCCATGTTGTTCGAGGTATTGTGTTCGTGCAAGATAGACCCTTATTTTTTTTAAAAAATGAAAATTTGGGTTGTATTTTTACATCGCATTTTTGTTTGGCTTTATTTAAGTACAGCTATTATTTTCACACCACATATGAGCCATTCCAAGTGACTCTACAGTACAATTCCAGAAATTTTGCATGTTGTTAGATGCAATATATTTTTACATTTTTTGCCACAGGTTTTGTTTCATTGTCCAATCAGTTGCTTTATGTCTTAAAATATAGCGTGACTCCACAGGACAGCAAATCCACTATGCATTAACATTTCATTGTGTTGTGTTGTAAATTTTCGTGCTGGTGCAGCGGGAGCCCTAAATATTTTCTGGTTAAGTAACTGAAGGACCCCTCTATGTGCCACTCAAGTTACTCAATGTAACACTGTAGATTCATGACGATAATGTGCACATTGTACGTGACTCTACAGGACGTGACACTACTAGACATTTTTCCACTTCGGAACAGCGGCCTCTATCATCTCTTACAATTCTAACAATAAATTGTTAAATAGGTACAGACATGTCCTACAGCATTGCAAACACTTACCGTAATCTTCATTAACTTATGTCCAGTTCATCTTTTTGAAATGAATTAACTGTACCAAACAATCAAACACTTTTTGTTACGATTCATCACAAAAAATGTCAATTATATCAAAATTTCTACATTTTAGGCCATTTTGTGTAATTTGGGTGAAATTTTAACTTTTTTTATGAAATGAATGCAGTTAAATAAAATTCAAGTGTCTTTTAATATAAAAATACAAAAAAATTACTTTTACTGCACTTCTTAAAAAATTGATGAAATTCAACTTTTGCTTGGAATGGCCTATTTGTGTTTGGCGCAGTTTATGCAGTTACTGCGTTTACTTCACGAGACCCCAATTTTGGTCATGTGACAGCCTTCACGTCACGATTGATTTAAATTATTACCGAGACAAGCTTGATTCAGGAATGTTTGGTTCTATTGAATCAAATCTCGGGGCATCTTGGAATCCGAGAACTGTGCCATACTGAACATTGATGACTCATGAAACTGATGGTTTGGAAAGCTATAATATCTAACCCTTTTAAAGGAATTGTTGAATAATTGCGAAAAAGCCTTAAAACTTGTATTATCTCTTAACAACTTCACACCACATTACCATAAATAAGAAGCCCAAAATTAACCGTAAAATGAAAGTGATTGTTTTTATTAGATTTGGATACACTGATAAAATCATGATCAACGATTTGGTAAACGATGAATCCCAACATGTTACTGTGTGAAGAGCCAATATTGGCAGAGCTGATGAGACTTAAAAACTATTAACAAACCACAAACCCGCCCTACCACCCTCAGACCCCTTCCACAAAACCACAACAAAGTTTGCTCAATAACTTTTCTTTTAAAATTTTATAATCTAGGGCAGCGGTGTGCAACCAAATATCAAAAACTGGGTAAAACCGCAGGCGCACCTTCATTCAACATTGGCTTTCTATTGGTTGCAGGCACAAAATAGTGTCTTTTTGTTATTGATCTCATGACGTCATCGTTAGGGGTCCTTGCAGGAAACGCATAAATTTCTTAAAACTGTTATTCTAATATATTTTCACACACAATCTAAACGAATTTAGTGAGAAATTTGCTGCTGGATTATTTTCCCGACCACTTTTACCCAAATTTGCTTAAATAGAAGTTCTAGCATTTCGATATGACGCCCATTTTAGAAAAAAATATGTAATCGAAAAGTGCCTTGTTTGAAGCTATGACTTTTTTCAAATGTGGAAAGCTATCTTATTTGAGATGTTTTTTTGGTATAATACGCCAAGATTCATTTCCAAATACTTTGCTGTCAAATCTTATTCTAGATTAGATTTAAACAAAAGCAACTGATAGGCTGAAACCAAAACTCATTTAGCTTTTGTATCTCTTAATATTAAATTTTTTCAAACGGTTCCTAGTTGCCTAATCTTCAATTGCCCGTTATCACATCATTAGCGTCTGCTCCGCAATTTTCTTTCAATTGTTCGCTGCTCGGCCAGTGACAGCTTTGTGAATTGCGTTGTTTGCTTCGCTGAAAGGACATTGTAACGTCATAGGCATAGATAATAAATTGGACTCGAATATAAGCTTTGCGATGCAAAGGGAACCAGATTAAACTAAATTAAAAACTAGTTTAGTTGGCCGCTACACCAAACAAAATTGGCTCTTCTCCGCGGGCCGCACTTTGCACACCCTTGATTTAGGCCCTAGGGTAATTAATCCCTATTTTTGGCTACTCGCTAGTGTCAGTGTATATTTACTCAATATAATATTTTATTATTTGCAGTATTTTGCCGGCACCTTCGCAAGTTTCTTATGAATATATTGAACCACAGCGGCAAACCTCAAAAGCAGTTGTTTCTTCAAAATTTGAGCCACCTCCTTATGGACACAGGAAAGGCTTCGTTCCGCGAAATGAACAAGATTTTGGTGATGGTGGTGCATTCCCTGAAATTCACTTAGCTCAATATCCTTTGGTATATTTTCAAATAATTCTCTTTTAATTCCCTATTTTTTTTAATATTACTACTTTATTAGGTTTTTAAATTGTCTAACCAGCAACATTTTGAATGTATATATCAGGGGGTATATTGATTTTTTCATATAAAAGTTAATGATTTTTTGAATCAAAAAGCTCTCATACCTCACTTCACCTCACTGGTCAAAATTTTGCCAATAGAATAGTAGATTTAATCATCTGAAATTTTCCTTTATAATGTTTTGCTTTTTCACCATAATTCACCATAAAGGAGTTCATTAGCATGAATTTTAAGACCAATTTCTTACTTCAGAAAAATCCCGATTTCTTAAATGAAAACATGTATTTGTTGTTTTCACATTATGATGGTGGTTATGATATGCGTAACTGACCATTTCTTTGAGCAAGACGAGCCAATATTTCTAGGGAGAAAACTAGCTTCCGTTTTGGAAAGTTTTTTCAAGATAATCGATATAAGTTTATTTACTCAGACGAATGTACGATTGAATATGATCATTACAATAGGAACAATGAAAATAAGATAATATTGAAAGTCGAAAGATATTGACGTTTTGTTTACTTCAGGGTCTTGGACTGAACAAATCAAAAAAATCAAATGCGCTTGCGGTGAAACTTGATGCAGAAGGAAAAGTACGTTATGATGTCATAGCTAAACAAGGGCATAGTAAAGATAGGGTAAGTACTTCTACTTATTATATATGTCGTTACTATATGCATAGTATTATTTGATAACATTTGTGTTTGTTTGATATTTTTTTATGCATTTAGATGACAACCTTGCTCATTACTTTTATTCATGTGCTATTGATAATGCATGACATTAAAACTTTGTCTGTCAAAGATCCAAAATAATTTTGATTAATTCATCACAATAACTATGGGGAGTCATCATTTACATTTGCAATACAATTTTGAAATATGACAGTTTCTATTATTGGATTCGGAATTTAGAATCTATATTCTGAATCATGGCATCAAGATTTTGGGAATTATTTCAGATTACTAAAGTTGGAAGGTGAAATTGTCCAGAGTAACACTTCAAACAATGATAAAAGTGCCAAAGTAGTATTTGATCTATATTTCATTGCAATCTGCACAAACTTATATCTGGATTACAATTAGTAAATCAAACCGATAATACCATACTTTAGTTTTCTCGTCATACACAACAGTCAATTTTTTATGCTTATTTTGAAAGAAAAATTAGCCCAGGAACCAAAATTAGTCACTGGACCTGATCATTTGTTTTTGTAGGTTGTTCACAGTAAATTTTCCGACTTAATTCCAAAAGAAATATTGGATGAAGATGACCCAGAGTTGCAAAGACCAGATGAAGAGGCTGTGGAAGAGGTGAATATTATTTATAGTCATCACCATTGTTATGGAGTGGGAGGATACAATTATCATTTTTTATATTAGTTACATTTCGAATTTCATTTTTTGATTTTAATGAAATTATTTAAATTAAATCCATACAAAAATGAAATAAAGTAAGTTGTAGCTGAAGGATGGTCATTGCATATCATCTAAAGATTTTTTATGTAGTTTATTTGGCGCTACTGGTGTTTTGCTTTATTAGGTCTTGTTTTTTATGTTACAGACAACAGAAGCAACCCGCAGGGCTTTGGAAAAACTGACAAATGAAAAAATCTCAGCCGCAATGCCTGTAAAGCGTGCAGAAGCAAGAGCACCAGCACAATATATAAGGTGAATCATCTTAGGCGCTGTGAAACTTCTGATTTGTGTGACAACAATGTTATTCGCTTAGTTTTAAGCTACCGAACCTCTAGTTAGTTCTTAGTATTGTTGTACTTACATCAGTGCAACAAGCGACAATTAAATTTTTAAAACTACCTATAAGCTATTAGTAATCATAAACAAACACTGCATACTCTGAATTTTTTGTAAATTTGTAATTAGGACGAGTGAGAATATGAAATCCAAAACAGTGTTTACATTTACATTAAACATTTCAAAATCTGTATGGACGATATTGGATTGTACTTCAATACAATGGTTCTCATATCAAAAAGACAGCAGCAAATTTCTAATTGAATTGGATTTTCTGCTTTTAATTGCATACTTTTGTCGTACTTTTGTTTAATTATATTTTGTGTTTTTGACATATTGTGTCGATTTTAAATGATCACTGTTCCGCAAAATTAGTTTTTTTACCGGTCCACAAACTGAAAAATGTTGAAAACCACTGCTGCAACCACCACTGTGGATGAACTTTTCAAAAATATAATATATATATATTCTTTTTTGACTCTATTTTTGCTTATTAATGAAATTAGTTGATCATATATTTGAAACAGGTATACTCCATCACAACAAGGAATGTCGTACAACTCTGGAGCGAAACAGAGAGTAATACGGATGGTGGAAGTACAATCAGATCCTATGGATCCACCTAAATTCAAGTAAAAATTCAACACATTTTCATAAATAATAGATTAAGTGTAGTAATATTAATGTAGTATGGATGGCGCGACAGAAGCATGTAAGACTGGTGAGTTCGGGCCCCACTTATTAAGACAATCTGGAAAATGTTGAAAAATCAACTAAAAAGCACCAGACATGCATAAGACTGGGAGTAAATATCTGGAACAAATCTTCGTCATACCATAATATACCTGGGGTGCTGGTGGGCTTTCACTTTTACTTAACAGGCCGTGAACGATGCTCGATAAACATCCAGGTTCCTCAGTTGTCCCACACTCGAAGATAGTGAAATACAGTTCATTTTATTCCATAATTGCTCAGGGATGATTAGATTGCATGTGGTTTCTCAAATTGCTTAGTTATTGTCAGCATCTTGGTTTTGTGAGCTCGCAGAAAATATATTTTTTTCAATATGAATATTTAGAACGAATAAAAAGATTCCGAGAGGTCCTCCAAGTCCTCCTGCTCCAGTGATGCATTCGCCAAATAGGAAAGTTTCTGTTAAAGAGCAGCAAGATTGGAAAATTCCTCCGTGCATTTCCAACTGGAAAAATGCCAAGGTAATTGAATTTGAAATCATAATATTCTGTTATATGCATCCAAGTGATAACTGACAAGCTGACGGTTTTCCAATATTTTTGTGTTACTGATTCCTATATAGCAGAGGTTCTCAAAGTTCCTAATACGGAGCTCCCAGGCTCTGTGAGAGAAAACCTAGTGGCTTCGCGAGGTTTTTATTTACTTACTAAAATACTGACTTGCCTTATTTTGTAACTGTTCTTATTTTGTAACGACGACTGCATTAATGAAACGAGACGATAATTTAAATATGACATTGCCATATCTAGTTCGAATAGATGTTTTAAAAACCACCTTGTTGCCACAATTTGAATATTCTTTAAATACAAATAAGCAAATACATCCGAGTCATTAAATGAAGTAAAATTCAAGCAATTTTAATTTACTCAGGAACATTAACCGGTAAGAAAATAATGTGTTTTATTTTTATGATTTTTATAAACTTATGGCGGAGCTCCGTAAATAAGAGTCAACCTCTTCACAGACTCCATAACACCATAAGTTTGAGAACCCCTGTTATATGGGATGTGAAGCTATTTGTTAAGACACTATGAGGAATGTTACTTCGTTAAATTGTTTTTATATTTTTCTAATATATTTCTAATTTTGAACTGCAGGGTTATACAATTCCTCTTGACAAACGTCTTGCAGCAGATGGCAGAGGATTACAGAGTGTTCACATCAATGAAAACTTTGCTAAACTTGCGGAGGCTCTTTATATTGCGGACAGAAAAGTAGGTTTGTTTGATGAATAGGTAACTAGATTAAGATATAATTTCATATCTCAAGGGAGAAAAAACGCAATGATTGAAATCATTAGAAATCATATAGCAAGACATGGCCTGCATTGAACCTACACATATTTGGGACTATGTATATGTGATATGATGCCGTTAGATTTTATTGCTTATAAGATGGGTCTGTGTGAAATATTTAAATAACAAAAAAAAATTTTTCAAACTATTTTTTTATGCGAACAATGATGGTTATAGGAAAACTGAAAACAATGTTGGCACCATATATAATAAAATTGGAAGCTGCAAAACCACTTTTTATAGCTAATCTGAATGTATTTTTAAATTAGCTTTGCTTGAAAATAAACATCTTAAATAAGTTATATAATTTTTGGCTCAATATTTTTCACTTTGAGGTTTTGATAAATTGACATCTTTGGCATTACCATAACATTTTTTAATCACAAGGCACGAGAAGCAGTGGAAATGCGAGCACAAGTAGAAAGAAAGATTGCTTCTAAAGAGAAAGAATCGAAAGAGAAACAACTCCGAAAACTTGCTGAAGATGCAAGGATGAAAAGAGTTGGAATCCGGCCTGAGGGAAAAGGTTGGTTGTGTTATATTCGGAAAAATGTCACAACCATATTTACAATACATTACTTTGATCCACTCTCTCAATGTCAAAAAATGCATTGCTGTAATATGATTTGAGAGATTTGTGTTTTGGTGGCCCAATGAATACATGGAGTTATGCATTATTTTCAGTATGTCCAATGATTTGCAACTTACATCAACTATGGACTAGGTATCACTCAGATATACTGAACTATTCCTGTTATAACTGGATTATTTTATATTAATGCTCATGGCTTTACTCGGTAACAACCATTCAAGATGTTTTAAATATGATGCTTACATGCATGAGAGTCTGTCAAGAGTTTTGCTGTATAGTTACACAAATTTATATTTGTAACGATTCATCTGACCGAGGCCAAACTTGCATTCAAACTGCATCTCAAACCCAGAACTTCTGGATTGGAATTTCAGCAAGGTACTCATTGTGCTTCGGAAACTGCATTTCAAAAACTTAGGCACTTGCTGCAATCATAGTAAATGTATAGATATTAAATTTCGTGATCTGACCTATGTCAAATAAAACATTTTTAATGGCATCTAAGCTGTTGCGGTTAACGACTATGACAAAAAGTAATTTGCCTAACCAAGTCATAAATAACTTACATGCCTACAACGATGCTTGATGAAAAATTTTTTAAAAAAATCAGAAACAAAAACTATTGGACATAATGCCACATATTTCTATACAATTTTAGATAAGGATTTGCAAGAAAGAGAAGATCTTCGTAAAGAACGTCATCGAGATAGGCAAAGGGAGAGAAACATTGCTCGTGCTGCTCCTGACAAAAGGTAGGAATTTGACATGCTTGGAATATCTAAATATATATATGAAGTCAAGAAAAACTTAAAAAACATATTTATATAGAAATAATGTTTTTGGCTGGGAAGCCATCAAGCAACATATCATATCGTGTTACTGGAGGAGAATTGTATTTTTGCTTTCAACATTGTCCGCTTTATTAAAAGTGTCATTTTGTTCAGAAATCGCCTGAGAGAAGAGAGAGATATAAGTGAAGAAGTTGCATTAGGATTACCAAACGCTCGACGATCACAAGATTCCATGTTTGATCAACGACTGTTCAATAAAACAAGGGTAAGAAAACATTGCATTAATTCGATTATTTAAGTGGCTGTAATGTTAAAATTTAGTGATGGTGTTTTCTGACAGACATAGAATAACTTAATTGCACCAGTATTGTGTGAAGATATGTTCAGAAACATCTCCAACATAGCAGTTGTTTGGGAATTTTAGCTCTGTTTAGATATCACAAATATTTCCATTGTTTCAGGGTATGGACAGTGGTTTTGCAGGAGGTGAAGATGACATGTATAATGTGTATGATCAAGCTTGGAGAAGTGAAAAAAATATCGGTAATAGCATTTATCGACCTCGCGCTGATAAAGACAAAGACTTATATGGAGATGATGATGTCGATAAAATGATCAAATCGAATAAGTAAGTTTTGGTATAAAGAGATTGTGGATTGTGATATGAATGAGTGAATGATTTGTATTGGATCTAGATATTGTGAAAACTTTGGAACCATTCCTCTCTTGACAATTTGAGATATTAGATAATTAAGTTGATGCTCATTCTGGACATATTGTCAAAAAAAGCGTATGAAAGTGAATGACGGATGATTTTTGTGTAAACAAAAATCTTCAATGATGCAGAACTCTTGCGTAGTCATCTGCTTAATATGTTTCTATTATTTTCAAATTGGTTTCCTGCTAGTTCCATCATAAATTGGATATGTCACTGGAACAATTTTCGTTGTGAGAACCTTGCACTTGGATAGTATGTTAACTTCATCTTTGCTGCCAATAATCTTCCATAAAGATTCTAAAAATCAACCAACAGTTATTTCTGCCTTCTAGATTTGTTGCTGATCGTGGATTTGAAGGAGCTGATCATTCTCGTGAAAGAGAAGGACCTGTACAATTTGAACGAGATGAAGACGATCCTTTTGGTTTGAATAAATTCTTGGAACAAGCTAAACAGGTCAGTGTATAGTTCGAGAACAATGATGGGTTTTTAAATGCAGTAAGAAATCAAAGATTCCAATTCTGAAGTATATATAAAGGAGCTAGTATGGTTAAGACTTGAGGCGTTTCCAAGACATTTTGGAGAACTTTTTATTTAAAAACATTGCAAGAAATAGATGCTTCTTATTGAGCTAGTATCTAATCATAGTTTGAAGAAGCAATATTCAGGAAATTATTTTAATAAGAAGTTGAAGGTGTAAAAAAATGTAATTTTTCCAGATTTTCTCAGAACAGTATAAGTTTTGCTCTTTGATCTGTCGACTTTTAGTATCATTAATAAAATTGAAAGAATTTTCAGTTTATTTTGGGTAAATACCATTGCTTTTTCTTATATTTTTATAGGCAAGTAAGCGACCGGCGGAGTCTGGGAGCAGTCGTTCTAGAGATGAAAGAAAAAGAAGCCGCAAGTGAATGATCACTGCTCAACGACATTCGAATGTTTATTAGCTCGCTATACTTGTTCTAGTGGCAGTCAAAGATAAACCATTGCCGAAAAACTAACAATATTTGTATGTGAGGAGTTGGATATTGTAAATGTTTTTCGTTTGTTTTTATTGCTGTTATCTTATCATGGGCCGAATTTTATATATAAAGTTTGAATAAAAAGCTCATTTGACTGTCTCATTCCAACTACTGTTTTAATTTAATTTAGATTTGTATTAAATTAAAACATTGCTGATAAAAATCAATGGTCATTTTTCATCTTTCAATCAGAAATGATAGTGATGATGAATATTTTCTTGCTTTTATGAGAATAAATATTTCACTGGTGAATATTGAGAGGCTTATTGTTCATTCCTACCATACCTGTAGGCAGGGCACCCATCTGCCAAAGACCAAAAAAGGGACTGTGGTGAAAACTAGTTATCCAAGGACATCAGCACAACTAAACGTTTTAGCAGGGTTCTTGGTGTTTTTTGACGTGTTTTCACTGTTTTTAAGCGTTTTAGCAGGGTTAATCGGCAACAAAATTTTTTATTTTATTGCAACACAAGATCTGCTTGGAGGGCAAGGGTAGAAAGCAGTATCCAGGAAATGAATGAAGATTTACAGCGTTCAAGGATGAATTTCAGATAACAATCAAAGCTGCATCTGTTTTTTAACAATAAGGTTGATGTTGTGTTTATCTTGTTGTGAAATTAAGGACAAATGTTTGAAACAAAAACAAATTTTTAAAAATATACCAAAGAAGAACGTATTGGCCCCTATGCTTGTAGGAGTTTCTTTACCGTGATTGTTTCCCCAATTGTGGCACATTGTGGCTTTTCTAGCAATGGAGTGGTTTCCGAACTGATTAAGTATTCACAGTGAATTAATGTTGGAATCAAAGTACCATTGCTGATATCCGACATTCAGCCGCTGCATCGTTTATATATAGAGGAAAACAACAATGTTTTGTATTGCTTTGTTTGAATGTGGTTTTAAAAATTTTTCCTTGCAAATCAATGCCAATGGCGTGGCGGTGTGGCTCATCGTGCTAAGCGTTAGGAATACAGCTGCGACACCGCACTTATGATTACTCTGCGTGGGTTCGCAGGTTCGAATCCCATGTGGGGATGGTCATGTGCGAGAGGATTGCTAGACTCCTCACCGCGGTAGGGTGGTTCACGTAACCGCTGGTCGGTTGTGGCTTCTTCCACCATCAAGTCTATGCTTTCGAAAACAAAGTACTAACTAATCCCATACCCGACATGGAATGGTAACCAGACGAGTGGCCGTGATTCACCATATGGTTCAGTCGTCTTATCATCTTTCCCTGGATAGATATGTGAATCCTATTCTAATATAGTTGAAAATTTCTTTCCAATTCGCCAGGCTTGCACTGCAGTAACAAAGTGCAAGAGTCTGGGAACCACTGCACTGAAGCATGAGGAACAACTCTTCTCCACATAATGGCCGTAATTTGAGGCTGCTATCTGATCTTGAAAGCTGTTGGCTGAAAATAACTACAATTCCTGTTTTATTGAATAAACCTACAATCACTAATACTGTTTTTCATGTCATGGTTTTGTGTACAATTCAACTGATCATTGAGTGGATAATAGGCTTGCTTGCATAGACTTTAGGGTATTGCCATATAAACACTGGAAGTTGTAAGTCGACCCTTTCATGACATAAAGTTAAATCATTTTCATGTAATTGGCGTCTGTACCATGAAGATCACTCCGAAATATTCAAATATAAGTTCTTTTATTAATATGATCAAATACACACAATAAAAATAAATATATTTCAAAGATTAATTATTTGGATCTCAAAAGGATACAACTCGTGTAATTATTGGTTTTATCTAATTAATTTATTTAGGCATAACATGATAATAATAGCAAACTAGCATAGGAATGTAATAAGCAGATACAGTAATTTAGTATATTGTTATATGCTTTATTGTGGTTATATATTGAAGAAGTATAAATGCATATAAGTTTACAAAATTAGTTGAAGAAACACAGTTTTGTTTAAAAACGGGATTTGACTAAAAACAGAGAAATTTATTAAGCCAGTCCACAGATTATTATTAGATATGTCAGAATAACATAGCATGAGTTTTCTTAATAACTGATACCACATAATGCAAATCCGATGTGCATGCTTATACCGCAAATATTAATTGCACTGATGGAATGGAATGTCATTCTATCCAATAAGTTGCATATACATTAACGGTAAATAAACAGTTAGATATAATAATGACAGAGATGAAGAATAGTTGGTGGCCACATATTTTTCAGCCTTGTTTTGGTTCCAAAATATTTCTTTCAAAGACGGCCCCCTTTCTACCGTATGCTGTTATTAGATTATTCCAGAGCTCATCTACTTGAAGAAGATCCCGATTTCCTACAAAATGTAAGTTCATGATAAGAACATATCACAACAACCCTGAAAAGAGCTTAGAAAATCCACCCATGGAAGATTTTATCTATCTGATATTTCACCACTCCAAATTTAACCCTTATTTCTGTTAAGATTTAAATTTTAGTCACTTCCCTGTACATTATTGTGCTGGTTGTGTTTTAATACATCAGTGAGGCATGTTTAATATTACTATCAGAGAAAGCTGAAGTGGCTAAATGCAAGATTTGTCAAAATTCCAGAGTTCATCTGGCAGAAAAGTTTTAGAGTTACTCATTATGTGTAGCTATTTGTAAAACTTTCACAAGAGAAAAAAAGGTTTTCTTACCAATAATGATTAGTCGACGTCGTGCTCTCGTCAACGCAACATTAACCTGATTACGATCAATCAGAAATCCAAGATGTTTTCTCCGCCATTGAATATTTGGCATTGAAATTATGGAAGAATCGGGAAGTGATCTCACAGTGGATAGTATAACATAGTCTGCTTCACTACCTGTCGTAGAATTAAACAAAGACTTGGTGGTCAGAAAGTCACTTGCACAAGAAAGCTCCAAGTATAATTAAAACTACTAAGGTGTTCACACCTTGGCTTGTCACGACTGTTCCGACATGAACATCTTGCAAATTGCTGTGATTTCTTCTGATATTCTCTCGAATTCTTGCACATTGGGCAGTGTATGGTGACAAAATCATGATCCGATGTGTTTGAATTTTGGATGTGTGCAGTCTGATAAGAAGTTTTATCTAAAATGGAAATGTGAAACCACCATTGACAAAAGTCACATTATAACAACAGGAGCAAGACTATGTAGCGCTGTCCTATGTTTTTCAAGTGTTGTTGGCATTGCTATAATTCAGCATGATTTGAAATGGAAATTGACTGGCAATGTCTAGCAATATTAATATGGTCTGATCCAACAGTCAATAACTGCCAATACTGTCAGCTATGCTATTAATTTTTTGCAGCGATAATTTTAATGATAAAAAGTAACCTAGTTCAAACAGTTAGTTTTAGGGTTGGAATCACAAAATTATTATTAGGGTACTTTACACTGTCTTTTTGTGACATTATTACTCCACAAAAGGGAATTCAGTGCATTGCCCAATCCTCAGTAGTTATATAAAAAAAATTTGACAGGTCAAGCACACTTCACATACATTTTAAAGCAGTCGAATATTAAATATTTTGCATGGCAACATGCCAGAAGTTTATTTCTGAAAACAAAATCTCACATCTTAATAGCCTCATATTTGGTATATCATTTTTACACAAACATATTTAAACCGAAAAATAAGTATTTCTTGAGTAACTATCTATCAGACAATAATATTGAATGCCAGAACTTACCACTGCTCGGACTTCTGTCATGTTGTATTTCGATTTTTCTCCACCTTCTGAAGATTTGAAGTTCTGAATTTTTTCTTCTCCCTTGACATTCCAAAACACTGCTGCCGTGTTTTTGATCCACTTAAATGGATCACATTTGTCTTTTGGTCTTTGCAAAACAGATTCATCACAGATAAGCCTATCTTCATAAAACATTCTTGATGGAAAGTCCATGATTGTAGGATGCTGAAATATATAACAGATGAAAAAGATTACAAACAAGTTCTATCTGACAACGATGTAATATAGTGACCTTTGACCCGTGTCCGTTCATGTCTGAAGGTGACTTCTAAGTTCGGTACTTATCACGTGTACTGTGTGACATTAGCTGTTATGAGTTGGTACTGTGTGCATTAACTGTTTTAAGTTTATCTATCTGGAATGTGTTCTGTTTCGAATGTGAATAAAGTCTACAAATGCAATATAGTTGTGCGTGTATACACACCACCTTACATTGGCGACGAGGATGGGATACGAACCCACGCTTTCAGCCACAACTTTTCATGTGGTGATCAGTTTGGCCAGGTTGAGAAAACCCAAGTAATCCTCACAGATTTATAAACTTGGTTAAAAAAGAAAGCCACAATTAACCAGTGGGGCCATGAACTACCTTGTGGTTTCTAGAATTCATGCAATCATCTTGAATAAAATCATATCACACAGGCCTTAAAACCGTAAATAGAAGATAATTAAACAAACATCCAATTTCTCCTTCAAAGTCATCGGATGATTTAAGCGCTATTGATTAATGGCGTTTGAATTTAGGGATTTTGTGGTTTCCATTGAGCAATCTCCCAAGGTGATGTCAATACGATATAATATATATAAAAATTGTTTTTGTTTATCAGTTATGATGGAAGATGTAAAGCCTTAAATTTGTTTAAACTGTTACAGTCAGAGGTGACTTTTCAAGTTCTACCAATTATTATATAGGATCCCAGAAAATGATGGGTACTATTTATCTATATTAATGTTTCAAACATCTTTCTGACAATTGGTCACTATTTGTCTCTTTACGGCAGAAATGACAGATTCGGTAGAAATAGCGCATTCTCGATATCGAAACCGAGTCTTGAAAATGCGCTGTGTCAACTCTAATTCGGATCCTGACCCATCCCTACTTTATAAATACTTCGTGATCAAACTTATTATTTTATTTCAATCCAGGTTGATTCTTGTACAATGAATGGAATAACCACAATATAGCACCAAGCCCATAAAAGTCAACACACCAGGCACATCATACTCACCATTCTGTATTGGATTGTAAGCATTCCAGCAAACTCACTGTATCGATTGAAAAGTGAGCTACTGAGTCCAAGTCTTTCAGCAGTTGAACATTTGATTACAGGCCTCAGTTGTTTATGATCTCCAATAAGCACAACCTGAATGTAAAATATCATATTATATATTTTCAGAGTGAGGCAAATCCCTTCTCCCACCTTTTATATTCCTACTTTGGTAATGCTGTTGCAGTTATTCACCTTATTTAGGCAAATTTATGTTATTAAAGAACTGCCATTTTGTACTTTTGTTGTCTTCTAGAAATTGATTGAATTGAAAGTGATTTATTATGAAGTTTCAAAAAAATTCTCATGCATAAATATGACTTGGGCAGGTAAACGCTGTGCATTTATTGGGGAATGTTTTCTCACTATAACAGAGAATATTTAACTGAAAATGTTCTTGCTAATGATATTCTGATTACCAGTGATGAAGCTCACTTTTGTTTATCTGGTTTAGTCAGGAACCAAACTTTTTGGTACTGGGCGGAAAGAAACTCTAGAGCAGTGTTCTTCAACCTTTTTGACTGTGGTATACTTTTTACAAATTTTCCAGAACTTTGTATACATTACAAATACCAATGTTTATTCTAAGCACATATTGTACTGCAATATCATCATGCAATCTAATGGGCTATTCCCAAGTGACTCTACAGGGCAATTCCAGAAATTTTGCATGTTGTTAGATGCAATATATTTTTACATTTTAGCTACATGTTTTGTTTCATTGTTCAATCAGTTGCTTTATGGAGTTTGAAAAAAATTGCACAAAAATTACACACAAGACTTAATTAGTGGATATGAAACCAATAGTAAAATACAGCGTGACGCTACAGGATGGCAAATTCACCATGCATTAACGTTACATTGTGCTGTAGTTTGTTGCGATTATAGGCTACAGCAGGGGCCCATACTGCCATACTATTTTCTGGTGCAGTAGCTGAAGGACCCCTCCATGTGTTGCTCAAGTTACTTAATGTAACACTGTAAAGATCTATGCCAGTAATGTGCATATTGTATGTGACACTACAGGACATTTTCCACTTCGGAACAGCGGCCTCTATCATTTCTTAAAATTCTGGTAATAAATTGTTAAATAGGTGAAGACATGTCCTACAGCCTTGCAAATATTTAAACTGTATTAACTTAAATCCAGTACGTCTATTTCATATGAAATAACTGTATCACACAATCCAACACTTTGTGTCACAAAATATGTCAAATATACCAAAACTTCTACATTTTAGGTCATTTTGTGTAAACCCACAAAAACCTGAGTGAAATTTTAAATTTTTCGGTGAAGTGAATGCAGTCCAATAAAAATCCAATATCTTTTGATATAAAAATACGAAACAATTACTTTCACTACACTTTTAAAAAATTGATGAAATTCAACATTTGCTTGGAATGGCCCTGGTAGGCTAGTGTTCGCAAGTTATACATTTGACTGATGGGCTTGTTGTCAAAGGGAATAATGTTCAACATAATTTCAAAAGAAGTCCATGGCAGCCGAAATTACCAACCCAGACATTTTACCGCATTATCTATATACTTTGTGATGTACGGTATCAATGTGCTCACGTCGGTTCATTGCGTAAATAACCTTTTATATTTAATGTGCACTGCGTTTGCGTTGTTGTCTCCCCTTGAATATTTTATAATTCACTATATTCGAGTTTAGAATCCCTGACTTAGGCTGTAAACCCTTCGTATACCCTTTATCAGTTGTATACCCAAATCATGGACTGGTATACACTTGGGTATACCGTATACCCGGTTGAAGAGCACTGCCCTAGAGCACTACACAAAAGACGACCTCACAGCGAGCAAGTAACAGGGTAGTGTGCAGCTGCAAGTTTTGGAGTTTGTGGTCCTTACTTTTTTAGGATAATGAAAGAGCAGTTTCATATATCAGCTTGTTATGTACAAGTGCTGCATGATGCTAAAACTTGAGGATCTTAAAGAAAATGCAATGATGTGTATTGGACAAGATGGAGCAACTGCAAAAACATCAATGGATGTTTTGTGAGGATTCTTTTTGGAAATTTGTTTTCTTTGCATGGTAAAGAGGAGGTGATAAGAGAAGATTAACCCTTTCTGTGCGGTGGGCACGTATACGTACCAACGACAAAAGTCGCTAGATTGCGGCGGGTACGTTGATGTACTCCACTGTTTTATTCAGCAATCGGTCGCAAACTGTTGGTCTAGTATTTCCGGGTTTTAGTTTATTGATAAGAAGTCTTCTTCGAGATTAACATAAGCGACGGTAAATCTCGCTTTCGTTTATGACGGGAATTTTATTTGCGGCGGAACGAGGGAGTGTTTTTGAAATTTATGCAAATTTCGGTGTTTTTTGGGTGGTCATAGAAGACATATTATCCCTTCCATCTACCAAAGTATTTTGAGTTAGATCACGAAATTGCTACAGCAATATTATGCTATTGTTTGCCAACCACGAAGCGGTAACAGTAAAGGATTTAGCAAATATTTCTATTTTTTATCACGGTTTGAAGTTTCAACTCCCAAGAAAAAAAAATGCCCTTTTTCTATCCGGTTTGTGACTCAGACCACCACTTTTAAAAAAACTTTTTTTTTCATCGCCAATTGCAAGCTCTTTAAATAAGCTTCCCAACGAGCCGTCAGTGGGCAGCAGAGGATCAATAGTTTTTCGTTAGTCGATCGATTAGTTGTGGGGGTACAAATGCATAAAATCGGCGTAGCAAATACGATTATTTAATTAAAAATAAAAATCGCATGGAAAGGGTTAAGTAGAAAGCACTCGAGTGAGTTATTTTATTATTTTTTGTTTTTCACATTTTAACAAACAATTTTTTGAGACAACATCAGAATATGGTATGAATAATATGAATATGAAATACAATTACATAAGCGGAATATGACACTTGTGAGATATTGAGGATTTCCAGGCAATGAAGGAACTATTTATGTACAGTCCTAATTAAATAGGGGCTTCAAAGTCAATAAGAAATTTCAAGGCTTCGAGGGAGATATTTTGACATTGCATTGTTCCGTAAATACGAACAGTACAATCTTAAAGTTGATATATTCATATTTACATATTCTGCTGCAAAGAAGAAAGGAGGAATAATTAACAGATAAGAGAGCTATTTACTGTGATAAACGATAAAGCTTAACACTAAAATATGATTACCATACCTGATCTGGTTCAGTTGTAGCTAATGGGAGAATAGTTTCTGGTTCACAACTCATTGCACATTCATCAATAATACATTGTCCAAACGAAAGTTCTGAAGAGAAAGACAACGTTGAAAATTTCCATGAATATGAAGTTAAATATGAGGACATAATAGTGATTCATGTAATAGTGATCATATATCCATATATCTACCAATGAAACATTTAAAAAGAATTGAATTATTATTTGTATTTATTTTCAATGAACACTGGTAAATAAATTTTAAATATTTGCAATGCTGGAAATTCTGTTCATTTTTTTCACAGTCTGCATGTAAGAATCCTATGACCTTGCATCAATTTTTGAAAATAAAATCAGGCACTGATATTTTCACCAATCAACTATGTGGGAATAAACATAAATTTGAAAACAAATAAGCAGTATTTGGTGTCTAAATATTTGTTTTAATTGCATGTTGCATGTTGTATTGATGACAAATACAGAGGTGGATAAAATGATTAATATCAGCACTAAATTACTTTTTCACCATTTGTATACAGCGTTGTACCGGGGGTTGTGAAATCGTTAAATGGGTCATTATTCGAATTTTTACATTTGCATTAAATACAATCATATACAAAAAGCAAAGTTGAATAAAGGAGGAAAACCACAACAACTTGCTTTAATTATTTTCTCTGGGGAAGTTTTTGGTGGGAATCTTTACAATGAATTTACTGTAAAATATTAGGTTTCAACTGAATCTCTGTCTAACAAAAAAGATTTTCTGAAAATGTCAATCTCTTTTTTCCTTCACTTGGGGACTGTCAACTAAATGCTCTATATATCAAAATACAAAAAACTATGGATTATTCGGGAAAAATCAGGAAGTATTCATACCATCATTTTGATTCACTGCAGCCATGACTAAATTTTTACATGCATAGTAATGAATGAGCAGAAAAATTATTTACCTTCATAGTCTCCCAACTTAGTTGAACTTGCACAGGTACAAATGATGATGTCACAAGACTGAAGAATAATAACTTTTGCTTTTCTCACCATCGCTTGATAATAATCCAATTGTTTTTTTGTAAAACTTGTTCCAGGAGTTTTAACCCTGTACATAAATACATAATTGATATATTTACAAATAGCCTACTTCACGAGTGATGAACAAATCCAATAAATTCAACCCATTTCTCAAATTGAAGTCATCCGCATCGCCATAATTAACGCATCTCCATTAAAATAATATTTTGTAGTATTCATAAGAGGTACTCATAAATGTAATTTTTTTCAATCTGAATTTTTTTTAAATTCGCAGAATTAAAGTTTTTAGAAATCAGTATTTACTATGCTCCAATCATAAGATAGAGCAGAGCCATTCATTGTGCAATGTATAAGTGTGGTCATACCTGGCCCATGCTTATTAAGCAGAAGACAGTCATAGTTAAAAAATCTAATCATGTAAGAACAATTAATGCCTATTATAAATCCACTGCTAGATTGATCAGTTTAAAGAAATATGCCTGTTTCTATAATGGGATATTTAATTATAATTGGTGTATCAAATATGCAAGGTGTATTCATGTATGTATGGAAAGTTTTGTCACTTTTTTGTTATAATACAAATGCTGAATGTTGTATACATATATATCATAAGTACAAAAATCCTACTTTGCGTCAAATTCACGAATCTGTTGTGAAATACTTTCAGCATTTGGGTCAAGACTTTGATTCATGTTTCGAATTAGCTTGTGTAGAGCTAAACTCTTCAGTTCTTCGTTGGGTTTCTTTGCGTCTTCTGAATCCAATGATGGCTCTTCTGGTTTCAAAGGATTTGGATATAATTTTTCTTCCAATCCAATACTGTACATCCTCACAACTTTAAGCCTATTTATATCTTTTAAAAACCCTGAAAAGTATGACAAAAAGATGAAGGGTTTATTAAAGTTCTATGATAGAAATCCACCAAGACAATTTTAATTCCAAAATACTCTCATTTATGATCAACTAAATTCAAATTTGCTTCATCATAGCAAAGTAAGCAGCAGAGCAACTGGGAACTGGGTACACTGTTTTGTTTTCAATATACCATGATTGGGTAACAGATGAAATTTGCCTTGAGTAAAAGAACTATTGAATCATTTTGTGGAACGCATATGGTGGATGTTGAATAGGCAATATTTCAAGACTACAAAAATTTTTAAGAAAATTATTAATAGAGTTTCTCAAAACAAAAAACAAAATGTCAATATTTTTACAGAATTCCTTTTTTTATATTTCTAAATTACTAAAATTACAATCATTGCTATTGGCAGTGGTGATCATAGAAGTGGTAAAGTTAATATTTTGCCTATAAAAGATTATTTTACCTGCTGCTACATCAACAGATTTGTTAGAAGGACCACAATACAAAACTTTTTTCCCTTCTCCAGAATATTTGTTCATATATGCAAATTTTGCAGCTAAGTGAGCTGCTAAGTATGATTTTCCAGTACCTGTATTGATAAATTAAACAACATTCAACTATATGATACAATACTATATGATAATACAATAAGCAATACTAAGTACTACCACAACAAAATGATAATATATAAAATTACGAAGATACTTGAAAAAGAGAAATACATATATTACGCATAATACAGAGTGTCCAAAAAAGTTTCGCCCGATTTCCTAGCAACACCAATTGCAAATTTGAATAAATTTTGTTGTATGCTAAATGGGGCTACAGGGGTGGTGATTCCTCAACGGCCCAGGGGCTGGGGCCATGGCCCATCAAGCTATGGGCCGCGGCCCCATCAAGAAAAATTCAATTACATTACCAAAATTTTCAATTTTTACAAAATTGTCAATATTCGAACCAAAAAAAAATCGCGGGATGCCACCAAATTTTTTTCTTACTAGGCTATACAGCTATAAGCCTTTATGTAGGAATAAAGCAAAATACCAAGCTAAGAAAATGATACTCCTGTAGTATGTGTACCAGGTTAGGGTTAGGACAAACATTTTTTCAGATTTTTCACATTATAGGTTAATTATGAGTTCGGGGACTGTCTGTGTTAGCCAAGTGAATATTCCCTTTACACAACTTGATGGGCCACGGCCCATATCCAATTCGATGGGCCATGGCCCCGGCTTATGGGCCGTAGAGGAGTCACCACTTCCACTCAAATGGGGACTACAAAATCTAACATCCAATTAGATACAGGTTGACTATGAATTTTTTTTATAATTAAAATATAATAACATTTGATTATAAAGACTTTATAATCGGGTGAAACTTTTTGGACATCTTGTATGTAGTTGTTGATGGTTGATTAACAAATCTTATAGGTTAGGAACAAGTGAACAATATCTGAGACTTGCATAAAATACAAATGACATTTCGACAATTAGTTTGAATCTCTGAAATATTACACTTGGGTTAAGTACAAGTCGAGAGAAATTCACGAGGTTCGTAAAAGTAAAAAAGCTTTCAACACTCAAACAACATGAAAATATCAATAAAATTTATTTTTAATATATGTGAATAACCTATAAATGAAGCTTTATCATAATTGTTTCACATTTCATAACATTCCATTCCAAAATCTTTCACCATGTTTATCAAAAATAGTTCAGTGAGAAGATAAAAAGTGATTTGACAAATAAATATATTGTGATTCTGACTTATTAATTCCGCAATAAGATTACAAGACTCATCATGCGTGATACAACAGTGAACAAGCAGAATGGCTTGTGATATACTTCACTAATATGTTAAGATTTTCCTCAAAGCTTGTGCCATTTCCGTCTTTTTTGTGTAGATTGCCTGGATTTGTCTAAACTGTAATGGTCTATGAACATTGGTATCATGTTGGTAAACTACATTTCTGCCTATCTCACAGGTATCCTGCTGCTGTATTTGTTTTTTCCCAGATCATGATCATATATACGGTAGGCCATTCAATGTGAAGTATCAATTTTCATTGTACTACAATAAATTGTACTCCTTGGGATTTTATCGCAAATCTTGCAATTTTTTTTATCTTAAAAACAATCTTCAGAGGCAGCACAGCGATTGAGCGTAGTCAGAGGTGAAAAAATTTTTTAATTTGACAAATTCGCAAAATCTTAAAAATATGAATCAAAACTAGATATAATTGGGTAGTTTTAACACATTTTTATGTTGATAGATTGGCTTGCTATTTTGAAGAAATACTGCTTTTATGTTTTCGTAATTCAGTGCAGCCGCGGGTCAAATTGAACACAATTACAGGTAAGTTAACATGACAATGATTACAAAAAGAGCTTCACAATCTGACAAAATTTTTAAACAAGCTTGAAATTACATTCAATAAAAAAAATACCAGAACCATGGTACATTTCTACCTATCCAGAACCATGAATTTACATGCGAACATGGAAAGCAACTAGTTCCAGACAGAATGAAATTTTCACTTCTGTTACAAGACTTACCTGGAGGTCCTTGAATCAGATGAAAATTTTGTCTGATTGCTTTCTGTTCTTGTTTGAATTGTTCTTCATTCAACGAAAACCGAAAACCTTTCATTTTTCTTTTAGTAGCAATATTTACTTCAATTTCCTCACTGTATGTTATTGGTGCTGGATGTATTGTCCCCAAACAAATGCTTTTATTCAAATCTGATGTGTTTCCAATATTTCTGAGAGTGCTTTGCATTTGCCTACAATAAGACAAATCAAATATTTATGTAAAAATCATTTGACAAACCTGTAGACACATTGTATGTTGGAACCACAAGTGGAAGATTTCAGGTTCAAACTCTGGTCAGTTCTTCAAACTACTTGATCTTCAAACTCCCTCCCACAGTGGAACAAACTGGATAGGGTCTACTCCAGAATATCCAAATATTTCAAAACAACCTTGTTCTCAATTGTTTCATATTAGATTAATATAATGATGGACAATATAATAAATTATGATTCTACTTATTCCCAGATGTTGAACATAGAGAACACCTGAGCATACCTGTGTGAGTAAGAGAGTGGAATGACTTCAATCGTCCATCTTGTACCTTTTGCCTCAGCAAAGCTTTTGGCTTTTTCAGAAAGGTGATTATGGGGTACTTCAAATAATATCCTCAGCTTTTTTGATTCCTATACAAAATTATAAGATAGAAATGATAATGAAAAAATAGAAAATTACAAAATTCAAATATGTTTCAATGACAGACAATGATTTTTGAATGTCCACAAGCCTTTTTAGGAAATTTAAAAAAATGTTCAACACAATATTACAGAATATCAGAAATAAATACAAAAATTATACAATGATTTAGAAAGTACTTTACCCATACCTAGCCTCAATAATATATTAGTCAAAACAATATAACTCAAACAAGTTACTGCAAATCGACTTGCAAAATATATAGAAGTTGATATATGGTAAAATACAAACCCTCAGTTACTTCAACAAAAATTGTGAATAAATCTTAACAACGAATTAGTTTAGAATTAAATAATCAGCAATATAATGTCCACATATATTTTATTTTTTAAGAATATGAATGAAAAAAGAATCGAGTATGTCATAAATAAAGTCACCTTGGATGGTTCCTTAACACCTGTAATGATACCATGTAAAACAATAGTGTGTGTCGAAAGTTTGACGTCACTATCTTCAATTTCATTTTCTAGAATATTCAAAAATTGAAATATCAATAATAATGAATAGCGATTCATATAATACGTTTTGAATATTTGACCAGGCCTAGACGTGAGAGGTTAAACTAGGAAAGGAAAAGGGGCATGGTTCCGCCCTTTCATTTCATATTTTTAACCCACATCAAAGTTGTTTTTTTTTGTTCACATTTGTATAAATTTACTATTTAACAACCTTAATATGCAAGTTTGTTACATTGTACAAGCTTTATCAGTCAATCATAACAGATAGCGAAATAATAAAAAATTATAGTAATTCATTTATTATTGCAAATTTTAAACCTGCTACTCTACACAAAAAAAGAGAAACTTCACCTGTTGTTGCAGGAATTCCTTTTAATCTGAGACAAAGTAGATCGCCAAGATGAAATTTGATATATCTTTCTTCACAAAAATGATCATTTAAATCAAAGTAATTGACAACACAGTATTTACTTTTTACACTGTCACCAAATGAACTATTCTTCACATCTGTATGAAAAAATGATAACTGTAAGTAAAACACTCAAAAACTGAATAAAAACATAACAAATTTATCATGTAGTTTTTCATCTCTACAATCCGAGATACTTACAAATTAACAGTCTAAAAACTGTTTTGGGGAATTCACTGAAAGCTATGTCACCATTATGCTGAAAAACATACCAACAATCTTTTTCATCTTCCTCCAGACTATTTTCACACCATCATGTGTTATTGAACTTCCTTCTTTTACTGCGCTGTTTGCAGCATCCATTCGTACCAGTGGTTCCCATTTTTTTCGGTAATCGTCTATTGTCTTTATTGTTCTACTTGCTGTAAAATATAATGATGAAACTTATAATCATTTAAAGGTTTTGGTTTTGTAATGTTAAAATTTTAATATTTTTTTGCCTCATTGTACCGCTCAGAGAGCACGTTTTATAAGCCCTTTTGGTTTTTATATAAAGAATATTATTTGTCGATGTGTATCCCTAGATCACCAAATTAAAAATTGAATCACTAGATTATATATTATTCACCAACATCACAAAAATGCTTCATTTGAATATCAAAAAACCACCTGTTGCTGTTGCATCAGAGGCGTAAACATTAACAGGATCACGACAATGCTCAATGCAAACATCATAGTTATCTGCTATACGAAGTAGTTGAACAGCTGGTGCAGGAAGAAATCTTTTATCAGTTGACGATGACATTTGAACAATGAGTGGTGAGCCAGGAGTTACATTCCATTTAATTTCTCTCAGATGTTTTATTGGTTTGGGATTGTTTCGTGTATCCCCAACCATCCTATCATGCGACGTGTCTATACCAGGCTCTGCTTCCCTTGAAATTCTGAAAATAATACAATACAACTTCATAGCTATAAAAATATAACTGGTAATATAAATCCAAGCATAATGAACAATATCATTTATATGATCCTAGCACACTTTATAGTGTTGTAAATCCACAATGACACAATCATGGCATAATCAAATTATAACTGCACAATTGAACAACACATGAATATAACTATAGCAAAGCAAGTAAAGCGGTCAGCAGTTGAAGCATTAGAATACTCATCTTAGTTTCGAACCCCACGCCCCCACCTCATCCGTGGTGTAGTAAATTGGGTAGGTAATAGCGAACCACAAAGATTCCTGACCTTCCAAAGTGGCTGCTTGTATAGGACCTTATTCAGGGCAAAAGGAATAAGCATTGTATAAAAAATTACTTTTCAACAGCTTCTTCTAAATCACTTTCGAAGATGACCTTCTTAAATTCAGAATCGGATCTTCTTGGTGGTTTAGAAATTATTTTAACAAACGAATTCCATGTTTGTGCAGGAATATTCACTACTGAACTTGTCATCTGCATATTCTTAACATTTTCAATTCCCAATCTACTGTGATCATAGTACCTGTAAGGAAATATTATTTCATCATTGTCAAGTACGACAATACCAAAGTGCAAAGTGAAAGCTAATTCATAATAGATAGTAAACACAAACTTAACAACATCTGTTGCTACTAATACTCCTTATGCTTGGATGAATGGTTTCCTATTGTTAATTTTTATATCCCTTCTGAGCTTGAGATATCCCCGAGCAAAATCTCTAATACAACAGCACTACTGACAAAAAATTTAAATTAGTTAGAAAACTAGTTAAATTTATCCTCATTGCATATTTTTTTAAATGATTTCTTACCGGAATTTCCATACAAGGCAATATTTATTCAATATGAGATCACCCTGGGAAGTTCGTATTTTTTTTTCTTCATCCACATCTTCAAAATCGTTATATGCTACACCTTGTTTAATAGTAAGCTGAGCATATGAAAGTTCATTTGCTCGTCGTGATACATACTTTCTCATCGATGGAAGTGCAATTTGCATATATGCATCTGTTATCTGAATATAATTTAAAGTTGCACGTTGTTGAAAACATAATTCCAGTTTGTTCCATAATAATACAATAATATTTACCTAACACATTCTGAGACTAAATTCGTTTTTATTATAAAGAAAGTTGCTCAAGCACTCAATCAGAAATAGAGGAGATTGATCACTGAGTGAAGTTGTAGCAACCAATTAATTTCCTAAGATCTACTGATATATTATTATCACATAAAATTGCACATTTGTAATTATCAATCAACATGAGACCTAAAGCAGTTCAGGTCAATACAACCGGGAAAACAACTATGAGGTTATAATTCCACATAATCAAAGTTCTTGGGAAAAATACGTTGGGCATCAAATTTGTTTTATCTGGGAAAAACATTGATAGGGTCACAACCAATGGCTAACTAAATTTGATGGATGAAAACCTTTTTTTAGAGGAACATGTTCCGACTATTCTGAAGAACACAACTGACTAAAATCTCTGTAAAGTAAAAATGCAGCAACTCATCAATGACAAAGAGTTTGCTTCATGTATGCCAAATGAATGTTAATCATGTTTGATATTCTATTTTGTATTGGGTGTAGAAGTTAGTAGAGATATCACAAAAGGAATATTGATAATACGATTTGTTAAGAATGATACTTGCTTTTATTACAAATAGTATTCTCAGCCATCTAATGATACATTGAGTTCAATTTCCAAATTTCAAGTGAATTACATTATTCACAAATATTCCTATGTTTTTTTTCCAAAAAGTTCTCACCAGTGTAACACAAGCCTGAACAACCTCTGGTTGAGCCTTAAGTGTTTGTGCCTTCTCAGTAATACATAATTGTTTTTCATACTGTTTATCCCTGTCTTCATATTGCCAACATATCCTAAAAATGCAAATATCATATTAAAGCCATAATTTGATTGAGTGTTTGGAAAATGATACAATAAGAAAAATTTCACTGTGAAAAATATGAGATTTTACTAAAACATGCAGATGCTATCAAAAAACTATAAATTGAATTACACGCTTTTCGTTACTATATTTTGAAGTATGATTTTTGACTTGATTCTATAGTATAAATAAAAAGTGATTGCACTACATGATTTATGCAAGAAAGAGTAATATGGATAAATAAAAATGGATAAACATATAATGATGAGAGAATCACTGAATGATTACGAGGTTTTTGTCTCATAATAAGAAATAAATAACAATCATACAACTTGTTACGCTCAGTTTTTAAATACTGTGACATAAAGTTACTTACATTTAACAATAAATTTTGTTATTTGAATTCACCAAATTAAAAAAAAAAAGGCAAAAATCACCATGCCATTTTGAGCAAATTCAAGCAAATTTATTACAACTACATACCTTTGAATTGCGTCATGAAGAGAAGAAGAAATGTTATGTTTGTTTAGCACAGTATGAATACATCGTTGTATTATAATGTCAATATATCTTCGAATTGGGGAAGAACTCCATGTGTACCGATCCAGGCGTAAGGAAAAGTGGAAATTTTTCGTGGAAGTCATTTCTGATTTTTTCTGGATTCCACGATAGCTTAGAAAAAAAAACAAAAAAAAAAATGGATAAATGATAAATTTTGTGTTATATATTAATAGCCTGATTGGCATCTACGAACATTGACTCATGCATGCCTGAATTTAGAGTTTTACCGATCATAATTTCGTAAAACAGGAAGAAGTCTGCAGACAATGCAATTTCCCCATAGTAGGGCATTTCCATAACAAAAAGTCATTTTATCTAAATCTTTAATGTAAAATTGCTATGCAATGACTTTATTCATTTTAGATCAGCAATAATGGCAACACAAACAATTTGTATTGGCCCATTTGGTACAATTACAAGTGGAATGCATTAAAATAAATTTGCAGCACAGTCAAGAAACCAAGAAATGTATAAATTAAAAAAGTCCCCATGATTTTTATATTACCAGTATTATGAAGTAAAATTTGGCATGAACCTTCATTATTGTGCACAGATTTTCTATTATACTTCGACAAAAATATATCTACCGTTCAACAGTTGAAACAAGTGAGGGATGAAAATCATCACAAGCCGCAAGAAAGATAAAATTCTCCAATTTCCTTTCATCGAAACACTTCTTCATGCGTTTCCAGAATGTATCGAACAAGCAAATGTTTGTCTGAAAAGTATGATGCATGCACATACATTTCATTATTTGAAAGGTATACTAAAGGCATCATTAACTTGACAAAATACAGATTCAAATTTGTCAAACAATTGCAAAAACAAACAAATATATGTAAGGCTCATGTACTTTCATTGATCACATGGTGGTAATTAACTTACAAGTGGTTGGATTGAACTTGGCATTTGATGGTCATTGTCTTCCTTCCTTTTTTCATTCTTTTTTCTTCTTCTAGTTTGTACTTCCCAAATGCCTTCCATATCTTCATCCTCGCTTACATTTTCCTCATCTTTGGGAGCACCCTCTTCAATCCTTTTCAAATTTTTTAAATATTTCGAGCAAGACGTCATGTAACTAGAATTTGGAATTAGATTATGACATAACCTTTCCCATGTTCTCCATTCACTTTCATCAGGAATTGCTTGTATCCTCAAAGGAAACTCAATCCCCTGAAAAAAAAAATGTCAGAAAATCATTCTAAAACTGTTATAAATAAATATGTTTTTACTAATTTTACTAATTAGACAAAACTAGGGTTCCATGCAAAAAAAAATATATAATCTGATTTCAGATTCCAAAAATATGATTATCTATTTATTTATTTTCAGTAACTTGGTAACTAGGTACCTCTTTGCTCAAATATGCTGCAGTGTTAGCATTTACTGTAATCATTGCTTCTTCGATGAGCAGATGAGCTCGAAATACACCGGAACTTGAACCTGTATAGTATGCTGCACTATTCAATCTCGAAACACGCCAGTCCCACATGATGCTCCATAAGATACCTAAAGAGGTAAATAGATAATATTTTTGAATAAAAATAAATAACCAGATATGGATGCTGATAATCATTACCATAAAATGAAAACCAGCATGGTAAAGAAAATAGGCTCATTGTGATAATTATGGAAGAAGCTAGAAAAAAAAGAGAAAGAATCGTCCTAAAATTCAGTTACAACTGTTGATATATTTCATTGGAATTTCAAATGAGCATGATGAAACACAAGCCTGAAGATGATAACAATGTTTCATGCACAGCAATGCTTGAATTACTACTCTTTCCTCAATCAGTTAGGATTTACATATTTATCCCGGGGGAGAGGAAAGCCGATAAGACGGTTTATCCATATGGCGAACCATTCCAAGTCGGGTATGGGATTAGTTATATTGTTTGTTTTTCGGAAGCATGGACTTGGTGGTGGAGGTGGTGGAGGAAGCCATAACCAACCAGCGGTTACGTGAACCACCCAACGACGGCGAGGAGTCCGGCAATCCTCACGCACATAATCATCCCTGCATGGGATTCGAACCTGCGAACCCACACAGAGTAATTGGAGGTGCGGTGGCGGAAATTTCCTAACGCTTAGCCCGTTGAGCCACACCGCCGCCACGTTGTATTCATTGTGATATAATAATATTGTATTGGTTATTTACAACTTGAACATTTAGATCTCATTAGTGTTGAAAAAAGTAACATTCCTATGTTACGTTTTGTTTGAAAACTTTTACCAAATTTGATGTTTATTCAAAGGCTCAATAAAGTACATCTCAACTATCTGTATGTATTTACACATGTTAGAATGATAAGAAAGCAGGAACATGTATTTCATAATATTGCTGTTGTTATTTGAACATTAATATGAGTCTTCAGAGTCAAGAAAAACTTGCTACCAAGTTGCTACCAAAAAACAATATACCATTTACCCAAAGTTTCTGACAAATTTTTGTCTGTGGATTCAACATAGTCATTCTGACTTAATAGTTCTTCAGCTTCTCTATAACTCAATCTTTTGATTGACTTTACAAAAACTTTCTGTGGCTCTTTAGGAACAAAGCCTTGAGGAAAACATATTAGAATAAGATGTTACAATATTTATAATACTTTTATTATCATTACATAATAGTTTTAAAAATCATCAAATGTCACTGTTTTGCACAACAGAAGCTTTTGTAATATGTGTTGTCTTGCACCAAACAGAAATCCAAAATTTAAAAAAATAATCACAGTTAATTCCTTCTAAATCTTCTAAAATTTTGAATAAAGTCTAAGTAAGTTTGAAAAGTATCTGAAAACCTCACATAAAGCAGACTGTACTGGCCATTTGTAGCTTTGTTAATTATAATATCAATTTCGTAATGAGTTGATGGTTGAGTATTCATTGAATGTTGAGTGTATTACTGGTAAATATAAATCTATAATTCTATGAAAACATTTTTAAATAGAATAAAGTACCTGATACATGTGGTGCTTTTTCACAACTGTGAAAAAAGGTCGAAATTGCGGGACGTACTTCATTTGGTAGAAGGCTGCATTTGGATGTGCTTAATTCAGATGGAAGCATGTGTATAGGTTCTTCATTTTCACAGCCATAAAATGTAGTAAAACGTTTTTGGGCATCGCGATCTATTTCTGAACCCTCTAATAGTACAGATGCAACATCAGTGATATGGATTCCAATCTAAATTGTTTTGTATATTGATTATGGCAATAGACAAGTACATTAAGCACAGACTTTCACGAACAGTTGAGAACACCTACTATACATTGAGTACCTTTGAAACATTTGCCCAAAACTAATATTTTATGGGCTTCAAAATGTTTTAACGTCTCTATTTTACTTTAAAACAATTATTGTGGCCGTCGACATCACACTTTTCCAAGCTTATTGCATCATCCAAGTCCATAGATTTCTCGGGATCAATTGTGAATACTTCTATTGGTTCTTGCTTGGTTGTTGGAACTTTAAGTCTTTTAGCAAGGCTTTTCAATCCTGGTCTAAACAAAACAAAGCTTATTTACCAATTGCTACAAGCAATGCATTTGAAAATAAAATAGTCTATGTGATGTATATATAAAAAAAAACATTAAACAAAAAACAAGTTTAACTCGGTGAGCAAAAGGCATATAATGACATTTAATAGATTGCTTGACACTTTTCAAGAACTAAATAAAGAAAAGCAATCTGTTACAGATCTGAATATCAGGCTAGTTTTGGTTTGGATTTAGATATTTATTTTCATCATGCAAGAATCAATATAAAGCAATAATATACATAAAATAAAAAATGGAAACATTAACTCATAGCAGTTGATGAAGGGTCGCAAAAAACTCACAAACAACAAATACACAAATACAACAAAAATAATCTCGCTCTATAATTTCAAGGGTATTAGTGTCATCGGAAAACAAGTTGGAGTAAAAAGATGAACAATATGTTATAACATTGATGAATATCAAGAACAGTAAAGGTTCCAAGGGAATCGAAAAATGTCACCACTAGGACTGAGCGTTTCAAAACACTGTTCTGGAACGTTTTGAAACACTGATATGTTCAAACAGCACTGTTTCGACTTCCGAAGCGGATATTATGATGTCATAACACATGCAACCTGAAATTAGGCAAGGAGTCATGACTCCACTAGTTTGCAAGGTATGCGGATAAAGTAGCAAATGAGCCAAACCATTACATGGGATGTAAGTAGGATCGGATTTAGACGCTGAGAGGCAATTATGACACACTCCATAATAGGCTGTGTAAAATGTGTCATGGCATTAAAACATATAATTTTTCAATTCGCGTAAAATACAATATTTCAGTCACAGGCAAGACGCTTGAATTATCCAAGTAGATTGGACGGTAAGTTGAATTTAGCAGCATCTTAATAAGAAACTAAAGGCTATTAAAAAATAGTTAAAACACCCGAAAAGCTGTTGGCATTTTACTCATTTTACAGTCATGAGACCAGGGGTGCACAACCTTTTTGCTATTGGCGGCCACATTGCATTTATTTGTATTCAATACAGCCTCCAGGGGGGGTTGATGAGCGCCAAATTTTTTCGGATTTTATGACGTCATAACCGCGTATTTGACCCATGCGAGGTTCAGTCTGCCCAACTATGAAGTATGTAAGACTACTTGAAAGTATAATATTCGTCTTTTAAACGGATTTTTCGTTTCGGTGGACCTATTCTTGAGCAGATATATTGCAGCAAGTTGCACAATTTTGAAAAAAATCGAAAGTCGTGGAGGGAGGGGCGGTCGCCCCCATTTTCTTGTCCCCAAAAGTATAATAAAATGTCAAATATTTTATTGAATTTATTCTTCAATATACGCCAGCATAGCCGCAAAATCCTATATTTTGAACTTTTTTTTTGTTTTTGTTTATAGGATTTTGTATCAAGCGGAAACCTTTGTGGAAATAATAATTTGCACGAGGTGCTTTGCAATTATCATTTATGCTCTTGAACTATATTCCAGTGCTTTCTTTTTGTGGATTAATTTCAATATGAGATAATGATGTCACGTTTTACTGTTTGTGAAAATCATGTGTTTTGTTTCGAAAACAAACATTTTATTTTCGAAACGACTAGTCCCCACTTCAACATATTGAGATCAATTGCTTAGATATCTAGAAATGAGTTTATTTCATAGTTCCCTAATACCAAAATGTACCAACTTGTAAATTAGAATGTCATGATTTACAATGTCAAAAGCCTAATCTAAAATTCTTGCACAACAAAACTCTTTTTTCTTCAGTTTATCATAGATGTATATTGTATCTAAAATATCATGTGATATACTACGATTGTTGTGGAAACCAAACAGATTTATTTAGTACATCATATTTAATAAAAAATTATCAAGTCGCTCATGAATTAAGCGCTCAAATATCTTATCAATCGATGAAAGGATAGTTATCGATATACTGTATAATTTGACACAAATGTGAAAAGAGAGATAACCCGAGCAATTTGGAGACAAGAAGTAAAAATTCAAAACAAAAGTGAACAATTGATAAGTTCAGAATTATTTTTTATGATCAAAACATTATAAAATAACAAAAAAAAAAAAAATTTCGAATTGGTTCAGCATCCTATCTCATTTTCTCACCTATGGTCACCAGGTACTCCATATTCCAATTTGAGATACTTTTTGAAGTCACACATAGGAAATGATGCTTCAACATACCCAATAGGATATGGAATGTATTCAGACCATTTCAAAAACCGGACAACATAAACTTTATCATCACTCACTTCTACTTCATGTGATAGCTCCAAGTCAGTCCACTGTCCCCCTAAAGATTTTGTTGAATAGACATGACAGACATTTAGAAACAGATAACAGCAATAGTTAGAAGATGTTCTAATTTTCAATTTTTTTCACTTCTCTCACCAAATTTCTCTAAAGACTTTCATTTTATGTTTCAATTATTTATAATTTAAATATGACAGAAGTTTTATTTTCTAGTATCGAGTCCATGAATCTGAAAACAAGAAAGAAAATGACTGGCAAATGAATCCCATACCCAATATGGACTGGCAACTAGACTAGAGAATGCGGTACACCGTATGAGTAAGTCGTATAATCAGCTTTTCCTCTCCTCAGGATAAATATGTTAAAACTATCCTAGTGAACGAATGATACAAAACAGCGCTTTAATTTAAAAATTTATATAGAGCAGCACAACATAACAATTTGAATTTGCTGGTATTAAAAATATTTAGGTAATTCCAACAAATTCCAAAGCGCATGTATTTACAAAGTAAAATTCATTGTAATATCGAAATATTAAACAGCTGTGAGTTTTAATTTTGTTCTACTATATTATATAATTAAATCTAAATGCAGGCAGACTTATAAAATTAAAAATATAATAAAAAATTGCATTAATTCATCTGAAGCATAACATCATTTGACAAACTTCATGTAAGAAAAATCAAATATTAATTTTTTCTGAATAAAAATTATCCAGTAATCTTGAAAAACATTGTAAGGTACAACATTGAATTAAACGCAACATACTTTTACCAGTCGGCCGATAAATGGGAATCTTTGAACGAGCAGACTGCTTGTGGCCTTTTGGAGTAACGATGATTATCTTCGTTACTTTCTTATCAATCGGACACATAAGGGTAGTATTAAATTCATCAGGTCGACATAAAAATCTCCTATCCTTGGGATTTCTGAATCTATTATATTAAGAGTATTATTATGAGCATTTTTTTAATTAAAGTAAAAACGAATTGATTTTAACTGTTGCTGTTGTTGTTGTTTTTATATAGATTCCAGCAAAACATAACTATAGTAATATAAATAAAGTTATTTCTTCGAAAAATAACAAATAGACAATGAGTAATTCAAGATACCCTAAAAGTATATTTAGTTTAGAGCCACAAAAATAAATTCAAAAAACTTAGTATTAATATTATAAATTATTCACTTCAACATGCATTTAATATTTAAACTGAAAATGAAATTTCAAGATTTAAGTTATTATGGTGAAACACTCTGAATTTTCTTACCTCTTCTTCAATACACCAAGAACTTTTCCATATTGCTTTTGAACAGTTCCAGTTTGTACTTCTGCAGTCTTGCGATTTTCTAGTATCTATAAAATTCATTAGATGGCAAGAATCCATCATGAAAAATCTAACACAACAGAGTTTTAGTACAGGCAATTCCAAGCAATAAATTGGCAACAGAAATATTTGACACAAATAAGCATTATAAATTTGATATATATCTTGTTTAACTTGGGCAGACAAAAAATTATTCTAGACAGTAATTAGGATAATTTAGGCTAATTTTTTTGTTGTCCACCACAATATTTTTCTTGCAAAATTTGAGAATATCTCAAACCTTTCTAAAACTATTTTTGATCAATTCGAGGATTTTTTTTTTTTGTTCTGTGGTTTTACACCAATTTTAAACAAAATTACTTTTTTCACATTCAAAAATGGAATTTGTTATAGTAAATTATCTTTTTCGTACTTGGGCCCCATGGAAACCATCTCAGTCTTGATGCACAATTTTGACTAAATATTCTTAATGAAGATAACAGTTTTTGTAACTGTCCTCAATTAACTCACAATACCCTATAATATTATATATATATATATATATATATATATAACAGCCATTTGAAATTCTATACAAAGTAATTAGCAATATAACCTTGACCAAGACTTCGTCTTTATCAAATGTTCTTCCCAAATTGCCTCTTGTTTCAATAGAAATATAAGGCGATATTTTGGCAGGGCTTATAAAGGAAGTTGAAGGTTGTACTGCGTCACTATTTTCAACTACAGAATCCCCCCCAAAACTGCCCGAGTAACTTTCCGATTCAGACTCTGTAAAACATTCGTAATTGTTAAAAAATAAGAATTCAGATTCAATTATTCTCATATTCCTTCGGATATAAGCAAACAGTAAAAATTTTGTTGATTACCTTCATCTGCTGTTGATGTATCATCATCATCATCATCATCATCATCATCATCATCATCATCATTATCAGTATTTTCATTATTAGAAATATTTGAAACAGGAGCTGATTTGATTTTTCCACACTCATCAACTGGAACAGCTTTTGCAGTACACCAGTTGATCATATTAATTCTGCAACGTTTGTACTTGCTGGGATCATTCAGCAAGAATTGCTCAAGTTGTTGTATAGTATATTTTGGATATATCGCATTGCCAGAAGATTTTCTAAAAAATATTAATCACGGTATTAAAATATTAAAATCTGGATAAATTCATACCAACCAAATCAAAACTGTTCATATATTCTATAGTTTATGATACAGTTGATAAAACGCCGCATGACTTTTTAAATGAGAATATCTAGTGTGAAAAATTGGTTATTATGCGATCATCTCCAACTAGATGCAAAGAATGATTAAAGATACTAAAATATCATTACAAAAATTCAATTTGGCATTGCAATTCATTTGACAAATACAGAGATACCGGTATATTAAAAAGTGAATCCGCAGATCAAGTTTCTATCTGAAAATACTAAACATTAATGCTGCTTTAGTAGCCCTGACAGATAAAAACCTTATTTTAGACACTCTGATCCGCCAATATTTCACATGATGCTGAGTTGAAATCTATACTATAGTGACTAAATTTATCATCTATTGTTAAATTACCGTCGGCACTGCACTTAATATATAAACAAATCCTCAAATCAAATTTTTTATTATAATTATTAGCCGAAAAAGGGGTATATTACAGTTTAAAAGTTTCTAGTATTGCTGTAAAATAGGTTGATTGTTAGCTATTGCTATCGCCATCACCAATATTGTAGCAGCTATTCAATTATGATTCGATATCAAACTTCATTTTAATGTTATCTAATACGAATACCTACCGCAAAGGTGTTCCAGAATCGTTGGGATCTTCATCGTGAAAGTCTCCTGTTTCACCATAATGTATGATTTCTTCTCCGTGGTTTCTTATTCCAACAGTAATTTCAGATGAATCAATTCCCATCAATCTTTTCAACATATCATCTAGAATTTTGTCTTCAATAGTGTCCTGAAATTAATTAATACAAGATATCGAGTGTGTTGTTTTGACAATTGTTAAACAATTACTATATTTACCGCAGGACAACTGCATGTACCTAATTCCAACAAAACAATTTACACGAAAATTTACGCATTCAAATGGATTAAAAAAAATAACACACAATCAATATTTTTCTGATTAATTTCCTATATTTTGAATGAAACAAGGGGTTCGCATTTATTGGTGTTTCACATACAAAATACATATCTGTGCAGGGCAGCAAAAGACCTCAACTCCATACATGTGTATATATCTCAGCTGATAATAAACCAATTATAATTTGGAATAAGATTTACTCACTTCTGAACACCAAGAATCATTATCATCATCGTCATATTCACTTCCATTCATACTCAAATCCTGTGTACTGTTTGATTCAATGTTTCGCTTCTCACCATCATGATCATCAGCATTATGAGACTCTTCCTATAATTATAACTTCCTTATTAAAATAAAAAGGATTTATGACAGTTAATTAAATAAACAACTGAACAAATGTTCAGGTATTCGTTATATTGAATAAAATTAAAGCGTTTGAGTACCCACCTTTCGTTCATCATTATTCAAACCAGGTGTAAATTCAATGGCAGATATATTTAAAACTTGATCAGCAATTTGAATTTCTCTTTTTATGGACTGAACGTTAACAGTTGGAGGAAGAATTGCACTGTTTTCTTCACAATGCTATAGAATGAACATATAATCAATATGTAATATTAAAATTTCAACTATTAATAAGAATGATATATTGTGATATTTTGTAGTTGATACAAAAAATATATTGGAAACTTTTTTATTGCGCCACATGCCAAATTCAATAGAAAATTTGATATTAGCCAAATTGAATTTTTTCATACCCTCATGATTATCTTCCATTGATTTTTACAACTCCCTGTAGAGCAAAGTGTAACAGCATCTCCAACTGCCAATATCATTGACTGAGCTCTTGTTAATGCTGTATTCAATAATCTCACATCAGAAAGAAATCCAAAATTATCACCAGTAAAACAAAATTGACGACGCATGACAGTGCTGAGAATGACAACTTTGTATTGTTGACCTGGAAACAAAAGGTTGAGCATTTCATTGACTAACAAAATTTTCCTTTCTCGCTTATTGGCAACACTATGCACTATTTGCAAAAAACAACAATGTCATGTCTTGATTAAAAAACTGCTCCACATCACCAATGTTTTTTTGGTTATTTACAATTATTTTGTGTTTGATTAATATACACATAAAGTGTCATTGATACAGAATGATAGATGAAAACCGTTTTTAAACATGTTGAGTGAAACAAAATTTTTCTTCAAGAATAGTGAAATAAAAATATTAGATTAACAATTTGCATTGAATAGCGTAGATTGCATAGCTTTCCAAGATATGTGAGGTATTTCTTGAAACTTTTCTCGAAATGGAGCATACTAATGATGAACATATTAGTATTAATTACATAGTAAACGTTTTTGACGCATTCCGATAATATGATATGATTATTCAAACACAAATCCCAGAGAATGGGTATGGTACATGTTAATAATTTTGCTATAAATTGAAATCTTTTACTAAATATCGAAAAAAGCATTTCATAGAAAATTTATACCTTGTACATTCCCCACTGTTTGAACAGAAACGTCTCTTAGTCCATTTTGTCGAAGAACGCCTCGGATTAAACGAGCCTGGAAAAATACAACAATATACAATTTATTTGACTTAATATGCATCAACAATGCAAAATTCTATTTTTGTACAATACATTAATTTTTTTTTTTTTTTCGTGATAAATATTTTTGTTTTGGCATAAAAATAAATATATTCATTGCATACCATATCTTTGCTGCCAAGATCAACCAATCATTTTATTGATTATTTCAAATAAAGTATAAACAACATGAATGTATCAGTTCTAATTAATAACGATGAAACTTCAGTTTTGCTGAGTAAAACTTTCTACTGGTTCACTTATTCTGTTTTCAATGAATTTACAAAGGGACCAGCAGTATTGCTCATTCAGTTTTATAGTGAGGCATAAAATATTTTTTTGTAAAAGTTATTGTAAAAAACTACGTTTTACCCATTTTAAACAAAATGCAGAATTTTACACAAATCTTGGACTCAAAATGGAAATGAATATGTCATATGTACAGTGATTTAGGTTAGAGCAGTGTAATTATGCCAGAATTAGGTCTTTTGATATTGTTTAAACCAGGTTTAAATTAAAAAAAGCACGGTTGTATGCAAACCCATAATTAAGTAAACTTGGTAACACTAAATCAAGTTAGACCTGTGGGAGATTTGCGGTAAGCACGACAATATCTTCAAGTTCAACCAGTTCGAGTTTTTCGCAAAGTTCTTTACATTCAAGCATGATTTGGAATGCTTCCTCTTTATTCACATACTCTCCCTCATCTGTTACAATGCATTCACCTTCAATAAGATAGAATATTTTATTATAGAAAACTTTTAGTGTTTAGGACAATAGATATAAGAAATAAAAATAGAAATTGATCAGTCAAAAAGTAAAAAATACGTATCATTAATTTAAAAAATAGCACTCTACAATAGTCTTTATGCAATTAATTTATTATCAATGTTAGCATTGGAGACTAAATCTAGGGTTCAAAAACCTATCTTGCACAAATTTATAAATCGTGTCGATAATGCTGAAACACATATAAACATTCAGTTTGCATATCAATGGATACTTGTCTAGAGACTTATTTAAAGTGAAAGAGTTGAACGCTAAAGAGTTAAACGCAAAATTATCAATGATTTGAATATAGGTGGCCGCAACCAAAGCAATTGTGAGCAATATATTTTTATTTTTTACAAAGTATAAGCTAAGAGACCTTAATGTACATGATATCATCTTACCTTGTATGTGAATGAAATACACAGGTTGTGCTCCACTGATACATTGAATATTTCCAGTTTTCTTCAAAATATTTTCTTTGTAAAAAATTTTAGTTATCAAGTGCAATATTCCATCGACACAACTAAATACAAATTTGATTGTAATATTTTTTTAAATAAAATTTTAAAATGAGGTAAAATGGAAACAACTATTTTGTGAAACCTTTGCAGTGTAAAAAAGTTTCAAAAAGTAATTTTCCCTACTACTAAGAACACAAACTTTACGTGAGAAGAATTGTAAGGGTTATAATGAACTTGCAGTACTAATAATTGTCATCAAACTACAGTAATTTCATCGTTAGGCATTATTGACATAGAAGTTCTATTTTATATTTGCAAATATAATGTAATCTTCAAATCTAGAAAGTTGATGCAACCAAGATGAGAGGGTGAGACAGAGCCTAAAAATTGATTGCAATTTTGGTCTGAGACATTGGAATCTAAATAACAAACAATTGAATGGAAGGTGGCGTAACAGACACATTTTTGCAGATATTATTGGAGAAAATTGATTTTTTCATTCATAGATATTAAAAAATTGTAGAACCTATCAATTAAAAATGTACAGGACTACATTACAATAGGCATTAAGCAAACTAATTTGAAATGTGATCATGAAAGCTCATAGACTAAAAACTAAAATACTCAATAGATGTAGGCAATCACAAAAAAAATTCAAATAAATCAATGTTTTACCGATAGTTATTTGTCAAAAGGACTCTGCATCTTTTGTCGACATTTTCATAAGCTTCGTAGACTCTCTCAAGCAACGTTTGAACTTGGTTACTTGAGGTACAATACATCTGAAATAAAACATTTTACAGCTCAGACACTACTACTAGGCAATTGGCACATCATGCTAGGCATTAGGAACATGCTAGATATTGCACCTATTATTAATATTAACTCCTGTGTTAGTTTGCAGCTTTGAATCCTATGGGAGATAATTATGTGCGAGAGGAATGCTGGACTTGCGGCCGTAGGTTGGCTCACATACCTGCTGGTCAGTTCCCCCACCACCAAGTCCATGCGAAAATAACTGTTTAACTATTCCCATACCCGGCATGAACTGGTGATCGTATAGGAGGCAGTGGTTCGCCAAGTGATTGAGCCCTCTTATTTTATTCCTATCCCCAGGAAAAATTCAGAAATCATATCCATCCTATCCTAAATCAGTTCAAACAAGCTGTTCACTTTGTGAATGCATCATGATGTTCAAAAAATTTTTATGCTTCATTATATATATATTGACTTCTGATGCACAGTGTAGTGGCAAATAATCTGTGTTAAAAAACAACAACGATTACCTTTTGAGTCATTTGTTTGTGATCACCAGCAATGACAACCCTGGTGTTTTCCAAACTTGCTAATGTCAAAGGCATTATAACGTCTGCTTCCATAGCCTAATAAGATTTATTACGTCATTGAAAATAAATTTACCCATAGATATATTAAATGAGCAAATAAGCAAATGAGCAAAAGACACTAAACTACATTGAAATGCAACAAATGACCAAATTTAAAGGAATCCTAATTAGATGATGGTGGTGACTCCCAGTAACTTGCAAGGAAAGATCATTCAGTGAATTTTCTAACAACTTATTATATAAATTTTAACAACTTTTGCATAGGTTATAAAGACATTAAAGTACATTTTGCAGGTTATATTTTGAAAAAATGGTGGCAGAAGCAGGGGTACAGTCAAGATTTTCAAAAGGGTTAGGAGGATCAAAAAAGAGTATTTGAATGTTTTGTCATATTAAACTCAAAAAAGTTAATCTAAAATCTTGAAATGTGCAATAAAATCCCAATGAGTACAATTTATTTTAGTACAATGAAAATTGATTGGCCAGGTTTTACACTGATAAGATAATAGATCATCACGAATCGATGAAAAGACTTGTGCGGCCCTAACAGTAACTTGAGAGTGAATAGGAAGATTGACTGTTTTATCTTTATTGACTATAGTATAGTCTTCAAAGGTGACTCAGCATAATATTTGGCGTTCCCGTAGTATGTGAACCAAGATATCGGACACCGGAATGTAGTATTTGTACCAGGTTAGGGTTAGGCCATAGTTTTATTCCAATTTTCCTTATTTTAGTTCTATTACGAGTTCGGGGACTAGCCAAGTGACTCCTGTAGTATTTGTACCTGAAATTATGGCCTAACCCTAACCTGGTACACATACTAGCCTACACACCGTTGGCCGCCATCTTGGTTCACAGCGGATAAAAGGGTGTTTTTATATTTGTTATGAGTGAGTTAAGAGTTACTTTTGAACCAAATAAGTACAAGTTGCAAAAAGATCTTGAAATAATACCAACCAACCTGTGAAGCTTCATCCAAAAAAATATGAGTGAATACGTTTCCTTCCAATCCAGTTTCTATGCCGAGAGCCATAACAGCAGAGAAAGTTGTAATCACTAGTTTGAACTTTCTTAATTGTTTCAAACTTGGATAACAAAATGCATCATTTTTGATAAGGCAATATTTTCTTACTGATTCCTTGAAACAAATAGTGGATAGAATAGAATTTCATAATTATGCAGGAGAGAGATTATTACAATAAGTAGTTTGAAAATAAGCATACTTAAGCAAATCAGGCAATGAAATTTATATTTTAATATGATAACAACACAGTTCTTCAAACTTACATGTCAAGTTGAGATGGGATTTACATTTTTATCTTGGGGAGAGGAAAGGATAAGGAAAGTACCCTAAATAGATAAAAAAGATAAATTAAAAACGAACAAAAAAAATTTAAAAACCTTAACAGTTGAAATTCGCCGTTTGTGATAATACAGTCTCAAAATTTTTCCTCTCCACTTTTCAAATTTATGATCTTCCACATAAGAATCTGCGGAACTGTAGGCAAAAAAATCATATGTATGAGCCATGAATAAATCGTTCGAGAATGAGAATAATTAGGAAAATGTATATATGACATTCAAGTGAAAACTTGTATATCGACAGAGCTGGAAAAAAGAAAAGGGTGGGAAATTGAATTTGGTGTTTTGTATTGGCCTTTTTAAGGCTGACTGATAATACTGAGCACACATAAGGCATAAATGGACTCAGTTTATTGAAAAGCATATACCAGTACCTATTTGAATGAGTACAGAGAAGAATTGTTGTTTCCTTTTCACCCATTTTCATCAGCTCTATCAATATGATTTTGAAAGTATGTGTTTTCCCAGTTCCGAATGGTCCTGCTACTATCAAGGGTGGATAACTTTTATTTAGGTTATGAACGCCATCTTTCTTTTGCCATTGAAGATAATCAAAAACTGCACTCTGAATAATAAGAAAACATCAAATAAATTACTGTATTTCTGAAATAGAAATGGTACTTAGTACTTACAATATAAAAAATAATTATTTTAATAATTCAAGTGTGTTTACCTGATAATCATCCAACTCCTTACATTTCAATTTAGTAGAATCATAGTTCAAACTAGCATAATTCTCGTGAGCTGGACATATTAATGATGTTTTTTTCTTCAAACAGTCAATAGCATAATGCTGTAGGCAGAACACACTCCTATCAAGTTGAAACTGAAGCAGTAATTTTCTTCCTTCATGAAGTTGCAAATTTTTTGTACAACTACATAAAAGTAAACAATCTCATTAGGGTGAACACACAAAAAAATGCAACTTGTTTGAAATATTGGATAGTACTGACGAAAATTTCTATATATGTCATTGTTGTGGTGCCGCACAAAAATACAAGCATATTATTTACAGGCAGGATCAATAATATTATTAGAAAAAATATTATTGTGAATAAATTTTATACATAGAAGTCATATCGTTCTAATAGATGGGTAACTGAAAACAGACTGTTTTTATCATATCACTTTGGCCACAATTCTGTTTGCTGTGATATTCAAATAAATTATTTTTCCAAGATCATCATGAAAATATCTATTCTGGATTTCAAAAGATTGGTAAATTTAACAAATTTTCATCACAATTGTCGTTAAATTGTTTCTTTCCAATCATAAAACCAACCCAGGAGCAGTACTTTTTTCTAAAACCCTTATGCACATCAGCTGATTTGCAAGGTAGTGTATGTAGATAAAGCAGATTTCACAATATTCGACCAGCTCTGGTTTGGGACAGTTGAATTTAGGAAGAAACAATCTTATTGCTCATGATCATCAGATTAAAGCAAGGCAAGGATGAAACATAAAATAATTGTGACTCTAATTGAAATAAATTATTAGTGTTTAGTTTTAGGGTTCAGTGGTGCACAAGATCTCAATGAACAATGTACAATGTTTTGAAAATTGTTACTAACTCATCAATGGTTTTTATCTGTGTGTGTATTGGAAATTAACGATAATGAGAGTGGAGTGCTCAGATGAGGTATGTGAATGGAAGCAGCAGGAATGATGAATGTAGCTGTAGCAAAGACACCTAACCCTAACCACAGTTCTTAATTTACATCCCATGATAACCCATAAATAACGAATAGAAATAACTTACTTGGGTGATATATCAATCAACACTTCACTTTCATTACAAGAAATTATAATAGCTTCGTATGCATTTATGTCATCTTTTTCACCTATGAGAACCTGTTGAGAAAAAACAATAAATCATCTATAAGCATCTTAAAAAACTAAATCTAGGATGGGCATGCGTGTTAACGAATGCCATGCCACACAGTGATATATACAAGTAGAATTCATTTGAGTTATACCATATAAGTTGAAGCAATAAGTTGAACAATTTTAGACATAGCCAAATGACAGTTCTAGTTTTAGGTTCTGGGAAGCCAAAATAAATCAACTGATGGCCAATTAAGAAGTTCAAAACAAAAAATGTTCGAATTTGCTAAAAGTGATTTCGAATTACAATTCTCAATGGCAGAGAATCATGGGGGTCATGAGATGTTTGGAGTTGTAAAAAGGGTTTAGTCAGTATTGATTTTCTGCTTGTTAGTTCCATTAAATGATTTTTTAACTGATATGTAGTAATAATTTTTTAATGCTTAAGGAATAATAAATAGCACTTTGCAATATTTTTTTCATTAAACACAAAAATAAATAATATATTTCATAAAAAACAAAAATTTTTCAGCATTTCCAAGGATTACTAGTAAACGCTAATCTTTTCTCAGGTATAATTTCAAGTTGTTAGTTTTGTAAGATAAAAACAGATGTGAAAATTCAAATGTTTACATATTTACTCACCGTTGAACAAGTTTTTTTAAAAAGCAATCCTTCATCTGTTGATACACTGAATAGAAATAGGTATTTGTATATTTATATTAAATATATATGCGTGAAACATTTCAAAATAAAACTGAACTGCTTTTTCACATATCTATAGAAGAATAACGGTTCTGAACAAATATTCTAATAAACTAAATATTATTTTATTTGTGCAGTTCAATTCAAAAGTTTGTATTGTCTAACTGTCCTCATTTTAAGACTTATACTGTGTTATTATATTTGACTTGACAACAAAATAAATCGAAAGGATTTTTCATACATGTGATGCACACGCATACATAACTTTTCAATACTATATAAAATGCATTTAGGTTCGGGGTGTAAAAATAATTGCTAATTTATTGTGTATGTCTGATTATTAGTTCATTACAACCTTCCAAATGACTTCTTTCGAAGGATTCTATGAATATCAAAATGTTATGTATCAAGAAGATGTTCAAGAAGCATTACGTTTCTAATTAAAAAAGTCTACCCACTTTACAGGAAGTTGAAGCTTAGCCAGCACATGGCCTTCCGAATTTCCCGGTGATAAGACTTCCAAATCACATTCAATATTCAACCTGTGGAATATATTGAGTCATATTATTACAAAAAAATCTTATATTATCATGTGTGATGAATATACTGAACTACTTTACTTTAATTTATATTCACTAATCACAAATCAAATACAACAAAAACATTTCAAATTGTTTTGTTTTCTTCCTATGCAGTTTAAACTTTAGGATGACATCATAAGTACTCGTGAAAATATATGTTTTTTTTTCTTACTTTGCAAGCAAAATTCTTCTTGCTTCTTCTTCTTCATAAAGCAAATTGTGCATTTTCTCTGCATAGTTGATTCTTGTTATGTCTGTAAAATCCATAACATCACTCCTAACCTTTGGAGGAAGATACTCGTTTTTGAGCTCCGAAATTCTTTTTTCATATTTTCCAATCTGGTTTGTCAGCATAGGATGTTTGATAATCTTTCTATGTTAGGAATACAATTGTATAATTATGCTCAAGAATTGTAATTTTTTTAGATGTGATATTAAGTTATGTTACATGCAATACATATGATAAAGTCAAGGAAGTTATAACAACAAAGAAGTTATTCACTTCAATTACAACGAACCAGTCATGAGATCTCTGGGTATATTTACTTAAATGTGGAAGATTCATATTCAGGTACATTGTTGTCAATTTTTTTAATTAATCCCACTAGAATAATCACCAAATTTGAATGATTCAATGGTGATACAAATGACCAAATGATGATACGAATAATTCAATGTATCGATTTGAGCCTGTCAGTGAATTAATCATCATTATTATTATTAATTCGTCTTAGTGAAAGGTTTAAAATTAAAAATCCCTATATTGCTCATGTTTTCATACAAGAAATTTGGGACTTCCGTCATATGTGAACGAAGGGGGTCGAAACCGTAACGTAGTAAGTATACCAGGTTAGGACATAATTTCAGATACAAATACTACGAGAGTCCCCGAACTCGTAATAGAACTAAGAGAAGGAAAATTGGAATAAAATTATGGCGTTACTCTAACCTGGTACAAATACTGCATTCCGGTGTCTGCCATCTTGGTTTACATTCTACAGGATTACCAAAAATTTATGCAGAAAAACATGTCAGTATTTTACTAATAATCGTATTTGAGACAAATTATTTAATAGTGGAGTATGAGTTAGCATAATCAACAGTTTTAAAAAGAATGTTTGTTTGCATCTTTAATGAAATCTAATTTAGTGAATGTGCAATTATATAATAAATAGCTGAAATGACAAATACTTTGAGAATCAATGAATAAAAACATTTTTTCTATGATTGAGTAAAACGTCTTGGTTCAAATATATCTGATGTATATTTGCGAATGTATTGTGGATCGAGATACCTGTCAGAAATCCAGTTGTTTTGAAGATTGTTTTCAGGAAGTTCAATCCCTTCACCATGTATGAAAACAACAAATAATATATTTACTGGTTTTTGTCCATCATTAAAGTCAAATACTAATTCTCCAACATGTTTTCCATAACTGTTTGGATTTGTGAATAACACCTAAAATGTCAGGTCACTACTTTAGTCAAGAACATTTTATTAGCGCTATGTCAAGCCTGATGATCGAAGACAATACAATTAAAGTTAGTGGGGGAATACTGAAATTTGAACTTTAGAAATATACTTCCACTTGGAAGTTTTCATATGTACGGTAGATACTTGTATCAACACTTAATTTACTTTACCAGAAATAACTAATCACTCTCACTATTAAAGAGAAAGGAGAAAGCATACAAGCTTATTGCATACAGGCACCTTCTTTTAATTATGTCTAACTGATTATAAAATCAAAAAAATAGAACAAAAAGATCATCGGTAATCTATGTGTATAAGAATAACAAAAATTGGAGAATAAGAAAATTATCAGTATCGATCTGTGTGCAGAAAGATCTGTTTCTGTAGTCATATTTATGTTCTCAAACAGCCATCAAATAATGAGCATCAGGGCAACATGAAACCGTTGTTTACAGACATTAAGTCTAATTTTCTGTATTTATCAAAAACTATATATTTAATCATCAGCACTTGAACTTGAAGTTAAAAAATTACCGAACATTGATTCAGCAAAAACCATGTACTATGTGGTTTTGAAATTGTGTTGAAGTTCGTTCACAAAATCGTCTGTGTCATAAAAAAGCTCAGTTGGCACATGTCTTGATGCCAAATTATCATTTAAAATATTCTTTCATTACTATTCCTAAGTGCAAACCCATGCATATAGGTACATAAAGTTCAAATACATATTTTTATTTAGTATCTTGCTGATTTTGATAACAAAAAAATAAAAAATCCATTGTAAGATGTTGCCTTGGCTATTCATTCCTATTATTGATTTCTGAGTATTTGTATCATTCAAATAGCAGTTAAATCTATAGTATGCATCAATATTGTTTACATAATATGATTACCATAAATTCCAAGTTTTTTCTAATATTGTCATCCAACGCAATATGATATTTGTAATGAGATTGATCAAGATGTCGTATTTCAAATCCATATTTATATGGAAAACTGACATGATTCAATTTCAACTGGAATAAATAGAAATATTGTTTACATTGATTATCAACCAAAGATCAATTTCAAATAAACTAAATATTTGTAGTATGTAATAATGATAATATACAATATTTCAGGAATTCCTGTCATTCTAATGCATGTAAAATGGAAACAGCTATTAATTTTTTCAGCTTGACAAGTGTTTCATGAAACGTAAATTGGCTTTTTTACATTTGAAATATTCGAAATACATTATTAAAAGCTAAATGGAAAAATTAATCACTGAACATATAATATTTGTCAAAAGTAAAGGAACAATCGCCAAAAATCAATACAGTACTACTGGGCCATTACATTTGTATTAGTGATGTTGATCTTCAATTTCCATTTAGTTTTCTCAGTTTTGATATCAATGTCTTTCGTTCTATCATCAACTTTGAGTTGAACTCCTTTCAAACGCGTAATCTCCTAATGATTGAAAAAAGTCAAATCATTTTCCGTACAATAGACCGTCAAAAAAAAAAAAGTGAAAAATAAAGCAAATATAAGCAATAATGGTTGGCATAAAGATTGGCAATCCTGATTACTAATCTTCAGATCACGCACAAAAAAAGAGAAAAAATAAATCATGCTTATCACTCTTACCAATGTTGTAAAAAAGGCAGGTTATTTCCATAACCAATACTCTTTTATAAAAGGCATTACTTCGATTAATAAAATAGTACAACCTATTTATTCAATGCTATACTGTAGTGGTTATTAAACTTTTCAAGTTGGTGCCCCTTTTAAGAATTTTTCGAGAAATAACTAGCTAACAATAAGATAAAAATAACAGATAATAAGGTGAAAGAATGTCTTATTCAAAGGACACATTGAAAATATGTGAATGGAATGCATATATTCCAAAATAAAGAAAGATGAATATCCAAAATGAGGCAGGCAAGATCAAATCTAACAAATATTTTTATTTTTAATTATCTCCATGCCCCCTCAAAAATTGTCTATGCCCCTCTTGTGGGGCACACCCCACTGTTTGAGAATCACTACTATAGAGTATTCCCACACTAACCTCCAGACGTTCGGTTTGAATTCTTTGTTGCAGAATTGAAATATAGTTTTGAGGTATTTCAGTGAGAGTGAAGCTGAACGCAGAAATATAAAACAATAAATAAAAATAATGTGTAATATTAATATACGGTACCATGATATATTTGTCGCAGAAAGTATGTTTCTCAAATATTCTTGATATAATAAAAATAGGATATATAAAAAATGTTATTACTTTGCTATTTCAAAATGATTGATATAAAATCACACGGACACCAAATATTTTATTTTATCATAAAACTTGTTGCCTAATGGAGAAACTACCATAAGTACTACATTAGCATGATTCATGATTGTCATTCCATAATAAAAAATGCATGGAGCCCAACAATATTTATACTTTCCAGATTATATATTCTTTATGTTTATAGGAAATATGGTATACTTGTTTCTTGCTTTCTCTAGCAAAAGTCGCTGATTCCATTCCTCAAGTTCCAAGTCGCTATGAGCATTTTTACAATTACAATCAGGAGGATAATTTTCCTCGTAGCTGAATAAGAAATAAATACATTAATATTACTGCCTTATTTAAAACAGTTTTGTTTAGAAATTAGTTTTATGTATAATCTTCATGCAATTCCATTACTGCATTTAAACTGTATATCAATACATACGGTATGCTGTAAATGATCATCTTAAAAATAAGATTTATTTAAAAAAATAACATGATTTGTGTGATGATCATTACTTGAGTAAAATAAAAATTAGTGACAACAACCATGAACAACAGAGAAAATTATTCACTAACTTTATCAAATGACTAAGCCCAAAAATGTATTTTTAAAATTTGGCACTAACAACATTTTTCACACTAAATACAATTACCTGCATAATTCAAAATCCCGGACTTCATATTTTTTAAATATCCAATTTGTTCTCTTTTTGATATCAGGAAAATGGACATGATTTTGTCCCATGTACTTTAAATATTCATCATGACTAGAAAAACCCAAACAGCATAGATCACAATAAAACATCCCATCAAGAGTTGCCCCTAAGAATAATGTTGCTTTTAATAGTGGTAACTATATGTTTATATATGTGACTTTGAAATATCTCTTTTGTCCTCTTAATATTGTCGGTGGCAAATTCTTTTGAATCAATGTTATTCTGAAATGAATATGAGGGCATAAAGCATATGTCAAAGGGTGATTTTCTAATTCAAGTTAAATTAAAATCAACTGGGTAAATAATTTTATGTGTAGAAAAAGTTTAAAAAAACTAAAAATAACTAAAATATTTCAATTACATTACATTTCAAGCAAATAACATGTTTGAAGGAAGAACAAAGTTCAAAACAATTTTTGTATAAAAAAGAATATGGATATGATGACTAAAATATTATACTGTTTATTGGGGCTTGTCCTTTGCAGAAGTTCACAAGCCATTGTCTGGATGTGCTCCTACTCTCCAGCTTCCACACTTGAAGTTCCAAATAACTGTGCGCAAATGTGCATTTCGTTTTAGAACAAGTTCCTCGAAGGTGATGCCTAAAATTACAACTTCATTTGTTTGGAAATTGAAAAAAATTATAAATTTTATTGAACTCAAACTCTCATATACACATAGAACAGAAACACATTATACAAGAAAATATGATGTACTGCTTCCTATTTACTAGTAACAAGACCTAAACTTTCTTTTCTGTAGCACACATTCATTTTTCGAAGATGAACAATAGAATTGTTATTTCCATGTATGCTGTACCAAGCAACATCACATATAGTTTATCCTTCTATTAACAGCAAAAATCGTCTCCAGGAAAAAAAAACCAACCTGCACATTGAGTTTCCCCGTGTAGTAGATCTTCTCTCTCCAATTATTTCATATTCATAAAAAACTACACCTCCATTACCATGAGTTATTTTCTCATAAAGTAGTAGTCCTTCACTTTTTTCACACCAAGTACAATGCAGCCGTAATTCTGGAAATTATAGAAGTTTTTCAAGTTCTATCAAATATTCCAACAAAACAAGTTTCTAATTCTGGATCACAAATTTAGATACCTGTGGCTTTAAATTACACCAAACACATCACAGGCTAAAAATATAGGGTGTGACATTCACCTTATACAGTGTGGTATAAATATGGGAACCACAGAGATTTTGTGTTCTTTCAAGATACATAGAATAACAATAGGGCTAACATACTTTTTCCATCGCCAATTTCCATCTCTTTCACAATGCAGGGTTTTAGCTTGTAACATGCTTCACAGGCATAGAAAAACCTTCCTCTATCGCATTCATGCCTCAAGAAGTATTCAATTTTTTTTTGTTCGTTACTTTTGTCACCGTGCAGACCTTTATTATTGTGGGTATGTCGATTCGACGAGTATCGACGGTTGCTTCTTTTTCTTGGTGGAGTATGCTGGACAATAGTTGGTTCAACTACATGTGTGACATCGTCAATGTCTAAAATTAATACTTCAAATTAAAATACTGATTTTATATGCCAGGGGTTCATGATACCTAGATGTGAGGTCACACAAAACAATGAATAAGTACCAAAACTTTTGCTCAGATTTATTAAAGAATAACATTCAAATGGTGCGGCGGTGTGGCTCAGGAAGAAATATGCTCGCCACCGCACCTCTGATTACTCTGCGTGGGTTTGCAGGTTCGAATCCCATGCAGGGATGATTATGGTCAGGAGGATTGCTGGATTCCTCGCCGTCCGTCGTAGGGTGGTTCACGTAACCGCTGGTCGGTTATGGCTTCCTCCACGAACAAGACCATGCTTCCAAAAACAAATAACTAACTAATTCCGTACTTGACATGGAATGGTAACCGGACGAGAGACCGTTAGCCATATGTTTAAGCCGTTTTATCGACTTTCCTCTTCCCGGGATAAATATGTAAATCCTATCCTATCCGAATTGGCATTCTGATGTCACTGCCATTGTTGGAAATAAAACGTATCATATTCCATATATGATGGAATAATAGTTGAAGACAATTTTTTTAGTTTTAGTTTATTGTCAAGTTCTCATAAAATCACAAGAAATTGATCATCTCCAGATGTGGCAATTGGCCTTGTTATATACTATGTAAATCTGCAAATGCAATAATACAAACTTAAAAAGTATCAAATTAAGTTTAAAAAAAACAATTTATAGATATTATGTAATTTTGCTCAAAATAATGACATTAAAAAATCCTTACTTACCCCTTGTATTACTGTAAATAACTTGACACACTTCATTTCAATAACAATTAACCAACAATTTAATGCAACCTTATTTTTCTATAGGTTGACATATGGAAACATCAGAGTGCAAACACTCTTACCAAGGTAAATCAGCTGCGGTAGAAAATTACTCAGAAATAAATCATGTTCTCGCAGCAGTTGCCACAACAGAAGTTCAGAATCACTGTGTCCTTTTTTGCATTTCTTGCTTCCTTTCTGGCATTTCTTATCTGGACACAATCCAAGTTGCTAAAACATGATATAAATATTAAGCTGCATCAGAAGTCTGATTTCAATCTTGCAAACTTGAATACTACTGATTAAGCACATATATTAATTCCAATATTGTTCTTGTAATAATATTTATCACTTAAATAAAATATCAAACCTGATCAGTAACATTCACAGGACGTTCTCTGATACGAACCCACCGGCAGGGTTGATTTGCATAATCTTGTTTCTGTACATATATACCAAGTTTGTTTTGCTGTTGGCATTTAGTGCATCTGAGAATTAAAGATCAAGTGTTTGATTGTAACAATAGGTGACAAAGAGAGAAAATAAAAATAAAAACCATAATGTAATTATTTCAATGAAAAAGATTTTTGTATTTCGAACAAATCACTCTTGTTGTCTAAAATTAGGCCAGCTGTCAACAAGACCATCCCTAACATCAGAAAAATATTTACCTTATTTTTGCTAAGGTATATTTGTTCCAAAACCTAAATAATTGCCGATTCTGTTTTAGACTTTCGAATTCCAAACCTTATTTTATTTGGGTCTTGTTACTTCTAATTGGTAATAGACTATTGCAATTTTCACAACACACTTTGAAACCAATAATATCGGTATCATCTTCATCCCAGTCATATCCGTACTAGAGGATGTAAGTCATTAATATGGTAATGCTTGAATGCCTTCCCCAGACTGACAATCACCAATGATTGTCAATTTTGATTATCTAAATATTCAAATACCTTGCCTATGAGAACAAATTGGGAAGTTGCGCTGGTAATCAAAACTTGGCTGTTTCCGACAGAGTCAGAGAATCAACCACACCGGTACCGGTATATAAAACATCATTCTCCGTCCACACAATTGTAGGAAAATACGAAAGAGTTGGATATTAACCGTATAACCGAGCAGAATCGTAGAGATATCGACGATAATAAACTAATTTATACGCAAAAGTAAGCTTTGTTTGGGTTAGGTGCAGCATTTTACACAATTCGTTCGTCAACTTCATAGAACTGATGTGACTTGATGGGAGCTGGAGAGGGCCACGACCAGCTATGAAGAGTAATGAAACAGCGCTTAAGAGACATTTCGAAACACTCGAGTTCCGTATGTTGCGACCTCAAAACGTGCACGATGGTGTTATATAAAGTGAACGATCGGGACGTATAACTAGTTACGCACTAGAGTGATTAAAAAGATGTCTTCAAAATTCGTTCATCTGAGAGGTTTAATTGCCGTTTTTATTACAACTAATGTTCGGGAAACCATAGCAACTGATTCCGTTTGCGTAAGTGATTTCGGTATAGCCAGAAAACTATAATTGTTTGGTCTCTTATTCATGGCCAATAGCGTAACTCAAAACGTGAAAGCTTTGCCTGACAAACTAGTTTTTAATGTGTAATTGGGAATGTTTAAATTTCTTCTGTAAAATGTTCGTGGAATCCGAGACATCTTCTAATAAGATACGTATCATTTATATCGTCTTTACGTCTGTATTTCCACTACAATGCTTGGAGTTTTTGGGAAGTGTTTAATTGGGCCATTGTTACTATTCATTTACCATTGAGTTTGCTGAAAAGATCGGTTCCCTCAAATCGAAATAAAACAATAAAATATCGAGTCTCATGGAGTACGGGATATTTGAAACAAGAAACTTGTTTAACCTTTGGAATGATGCTGATGTTTTAAGCCAACGGGAATATGAATCAAGGGCTGAATTATTGAGAGTTTTTCATCGTTATTGACCCCTGTTTGCTAGCGGTACGCTTGAAACTGGTTTATGTTGCTTTTTCAAGCCCAACACTTTACCTTAAGATTTCGGGATTTCCCTGGTACTCCCGTAGTATGTGTACCAGGACAAATACATTCATATATTTCATTGACTCATAAGATTACTTTACGACATGCGATATTAGTATTCACAATCTGTTATTACCGTTTTCTTACATTCCCTATTCCTTAGTTTAGTAATTTCACCATTTCCGCGGGTATCGGTTCCCTACATAATACAGTATAACATATTGGTACATACACTTCTTGAGCGCCGAACATACACAGGAAGTGTTGGTGAACCAATCACAAATTCGGAAGTAGCGCTCAGAAGAGTAGTGGCCAATGATAACATAGTTGCGGGCGGTAATTGATGCCGTTTCAAGGTAACAGCGTATTTTGCGTTATAAATAACTCACTCGAGATTTTGAAAAGGTTAGGCATGACTTATTCTTAATATTCAGCACGAATTATCTATGACGCAGTACAGATTCGCTGTACATGACTTACCTGTATGTTTGCTCGTCGACGTCAGCCTCACACTTGATACAACGAAAAACGATGGCGCTAGGGGATGCCTTCTTGAAGTCGTCCCAAATCTTTTTTATGTCAGCCATATGCAATAAATGGGTTCAAACCATTTTAAACTTCATATGGTATTAAATATCTGAAATGATAATGACATACAAATAAGCTATCTTCTCAACATTAGACGCAATACGATTTGGCGCCAATTCCATGGTGAATTTCTGTCGGCATCTATAACCCCAACACCCTGGCAATCATAATAAATTAATTCCATGTTTCTTTTCATAAGCTTTATAATACTCTCCGCACCGTTGCCCCGCGATCACCCGAAAAATAACGCGAGTGATTTGAGGTACGTTGGGGATATGCAGACGCTAATCTAAACGTTCGTATCACATGAATAAATGAGCACTCGTTATACGACCTAGCAAAACTACTTAGCTTTCTCATTTCTTACTGAAATCACGTACTGCCGTAAGTTGGGGTTTGATGGGACTGCAGACATAACCCATCATCAAAAATCGGCCCCCAGATAATAAGATTCACCACAGTAATGTTATTATACGTCTTATTGAACGTACGTTGTTAAATAACTTCAAAGTGACCCACCTTATATAGCTGTATAGATCATTTCAGTGTTTTTGTCGGTGTGGCCTCTTATTATTATATATCGCTTGACTTTACTAGGTCATTGTGCTCCCCATAATGCAAATAACACCTGACAAAACACACATACGTTTGTTTTCGAAGTGGGATTTGTTCTGCTTTCTGTCTCGACTTCCAGGTAATTGATTGAAAATATATCATTTGTATATCTAAGGAAACATTTCGTGTTCATATTTATTTTACAACACGCAGAGTAGACTTACGGGCAATTTTGTTGAACTGTTGCTTTAGTTTTCGTTCTTGCTCTGAAGAAACTAATGCACCAATTAATTGCAGAAATTTTCAGTATTGGAAGAAGGCCACTGATAATTGAATTTTATGATTCTATGGTGACTGATATTTAACCCTAAATTTTGATGGTTTCATTAATACATCGACACTCATTTTAGTCATTGATTAATTGTGTTAATTTAGACTGGTTAGTGTACAAGTAATGATATAATATAAAACATAGGTCTTCGGTTACAATATACCCTATAAAGTTCCTAATCCGAACCTGGGCCAGACTAGGACATCCATGAATGAATACAGACAAATATGTCGCGTTTCGTTACCCATGACCTTCCGTTCTGACAATGATCAGCGTCGATCTTTCAAGCGTGAATGTCAAACTTTTTATGCCAAGTATAAAATACATATATTATATATAAGTATTCATCACCAGGGCTGTGGACTCGGAGTGAATTTAAAATCGACTCTAGTTAAAAAAAAAATTTCTTCCAAACCGGGTTGGGAAAAATCTTGTATATGTAAAAATTCAACACGGACTTCAGCCTGAATTTCGATAAAACCAAAGCCACTTTGGATAAAACCAAATATTCATGGCGAAAACGTAGGCGTATACAAGCTTTCTTTAATGGGCTGTTGACCCTTTGTTAACTTGATACTTTTGAATTTTAGCGCGTTCACCCGAAAAATAACGCGAGTGATTTGAGGTACGTTGGGGATATGCAGACGCTAATCTAATCGTTCGTATCACATGAATAAATGAGCACTCGTTATACGACCTAGCAAAACTACTTAGCATTCTCATTTCTTACTGAAATCACGTACTGCCGTAAGTTGGGGTTTGATGGGACTGCAGACATAACCCATCATCAAAAATCGGCCCCCAGATAATAAGATTCACCACAGTAATGTTATTATACGTCTTATTGAACGTACGTTGTTAAATAACTTCAAAGTGACCCACCTTATATAGCTGTATAGATCATTTCAGTGTTTTTGTCGGTGTGGCCTCTTATTATTAAATATCGCTTGACTTTACTAGGTCATTGTGCTCCCCATAATGCAAATAACACCTGACAAAACACACATACGTTTGTTTTCGAAGTGGATTTGTTCTGCTTTCTGTCTCGACTACCAGGTAATTGATTGAAAACATATCATTTGTATATCTAAGGAAACATTTCGTGTTCATATTTATTTTACAACACGCAGAGTAGACTTACGGGCAATTTTGTTGAACTGTTGCTTTAGTTTTCGTTCTTGCTCTGAAGAAACTAATGCATCAATTAATTGCAGGAATTTTCAGTATTGGAAGAAGGCCACTGATAATTGAATTTCATGATTCTATGGTGACTGATATTTAACCCTAAATTTTGATGGTTTCATTAATACATCGACACTCATTTTAGTCATTGATTAATTGTGTTTATTTAGACTGGTTAGTGTACAAGTAATGATATAATATAAAACATAGGTCTTCGGTTACAATATACCCTATAAAGTTCCTAATCCGAACCTGGGCCAGACTAGGACATCCATGAATGAATACAGACAAATATGTCGCGCTTCGTTACCCATGACCTTCCGTTCTGACAATGATCAGCGGCGATCTTTCAAGCGTGAATGTCAAACTTTTTATGCCAAGTATAAAAATACATATATTATATATAAGTATTCATCACCAGAGCTGTGGACTTGGAGAAAAAAATTTTCTTCCAAACCGGGTTGGGAAAAATCTTGTATATGTAAAAATTCAACACGGACTTCAGCCTGAATTTCGATAAAACCAAAGCCACTTTGGATAAATCCAAATATTCATGGCGAAAACGTATACAAGCTTTCTTTAATGGGCTGTTAACCCTTTGTTAACTTGATACTTTTGAATTTTAGTAAAATGGTTTTGATTTATTCATTATTGATCATCATCGAAAGTCTGCAATTCAAACTCCAGTGACTTCTTGGAGAATTTTAAACTCGGCCAGATAATTCAAATATCGTGACATACAATAATAATTACGTAGTCTGCTAAAAATATTTAATGGAATGGTTGGGTCACTTTGTCATGATGGTAGACAAGAAGACATTTTCCCTAATTGCGTAATGCACCTTAGCAATTCCTTTCCACATTTTATCCTAAACCCAATCGCCCCAAATTTTCAGGTAACTGTAAAAGATGATTGGTCTGAAAATTGACGACTAGGTTAAGACTTAGTTATTTGCAAATTGTATTTGATTTCCACATATGCTATTGAAATTATAACAATTATATTGATTTGAGCTTCCTGCGGTTTGTCTCAGAAATGTCGGCATGCTCCAACTAACAGCGAGTTTTCACTCAGCCTCGGTAGAGTTATTTCATCTATGGAGTTGAAAGCATCACCTCGAAGTTTTGCTGCTTCCATAAAAATTGTAGAAAATACTGGTCTGTTACTATATCGATAAGTATGACTTTTTTCACTAATTTTGAGACTACGGTAGTTCTCATTACCCTCTAATGTGGTGCTCACTTAATGCTGATGTGGCGTAATCGTGCCTCAGTTGGACTATACATACATATAAAAACATTGCGTAGGTGTCATATCTTTTGAACTAGGTGTTGTTCTCAAACGCTATGACGGCAACGCATTACGTATTTATTCAATTACACCACATTGAAATACACAAAATTCAGTAAAATCAACTTACATTAATGAAGAATTTGTTTCATTTGATAACGATCGTGTACCGCAGATAACCGTTGAAAGACGTGCGTTACAGCTGGGTGCGTTAATAATTAATACAGAGCAAACGGTGTAAATATTAGTGTTACGTCACATATATCAGTTTTTCGACGCGTTTCAACAGTAGTGTCTTCGTTGAGTACTGAAATGCGTCACGTTAAATAGATTGACTATAATAGAAGTGGGCAATTAATATTTAAAAAAATAGGTATAATTTTAACTCTTCCGCAAATGAATCAGAGGTGGGTATTTACATAATCAATTACTTCTGTGCGTGCGTATTTGACTCAAACATATGACTAAGTTCAAGGCAGAACAACTGCGTTTCCTGATTGTCTCAGCGCGCTTCAAGTATCAGCTGATCGGCGTAATCCATAACACAAGAAATCTGCAACAACAATTTCTATATAATTCTCTAATCCCACGTTAGCAAATAAGCTGTTGCTACACCCTCTACTTATAAGAGCTGGAGTATTCTCTCACATCGAAGTAGGAACAATTTAAGGCGGCTCGGCGTGTCGACGGGGAAGCCCCAACCGAGATACTTCTTTCCTGATCCTCACGTGATAATGTGATATGCTATTTCTCCCATCCGACGATAAACGCTGAACAAATGTACGTTTCTGCGGTAAAATTTTGATTTGTATATCTTGTACCTAATTTTCTGGGAACAATGAATTTTACACCATTAACACAGGAAACGTGTTAGCTGACAGTACAGCGGACCTTCATGCATATAACAATCTTGGTGATACATGTTCTAATGTACCACAACATATGGTAAACCCGCGATAGCAGGTTTCATTGGCGTTCTAACATGCACCCGAATCACCGATCCGAAATATTACGCAAATCGATCGATACATTTTGCCGATTTCTTCACCTCTAAACTTGAATTTCGCAACCAAACTTGCCATCCTATCACCTGAACAATTCACGATTCATAGCTAAACTTCAGTTTGAAATTACAAACAAAAGAGGAACCTACGATAAACTGCAATAAGATGACGTGGACCCTACAATTTGCGCAATAACCAATAGACCAAAGCACATTGTCCTGTGTCCGTTTCGATTTTCGTGGAACCCCCTTTGTGAAACCCTGGTACACAGTTCGCCTCGGCTTATTATTCGTCAGAAATGTTCAAATTTCTAAAAGTGCAAACATCAACTCTCTATTTAACAACAATCTCATATTACACAATATTAATCAAATTTCATCGACAGGCCTGTGCCACGATAAGGAACTCAATTGGGTGTAGAAAGGCATAACATGTTCTCAATTACTCTGTCAATATTTATTTCATCTTTCAATAAGTGACTAAGAACTCAGGCTCCCATTGTCAAATTTCAAGTGTTGTCATGAAAAATGATTTTTTTTACTTCAACCAGACTACATGAAATTACTAACAGAAATAAGCAGAATTTTTATTGTAAAATTTATTTTTGGACACCAACTGTGACTGTTTGAAAACTACACTGAATAGCCTTGATCATAGAAATTTGGAAAATATTATCCACTAACACATAAGTTACAGAACCTTTCAAACTTAAATGACACAATGCATTTAAAAGTTGAAGAACAAATACAAAAAAGGATATTGGATAAATCATTTGAACTGAAAATCCAAAAACTGAGCACCAGTAACCAAAATAAACATATGAAACAAAAATGTGACAAATTTTCAAAATTTGATGATTTTGCAGTGCTGATATCTGCCAAATATTTTGACCCTGAAAACACTGAAACTTTGTGAAGGATTATATTCGTCAAATAAATAATAGGCAGACATGAGCCATCTCTGCATATATGTCAGAAAAACACATATTTTAGTATTTTGATGAAGGTGCGTGTTTCAAACACAGATGATTACTCAAGAACTTAGATACCTTTTATGGAAAGGGAAGCATACCAAAATTTATTTACATCATTACTTCATCCACTGTATATTTTATACTGATGACTTACTATCCAATGTCTCAAGGCAGTTTTATTGAAAATAGGGGGAAAAAAATGACATCCAGTGGATAATCTTGAACATTCATGACAGGGTAAGTAAATTTTGCACTGTATGATGATATCCCTGTATGATCAATGGCAACAATTTCCAATCGCTCCAATTTTATCACTTCTGACAGAATACATTTCTTGCGAGAGAATATACAGTAATTTCCCCACACAGTTTAATGTGATTTTTGAAAAACAATAACCTAAATATCATCATTCAAAAGTAATGACACCAAATAAACTCATCAGACATGCCCATAAGCATGTAGCAAGTATGAATGCTAAATGTTTTATTTATGTTATATCTTAATGCCGCAGACAGGACATTTGTGGGGCTGGAACAGATAAAGAATACTTGAAAAAGTGAGAAAAGTTAATGTTGTTGTCATTAAATATTTTCCTTTTGAAGTTTTTTTAAAATTGAATAGTAGTTCCCAGTCATTAGTATTATTACATCATATCATCAAATTCTATTTACCTAAAGTCCTCATGATACATTAACTTGGCTGTGCAATGTTCTCCAACATAAGCCCAATTTGGACAGACAACCAAAAGAAGTGGATTGCAGAAACAGGTTTCCACTAAAAAAGACCTTTTGACATGATGTACCAATTGAAGATACTATAATTGTTTTTTCAGCAACCTTCAACTTCTTTTGATTCAGAATTTTCTGTTCTAATGATTTTTGCAGATGGTTGATCTTGATCAGCTTCTGGGTAAATAGATAATAAAATAGTTGTTTTCAATCTCATGGTTATCAGTAATGGCTTTGCGATATGGACTCGACATAGGTTAGCAGAAAATGACCAACAAAGCATATTACGGTACTTATTGCTATTAAAATCTTCCAAAAACAAATTTAAAGCTAGATGGCTTATATCAGGAATGCCCAAAACAAATTAAATACAATATATATCTATCAATATATATCTGAATATCTTTGATTTAAGTATTAACCAATCCAACTGATATCGATGCACTTTTTAATTTGGTTTCTCAAGGAGAATTTACTATTTTTTTCCCTTTGAAGAGAATTCAAATTAGTGTATATTGAACAATTCATCTTCAGAAATATATTTTTTAATACATTCATAATGGGAGATTATTCCGTTTCGACTATTCCTGCTATGTCAGATAAAAAATTAATATTCAGATTGCATATTCTAAGAGTGAAAATGAGTGAATCGACTGCAAAAATAATAAAATTCACCTCTTTCTTCGTCGCTGTCAAATGTTGTTCTCTTTCCTCCAACTTTATCTCCTGACCTCTTTTTATGAAATTTATTGTATTTGTGCCCTCTTGGATTCTTCTTACCTTTTCTTCCTGTAAGTGTAACAAATAAGGATGTTATCTTTTGCAAGCTAATAACCTTGGATCCTTCAGTGACCAAAATGATTTTTAGGAATGTACAAAATCAGAAAGTTATAATAACAGTAAAGTAATGGCATATCTTGTTTGTATGTATCTTGTAATTTCTCATTCAGAAGAGAAAAAAGTTAATGAATTGACACAAAAGGTAAAGAAAACTATTCATTAATTCATTCGAAATTTCATATACCTAATTATCCTCAGAAGGCCAGACCTTCTTGAAAATCACACTGAAAAACCACAGGCCCATCCCAATAAGTGGTCAAGTTGTAGTACATTACAACTTTTTCATACATAACTTATTCGGTGAATAAAATTAGGAAACGATTTTCACATGTATATAAATAATTTGAAACCATTCCTTCTGATAATACAACTGGACGAATGATTGATAGATATTGTACTAGCAGCTAGTGAAGTGACCACACTAGCAAACCATTGCATGATTTGAATTTATTCCATATAGCAGAACCTAAAACAGATTCTGACATTTCAAATCCTACATTTTTTATCCCACCTTTGTAACACTCCAAATGACTGAAAACTTATGGAGTTGACTTAAAGGTGGTGGTTTTCTAATAACCAGCCATTATGAACTGCTCTGGTCTCATTGTCATTGCTTTTATTAGAAAAAATTTCACACATGCCCCCAAAGCCTGTCTTGCACAAAATATATCAGTTGAAAATATTCACCAAATGTTCTTTGTCTGGCCTCAACATATTGCTCTCCAATATTCTGGTTTTCTTCCGGTGTTGGTACAGAGAACTCTACCTCTGCTGATTTTGAGAGTAACTTTTGTATCACCTTTGTTCTGCTTAAGTATCTCTAGCAGTTCTTCAGGCTTGCGTTCATCTTGGAATATCAAGTAACCCTAAGATGGAGGCAAAGTATCTGTTTAGCGAATTGAAGTGATTATCAATTAAGTAGTATGGCATAAGGATATAAACGAGAATATCGGTTGGAAATCGAAGACTTATCGATCGATAGGTAGGGGATCCCCCAAAACAGAAACTGCAGTTTCGATTCATCCGCTTTTGTAACTTGCGCACTGCGCATCGCACACACACACTCGGGCGGGTTTCAAAATTCTCTCGCTTTACAAAAATCTAGATCACTATATCAATAATTGATTGATAACTCGCTAATTATACGACATAATTCGCCCAAAATCAATAGGCTCCTGGTCCGAGATAAGATGAATGCACATGCAAAATCTGGAGCAGATTCAACCTCGCTTTCGTGAGATATCGCGTGCATCTAACAGACACACACACAGACAGACAGACATACATACATACAAATACCTATAAATATACTTACCGATCTTAAGATCGATAAGTAATTAACCCACAAAGCTATCTTCCGGAAAATTATACGAATACACTCTGTGATACTGGATAAAAGGCAACAGTGGATCAATGTAGTTCGTAATTTGAATAAGTAGAAAAGTGTAAAAGCCGGAGATCAATATATTATTATTATTACATAGGTGTGGTGGTAGGCACATTGCCCTAAGCATTGAGAATACAATTGTCATTTCATTGAGAATAATTGTGTGCGGAAATATTGCTGGAATCCTCACTACTGTAGAGTGGTTCATGTACCGCTACTCGGATACTATCTCCACCATCAAGTCCATGCATCTGAAACAAATAACTACTGGTCATCTATTCCCATACCCGACATGGACTGGTAACTGGACGAGAGGCAATGGTACGCCATTTAATTACCCCCTCCCCTGGGATAAATATGAATATCCTATCCTGACTGAGATGTATCGGTATCGGCCAATTTTTCGGTAGTGTATTGGTATTGGCTAAATGTAGATCGATATTTCCGATATATTTAGCTTTTCAATATGATCCAAAATGTTTTAAAAAATAGGTTAGAATACTAATCTTCAAATATTTTTTTTTTTTTCGATAGATCATGAACTATGGGCCATGCACGTCCCCACCCTCGCTAGTAGAAACTGGAATCGGATTCTGACCTGTTTTTAGCCATTTATCAGCCAAACTGGCTCAATCAATTTGAGTATTTTCGCTGCCAAATTTTTGTATTGAAATTTTCAATATTACATGGTAATTAGGAAGAAATATATCAATCGGATATTAATGGATTTTCCGATGTGTAAAATATAAAATATGACATTATATTGGCACCAAATCCTGCGCACCTAACTCAATGTATCAGTTTCATACGATAAGTAGGCTAAGCATTTATTTATTTTACCACCAATAGTAGCCAAATCCTTTAAGTTTTCTAATTGAACACCAATATTACTAGCGCCAGTGCTCAATGCATCTGAATCATTTAACGCGTTTCGATCCCAAACATCAATTTCTTAATATATATATGTGATATTTCTATTTTTCGATCCAAAATAATGTGTACTATTAATAATGCACAAAGACTATTGTTTTAACCCGACTGCCCTGCACACATGAGGTGATAAATACATAGTATCGGAATATCGGTATTGGAATATCGACAAAATCGGCCTTTTTCAAATATTGGTGTATCGGTATCAGCGTTTTTAGCTGGTATCGGTGAAAAAAGCGGTATCGGTACATCTCTAATCCTAACATGAAATAGATCCTTTACCTCACTGCCCATCTTGCTCAATCTGTCAAAAAATCGAATGGTATGGACATCGCTTGATTCAAAGACTTGCTTCACATCAGTATGAATGATGGTGTCATCAGTGATGCCAGAAACCTGTAAAACCGAATGGATGAAGCATAGAGCATGATAAAACAGTTAAATTAAGCTTCAATTTCTTCGCTATCAAATTTGAGATGATTATATTTTTTCTGGGTCACAGCATGCAATTTAATGGCTTGATGGCTGGTGCATTGTGCTAAGCCAGCGGTTCCCAACCTTTTATGTCCACGTGTTCATCGCAAAAATAAAAGAAATGCATGCATTGTTGACATTCTAGGTGATCTCGATTAATTTGGTAAAGTCAAAGGCAACGAAATTGCCATCATTTTGTGCCTAGTATTGTGGCCCCTGGTTGAAAACTGCTGTGCAAAGCGTTCAGTATACGCTTACCATCGCACCTATGTTACCCTGCGTGCAGGGGCGCAGCCAGGATTTATGCGTTTATAAACTAAAATGTATGGTCGCTCACAGCGAAACTCCGCAGTTACGTATAGCCCGCCTCTCTTTGCCTGACGGTGTTTGGTGAATATTTTGCAAGTCTTATTTCAAACATCGACCATTAATTCGTAGTCAGCGGGTATCCGCATTTAGAAATAAAACATTGAAAATCGCGAAAATCAAATTTGGAGAGAACTATAACTCGCAGATGTCAGTAGCGTCATATTGGTTTATATGTACAAAAACACGCTCACATGTAGCGGCGATCAAATTTGTGAAATGTGCAACTATTACTTGAAAAATGTTGTTAATGAAGTTGATTTTTTATTGCCATTCAATGATTATTTACATGCGTCGTGATTAGTGGAGGGCAAAATCGTATTTTTTAATCGAGTTATTCGAATATTTTTAACGAACACCAAATAATAGTATTGTCATTTTAAACAAAATTATTTGGGATGTCGGCCGCCGAAACGATCGCCGTGGCAATAAATATTTTTTATTTTTACAATGGGGCGTTTTTTATTTCATTCAATTTCGTCATAATCGAAAGCTGCAGTAAATTTTTTGTCACCGCGATCGTTTCGGCGGCCGACATTCCAATTAACGTTGTTAAACTATATCAAAGCACTTTTTTATTCACTAGCAAATATTAATGCTCGCGTAACGGCGGATATCGTAGTTTGGTTTTTATATTTCGGACAGAATTGTGAATTCACATCGGCGAAGATTAAAGACAGGTATTAAGGAGTGCAAATTAATATTTTTCTGATTTTTATCTTATGTGTAGGATTTGTATCACAGTTTGTAAATTACGGTCCTAATTTTAAGCGAAAAATATTATTATTAGTGACCCCGGGATGCGATATTTGTGAACCGGATAGTGGACATTACTATGCTTTTAATTTTAGATCTTGTTCGTGTTGAAAAATTCCGCAAATTGGTAAACACTCGAATACTCAATGTTGAGTATTTACGCAACTCAGCTTTGGGTTGAAACACTGATACTAACTAAGCACGTGAATAATATTTAATAATATTTCTTCCCAATATATCATGAAATTTTCATAAAATACATTATTTACTTGTCTTACTTATCTGTTTGAACGTTTCTAATTTACAAAAACGGTGTTGACACGCTTTATGCAAAATCGTTTCAAATTTATTGTTTCTACTTGTTGTAAATTAATGTTGACAGATTGTATTTTACTTTCAAATGCACTGGGATTTGTATTATAAACATGATTGAGTCGGGAAAAGAAAGTTCTCAAATTGGCTTATAACCCTTTTCTCCTTTTGAGCGCCCATACCGGCGGTTAAATTTGTTTCATGGAGAGAAAGGAAAATACGCTTTCCAGAATTGCAATCAACAATTACACATTCTTATTTATCATTATCAGAGCCCAATAAAAAAGATAACATATCGTGAAGATGAAAAAAGTCTGACGGCTATTTTGTAGATGAAGTTCTACTTCAAAAATTTTTTCTCAAACTGGTTCGACTCATGTTACCCCCCCCCCCAAAAAAAAAAAGATTGCTGTAGAGTGGTAACGAACATAACCGCTGGCCGCTTGTAGCTTCCTCCATAATCAAGTCTATCGCAGGGAAGGCCAATACCGAATAGTTCACTATTTCAAAATTTCGAATACTTCGAAAATAAAATCCAGTAATAGAATCTTAGTGTATGAAGGAATTTTCATACAATAAACAATGGAATACCTTCTATCTACAACCTGGCTATATTACCAGGCATTTCATGTTTGCAGATTATTGCGATATATATTTTATATAACAAGAGTTGTGTTTAATACGACAAGGCATTTTAAATAGTGGTATCGGTGATGGATTTGAATGCTTGCGCAACACAAAATCATCCTAGTAAAACGACCATACTTTTAAATTCCAACCATTATCCAAATTATTTGCCAAAAAGCGGGATGAAGTATGAGTTATTTATCCGACTTGTGACAATTTTTTCGTGAGTACAAAAATACGAATAAAAAAGTAATTATATTCGGGAACTTTACCACACATTTTAAGTCCGCAGATCGCCGTTGTATGTATGTGTAATAAATCACTTACTTTATCTCGGTGGCCGTGTTTTCTCTTTTAAGTAACGATAACCGGCCTACGATTAAATATCATGATTGGCAGACCCATAAGAACCACATTTAAGGTTAACACAAATTATGCTTGAGAAGACTAATGCGAAAAATAAGCAGGCCACATAGAAATAAAATAAACATACTTTCTCAATAAGGCGCCCCTCCCCCCAAAAAATTAAGCCAAAATTGGGTCTAGAAAAGCGACTTATTAGCCGGGAAATATGGTGATTGTCGATTTTTCGACTAATGGAAATGATTTTGTGAATTAAAAGACGAATGTCGGCAATGTCCACTAACGCAAACGTGCAAATGTGTCGCAACACTATGCGACGTACATTCGCGCTGAATATAAACAATCAAAATGCCGATTCTATTTCATCGTCGTTACAATACGTGAGAAAGATTAAAAAGTCGTTTGAAGATTCCGGTTAAACGAAACACCATGTTTACGGCGAAAAGTGACTACTATTCGTAATTATTCGGAAATGAGCCGAAAAGGTATTCGAATACTTTGATATTCGAATAATTTCGAATATTCGATTCGTTTTGGACAACCCTGAGTCTATGCATTTGAAAACAATAACTGGCTGAATAATCCCATACCAGACATGGAACAAGAGGCTGTGGTTCGAGGCCATATGAATAAACTGTCTTAATAACTTCTATTCTCTCCTTCAGAATAAATATGAAAATCCTATCCTCTTGGACTCCGTAGAGTTAGGGTGGACAAAAACAAGATGCATTTTCATCAGCACAGATAGTGGGTTTATATATTAAAGAATTTTGGCAAATATATGGAAAGCAGATAAGAGCAATTCAATCCATTCAACTATTCCAGGAGTCAAAAAAGACATTGACAATCAATCATTGTCAAATTTGTAGAAGATTCATATGGGATTCCATATAGAATATATGGTGACCGTACATTTGAACCCACGTACATTTGAACCCATGTGTATATCCGCGGGTGCAATCTATATGCGGGTGCTAAAACCCGTGGGTTAGGTTAGTATTGGTTCAAATATCCGTAAAACAAAAAAATTTCCATAGGTGCAATAGTATGCAGGTGCAATTGTCGTGGGTTCAGATGTACGTGGTTCAAATGTACGTGGGTTCAAATGTAATGGAACCAAAATATATACTACCTTCAAAGCTACTGTTCCTTTAAGATCATCATGCTTCGATTGAGATCTGAAATTAAAATATAATGTGAATAAATAATAGTGATGTGAAGAATATCAATACTTTGGATAACAAGATGGTACAAGGCAGTGGTTCCCAACTGCTGGTCCACCGACCGGTGCGGTCCGCGAAGCTTTTTTGTCAGTCCGCAAGAAGAGTAGCTCAGGTTGAGAACAACTGCTCTGAGACATGGATTGATGACTTGTTGGGACGAAATTTCAGCATACATGGCTCGAGCAGTCAAATTCCAATCATAATGAGGCGTGTAGTGAAGGCAAAGGGGGGATATATCGAAAAATAGCAATGAATTTCATTATTTATCTTTGTACTGCTATTTTTCACAAAATAATTTTTTCTCTCACATTTATATTGTAGATATTTTAATAAGCATTTGTCTACATTTGGTCTGATCAACGAATTAATACTAAAGAAAGACCAAAGTAGAACTTGTTCATGTGAAACTTACTCATCTGAAATTTTTCTTTTCTTTTTCTCAGATTGTCTGGAATCATTCAATTGATGATAATAATCAGATCTGAATCAGACAAATAATAATTGCACAAAAGCAGAAAAATAGTGTTTCAATTACCACAATACAAAAGAGCGATAAATACTCGCCCGTTTTTGCATTGATGAATGGCATAAAGGTTATGACAGTAGGATAAAAAATAAAGAATAAACTATATAAACATAGGTTTGTTCAAAAATCCCACAGTGTAAAAACCAAATATTTAATGGAACTGTGGAGGCATAATTTGGGCTCTCTGTTGTACTAAAGAGCCAAAATCTAAAATTAAAATTTGTAGAAAAGTTTGAGAACCATTTTGGTAGCAACTTACTTTGACATTTTGGTCAGTTCACAAACTTTATAATAAACCATTGGAGCTTGAATAAAACTATCAGCATCCTCTTGTTTGAAAAATGTTGCAAATAATGAACCCTGAATGAAAACTATAATCAGTAGTGTAGTAGTAATAGTAATCAGTAATGATCTATAGTGCTCATGTGACAATCAACTGGTATCAATGATAAAAAAGGCTGCAATGACATATCAATGGTCATTTAAAACTTCAAAGCTGTGAGAGGCCGAGATCAGGATAAAGGAGTTGAGAATATTGAGATAGAAGAATGAAGAGCTGTGTTTATTATAAAAGGCCAAAATACCATATTACTGCAATTTGGTAAACGAATTATAAAATCAAGTTTACACATATTAGAATTTAACTATTGTTTAGAACAGGCATGTCCAACCTTTTAGTGTCGCGGGCCAGTTTTACATGAAGAAATTCATTGCGGGCCACAAACGTTATTATTAAACTTAAATACCACCCCAAATCAACTGACTGAATTGCACAACATATTTGCGGATTCCTGAACACAAGATGAACACAGAGACTCTGAACCATGATATTCAACTCAACTTTCATGCAAAATGCACAACTTTCAAGCAATAATATCCATTGGCATAAAAAACCGAAAGAAAAATAATGAAGTCTGCAATTTTTCTTTTCACCTAGTGCGAAACTTGCTTTTTAATGTCATTGCTCAACTGTTTAATATCAACGGGTATTTTTGATACCGCACAACGTAACTGACTTGTTGAATTGTCGTTAATCAGCTAACTCATATGCTTTGACTTCATAGTTTTCGATTTTGAAAAGAAAGATTTGCACAAATATGTTGTTCCTATTGCCACCGCAATACGCATTGCCATTTGTCTCAGGATGAGAAACCTATCTTCATCGATATATAATTCAAGTTTTCTATCTCTTTGAAACAAGTGTTTCAGTTCCGTACTTGACTGAACATCAATTAATTCAAGTTGCATTTATTCTGGTGCCTCTCCTCCCCCGAATGTCAAATGGAATGCTTCCAACAACTTCTGTAAAATCATATTCTGTGGTGCTTAACAACGCTTTTCTTATGGCAGAGCCGTATGAAATTAAAGCCTCAAATATAGTAAGACTAGATATCATACCAGGAAATTTGTATTTTAATAAATATGTTTATACTTCCGTATTTATATAAACACTTCAAGTGGGCCGCATGCGTCCGCATCAGGTTGGACATCCCTAATTAAGAATACATCATTTAGGGACAGAGTAATTTCTATAAATCATGATAATGGAGCAAGTAATAATTCTTACTTTAGTTCAAAAAGCAAAACAAAGCATGATCTGACTGAATAACAATAACTTACCTTAAATTTTTTATCACTTGTCCTTTGTAACTGAACACCTTCTATTCTTCCATATGTTGCAAGAAAATCATTTACATCATCAATGTTTTCTTCACTTTGGAAGCCATTCTAACATACAAAGTCATTTTAAGATGTGAAGGAAATATTATAGCTTTAGATTAGAAAAAATTCTGGTATGTATCACCATTCACCAAAATCAAATTTAAATGGCTAAGCACAGATTTAACGATCAATAGTCAGTGTTGATAGACCTGAGAGTGTTTATATATCAATTCTCAAAAAATATTATGATTTTACACCATTGAGCTCGTACACAAACATATTTTTACCACAAAGAATTGAAATATAAAATTTCACAATTCCTATGAAAATATAACTGTTTGGATAACTTACAATATGAACTGTTCTAGCTTTAACTTTTCTTCTGTATTCTTCATTATCTTCAGGAATTTCACGATTCGGTTTCCTTCGAATTCTATGATTTTCTGCATCAATCTAAATTTATTAGTGGGTTATAACATATGCAAGAACATGGTATTTTCAATTCATTAACAAGAAGAAATCGTAGACATAGCAAACCTAAAGTAATATATGAACTACCTGCAGACTGAAAAAAATGTACCTGAAAATTGACAAGCACCTTACCTCGGGTCTTACTACTTACTGAATACAGCGCGAAACACCGCAAAGAGCGCAAAACAGAGGAAACCAGCGCGAAACAGAAGGAAACCAGCGCAAAACAGAGGGAAACAGCGCAAAACAGGAGACGCAGTCATTACCACCTCCTGCCACGAAAGAACCACGGCGCCTCTCGCCATGGTTTTATGGCGCTATTTCCGGCATATTTACAAGGTTATGTACCGGATTATAGGTCATCATGCGAAATTTTATCTACTTTTTTGGTGCTCCAGAAGTATGTGCAGCAATATGTCGCACAACCTGAATCCGCTACACACACACACACACATACATACTATTTTCAGGTTGTGCGCCATCTTGATGCACATACTTCTGGAGATCCCTTTTTACCTAACCCTAACCCTAAAGCCAACCATATCCATATGGAAAATGTTCTAAATTATGGTACCCAAAATGTGTCACCAGCAGGGGCAGACCTGCCATTACAGCATTACTGGCTACATATGTTGGTTTGTGTTTTTAATTTGCTGCCGTGGTACTCCAACTCAAAACAAGGTGCCCCGAACTCATTGCTTCACACTGTTTCCCTCTGTTTTGCGTTCTTTCGCGCTGTTTTGCGCTGTTTCCACACTGTTTTGCGCTGTTTCCCTCTGTTTTGCGCTGTTTGCGGTGTTTCGCGCTGTATTCAGTAAGTAGTAAGACCGCCTTACCTCTAATAATCCAATTTTTGATGTTTTCAATGCTTCTATTATGGTTAATGGTTCAGAACAAATAGATGATAATCTTTTGAATTTTAACATTGTCTCCATTGTAAACCAGCCTTCATCTTTTTTCATTTCATCTCTCATAAAATTGTCTCGCATCAAATTGTAATCTCCGAAGTAGAACTGATAAAAAAAATTCATTTTGATCATAAAGACAATATATTTTTTAATTATAACAGATATTTGCTGATATTGAGCAATAGCTAAACGAGAATATCGGTTGGAAACCGAAGACTTATCGATCGATAGTTAGGGGATCCCCCAAAACAGAAACTGCAGTTTCGATTCATCCGCTATTGTAACTTGCGCACTGCGCATCGCACACACACACTCGGCGGGTTTCAAAATTCTCTCGCTTTACAAAAATCTAGATCACTATATCAATAATTGATTGATAACTCGCTAAATATACGACATAATTCGCCCAAAATCAATAGGCTTCTGGTCCGAGATAAGATGAATGCACATGCAAAATCTGGAGCAGATTCAATCTCGCTTACGTGAGATATCGCGTGCATCTAACAGACACACACACAGACAGACAGACAGACATACATACATACAAATACCTATCAATATACTTACCGATCTTAAGATCGATAAGTAATGATCCTAATTTCAACAATATTTATTATTTTATTCCTGTATTCCGCGAAGAAATATATACCAAATTAGACAATAATGCGATAGTTGATGCAGAAGGGGTTTTCAATACTGCAGTACTGAAATATCCTGATATTGGTGATACGAAATCATATTTACCTCAACTTGACGTACTATTCGTCTGATTAGTTTTTCATCTGTTTTATCAGGGACAGCCATGTCCCCATTTTTTGAATCATTCTCAGCAGTTTCTGTCATTGCCACAGGTGATATTACACTGTCACAGGACCTTGACAAAATATTTTGCGTATACCCAGAAACCTATATGACAAAAATTTCTGTAAAACATCATTCCATAAAAACTTGGTTGCCATGATTCTTGATAACACATACTGACATTGACAAAGATGATACCGGTAGGCCTATACCGGAATCCTGATAAATCCATGGACAGGATTTACATAGGCTATTTATCCAGGGGATGGGGAAGTCGATAAGACGACCCGTGTCTGGTATAGTTTAGTACCACATTCACTTCTAGTTGGCCTGGCTCAACAATTTTTGCATATGTCAATCCCAACCCCCACCTGACTATGTCACCGAAAAATTACGTCATTCCGACGTCACAGTGGCGTAATAAGGCCCACCGAAGTATGCGGATGGTTGTCCAAAACGCACAGACGATAACCCGAAATCAAGCAAGCTATTTCTCTCGTTTTCTCGTCGCAACGATCACGATAGGAGAGAGATCTCCGACTTTAGCAAGTTCTTATCGGCGGCGCAGATGCCATTTCGGGCGATCGTAATTATACTTTGGCAATCCCTATGACGTAATGGTGACGTCGTAGTGACGTAATTTTTGGATGGCATAGTCAGGTGAGGGTTAGGAATAACATATGCAAAAATCGTTATGCTACGCCCACTGGAAGTACTTGTGGTACTAAACTATACTAGACCCGACGACCCATCCATTACCCAACCCCCATCTTTCGTCAGGTTACTGTTAGGATAGAATAGGATTTACATATTTATCCCGGGGGGAAAAGGAAAGGGGATAAGACAGCTTATCCATATGGCAAACCACGGCCTCTCGTCCGGTTACCGTACCATTCCAAGTCGGTTATGGGATTAGTTTTACTGTATTGTTTGTTTTCGGAAGCATGGACTTGGTGGTGGAGGAAGCCGTGACCGACCAGCCTGCCAGCGGTTACGTGAACCACCCATCGACGGCGAGGAGTCCAGCAATCCTCTCGCACATAACCATCCCTGCATGGGATTCGAACCTGCGAACCCACGCAGAGTAATTAGAGGTGCGGTGGCGAGCGTATTCGCCGAGTGTTGGAGAAAGCCCTAACACCAATCTTCTCGCACATAATTATTCCCCGGGCGATTTGAGTCTGAGGACAAGCACACTGACACAGGATACGGTAATTAATTAGAGATGGTGCGTCAAGCGTATTCCTAACGCAGTAACGCTTAGCACTATCAGACTCCTGGACTCCAGAACGATGTGCAACATCGCTGATCCTACGGAACAATTACCGTAACTGTTACTTTAACCCAAGTGCTGTGGCCTAAAAGCATTATTTAGTAGAACTGTACAAGTACCGGTACGATATTATACATTGTCAGAGCATGTACAGATGCAAGCCGAAGTGAGCTCAGCCTGACAGCAAGCATGGTTTGCATCACCAGTGCCTGAGCGTGGGCCAGCGTCACGTGAGAGGGAACTGACTTTTACCTATGTTAGATCAATGACATGTCATTGGTTAGATATTTACGGTTAGATCTCTATTTACGATTAGATTTCCTATTCTAAACGTGAATTAATTCCACAAATCCCTCCCTAGAGCACCATCCGATAGACAAAATATGCATACATAATATATATTTTGAAATATTACATATCCTCAAATAAGAACCTTAAAAATCTTAATTTTCTGGCCCGAACTGCTGCCGATAGACATAAATTTTAACGTACCTTGTGAATATTATAACAGTAATAAAAAATCTTTCCGGAATAACATGCTGCTAGTATTTGAAAATCATGTATTGTCTATTGTAATATTTTTATTCAAAAAAATACTGGACGTGCTGAATGCTGATACGCTCTGAAAATCATCAAAACAGCCATATATGGGAAGCGTAATTTAGTTTACAAGAAAATTTTTTTTTTATTATCTCTTGACCAGAATTAAAAATCACCAAAATCTAATGACCTGCTATATAGAGGACTTGCACGGGTCACGTGACTTTGTTACTGGACGGCAATAAATCAAAAATGTCCATTTGGCTCCTGTCAGTTGCAAGTCGGATTAAACGTTTCCGTTTTGTTTGGCTGTTGAAAATGGTTATTTCGTATTGTTCCGTTGGCTGTACGTATATTATAGACAACGAAATTGATCTTAAGTTTTATTCCACTGATTTCAAAAGATCCGGAACGTCGCGCAATGTGGATATCATCTATTGCCTATTGCAGTATTAGCGGAACTGCTTGGTGTCAAGTCCAGAAGCCATCTCACTTGTGTTTCACTGTTTGCATACAGCACTTCGTTGATGGTGAGTGATAATGTGGTGATAGTGTGCCGTTATCAATTTATTTAAATATTCACAAGCTCCCTCATTTCAATGGAAAGCAGATGACAAACTACTGTTATTAGTAGGCCTAGGCGTGGGCCTACTTGCAGTTGCAGACTTGACTTGTGTAAGACAGTACCGAATTAATAATCAATTGCTATAGGGTATTGTTTTCCTAATTAGCAGGTAATCTATTACTAAGTGTGAAAAGTTGAATAGATAACTAAAGTTTAACACCATGGGGCCTGGAAAAAATAACCAGAATTCAATTGAATTCGCCATCTAGGAATACGCTCGCCACCGCATCTCTGATCACCCTGGTAGTTTCACAGGTTTCAATCCCATGCGGGGATAGTTTTGTGCAAGAGGACTGCAGCTCTACTCCCACCGAGGGTGGTTCACATGACCGCTGATCGGTTACGACCATTCCCCACCATCCAAGTCCATGCTTCTGAACTGAAAACAAATAATTGGCTCCCCCCAGATAAATCCTATCTGAATGGTGCTTGTACAACTGATCCAAAATGTCTTTTTTATTGTCATTGGTGAAAAAGATATGCTACCCGGAATCAAATTCATTTACGACTAGTGGCTGTGGTGGGATATGGACATAAATTTCACACACCTTGTTCGTTAGATTTTATGAAAACTCCATATAGGCCGCGAGCCGAGGCCCTGAAAAACGCCTAGAAAGTGAGTTTCGTAGCGCACATCAGGTAACTACCTGAAAATGATTTTAAAATGTTCCTTAAAAATTCAGTAACAAATATTGTCTTGTTCCCACTTCAAAAGTTGCCCGTTTTACGGAAAAAGAACGCTTTTACTACAAGAAATATGTGCTACGACCTGTCCTATATTCTCTACATTTTCGCGCAATGAACATGACTTCTGCATGACGTAACAATTGAATCGAATCAGCTGTTAGCGAGCGGATGAATATTAGTCATTTACTGCTCGACCTTGCGTTTGAGTTGGGCAGGCCTTTCCATAGCCCTGTTTTATTAGTTAAGTTATTGCTAAGAGTTGTTGAAAAATGTATAAGTAAGTTATTAAACACTTGTAGATCCTTACCACGGATATGGGCCGTGAGACGAAGCCTCGAAAACGCCCAGAAATGAGTTTCGTAGCGCACATCTGATAACTAAATAAATTCTTCAGTTTTGTGTGAAAATGAACATACTGAACGCATTACAGCTTGTTCCACAATCCCGATGCGAAATTGAATATAAGAGGTTCCCGGAAATTCAATAACCATAAGTTCACAACACATACATAAGAACTATGCAATTCGAGAGCCCCTACAGCACACTAACACAAAAGTATTCCTGTAATGTTCTGCCTGACCAAAATCGACTTCCTCAGTCAATCATAATTTATTAGGTAGATTACGAAAATATGGCATACATGTAACCAAACAACAAAAAATATTTTAATTGTGTGGCAGGAGTGGCGAGTGACCTCGAAAGCAGCGACACCAACAACGCTGATTCACATTAGCGAATAAATTTTATGTAATAACTACAAGCAATTTACAACAAGAACAGCATAAAAGCTACATCCATTTTATAGAAGCTATCAAACGTATTTATTTTTAAGAAATGAAGTCACAAATTAACATCGTGAGCACGAAAAATACAAATAAATCAGTTATTTCCACCTGGAAATTTACCGGAAAAGTCAGAAAATTAAATGAATGAACAATATGTACATAACATAGTGAACAGAAATATTACAATTAGTCTTTTTTTAGTTTGGTGTGGTTATGTATTTGAACAAGGCAATATTATTTCTAGAAAACAGGACTACGGACGACTAACAATGCTTCCGAAAAAAATTAAAATAAATGATAACTTTCATTAAATCCAACTGCAAATCTAATTCCACTTTGCTTCTCAATTGTTTTCGAAATCCCCACTATCTCGAAAATCGACTTTTCCTCTATAAAGTGTACGGTGATTTTGCAAGTCAAGTACAAAAACAAAAATCTGTGGCAATTTAAGTTGATTTTGGCCTCACTTGCATAAATGTATTTTTGACTATTTTTTTCTTACACTTTGCAGTTTTGCCAACTCAAGAACTGATTGAGGGCCACGTGCTTCTTTTAGTGAATCATTGTTGGGGTATAATCCTTATGTTTGCCAGTTTTTAAATAGACGTGCCCTGGTATCATTTACATTCTTCATATCCTCTTCATAAGTCCAAATTCCAGCTTTATTTATTAATGCCTCGTTAACCTCAAAAGATCTTCATAGTGAGAAAAAATGAATTGAAAATCTCAATGAAGTCTCCAACATGATTTGATGGGCAGTTCCAATTGCAGAAAAGTGCTAAAGTATTTCAATATGAATAGCCCATCTAAGCTGTTTGCAACTATTATGATTCTCATATACCTTTAAGCTTCAAGACTTCTTGTTTAATCCATTTTATAGCACTGATAGCAGCAGGGATAGAGCCTGCGTTAGGTCGGATTGGTGGAACATTGCCGTTTCTTTTGTAGTACAGTATCTAAAATGAAGGAAGAAAATCATATTTGGACAGCATGAGTTTAAAAATACCCTAAATACTAACTAATACCTTGAATACATAATGCATTTTATCTGATGTACTAAATGAGCGTATATATGCTCATTGCATGTACTACAGTCCAGCAGTGCAGCAGTGTTTGCATACCATTACTAGACTATATCTACACTAAATTTTGATATATCACAGTCTGAAATGTCCTATGACAGTATGAGTATGGACTATAGACTATATTTTAAAACATCAACTGTTTGTCTACAACTTGATTTCTCACCTCTCAATCGTTTCCAATGCTACTTTCTTTCCACTCCGGCATAACTTATCATTGCTTCCCAGGTTCTTGTCGACTCTATGAATTTAGATTTAGACCAACCGACATTAGTAAAATTGATTATTTCTTCTCTTTCACACAACCGTGCATTCATTACAGAAACAGCCATTCATTTCTATTTCCAAATATGCTGTGGCCTATATAGTAGTATAAGTCTGCTGAATAGTCAAGAAGAGTCATTAAATTAATCATAAACATTTCATGCAAGCCAGAAAATATCGTTGTTTGTGACATATTATTCTAGGTCTAGCCTTCCTTGGAGTTACCGCACCGTACCTATTTAACAACGTCTTATGAGCTAGTGCTCAACTAAAATTGCTATTTATGGTAAGGATATACAATGTTTAAATATCTTACTTATACTTTTCAATACCTCCTTAGAATAACTGAACTAATAATAACTGAAAAAAAAAACTATGGAAAGGCTATTCAACGCAAAAGCGAGCAGTCGTAGTACACCTGATATTCATCCGACCACTGGGGATTCACCTACAGCTGACTTATTTGATTGTCACATCATGCAGAAGTCTGCGTTCATTGGCCCATGATACCGGAAAAGCAGAGAAAATAGGACAGATGGTAACACATATTTATTGTAGTAAAAGCGTCTTTTTCGTAAAACGTGCAACTTTTGTACGTGGGAACAAGGCAATATTTGTTACTAAATTTCTAAGGAACATTTTAAAATCATTTTCAGGTAGTTACCTTATGTGCGCTACGAAACTGAAAGATAAATGGCCTCGGCTCGCGGCCTAATATGTATCCATTATCTCACATATATGGGTGCGACCATGGAATAGATGGATGTCAAAGTATAAGTTGCAACAAGACCACAGTGGCACAAGACCTCAGCTCGCATGACTTGATAATACATCCTCAGTATCCTTTTATTGATGCTTATCGTAATGACAAAGTAACTTGTGATTACTGTGGATTGGTGTAGATAAAGTGTCAATTGTGCTTTAACGAAAGCAACTTCAAGACGACCCTATCAAGAAAAAAAAAATTGTTTCGATGGGTCTGGAGTGAAGGTTTCAGTCTAAAGTTGGACACCGATACTACAACCAGATACAGTTGCCAATGCAACTTAGCGAGGCGTAATATTGCGACTTTGTGATCTGAAAGAAAATTCTGATGGGTAGCCGGCTAGCCGCAACCTTTTGTTTAAAGAATATTATGAGATATAAACTTTTATTTGAGAGGGGTGTAACCCAAGCTAATTTGCAAATGGTATTCATGGTACCAAATGTATCACACACTTTACAGTAATTATAAATTATATTTGAAAAATAAAGCACATCAAAAATGTATTTTTAAAAAACAATTGGTTTTATCTGCAGATACTAGGTTGATATTGAGATTGACCATTTCAATGCTAAATTTTCTTTAGTCAAAAGGCACACTTGATTCGCAAAGATTTGTGAATGCGCACAGTACACCAATTTGTCTAATGTTTTGATTCCATAGGCAGGAGGTTGTGGATCGGTGCTGCTCAGGATGGGATATTTTTGCCTATAAATGCATATTACGTGTTTCACATGAATCCATCGTGCTCAGATTCGACTGTTTTCAAGGTCTGAAGGCTCCAACAGCCTAATTTTATCGGTACACAAGAGAATTTTCAGTGTGGCATGCATGGGTCAGTTGGAGTCACTGACCTCAAGATATCTATAAGCAAGGATAAGATAACCTGGAAGTAACATTCCATAATTTAGAGTAAAAAATGTATCTGCCTCCACAGCCCTTTCAAATGGAAGATATGATGCCTCGGGGGTAATTTCTATCAAATATTTTACAGTATTATGGTTCTAGTGAAAAGGGGTGTAGGCGGCTTCTTTTAAAGTGTGGTAGGTCTAGTCGAAAGACACATTAAATGTTTATGCTAACAACTGCAAAGTAATATTGCAACGCATACAAGTTAACAGAATTTGTTGAAATGGTCCTGCCTTTTGCCTTTCTTCAAAATCCCCTTTTTCTAACTATTCTCTTCCTCTCTGGAGATGGCGAAAATTCAAATATCGATGGGACATATAAGCAGCTGATAATGGGTTATCTTCCCTTTTTCCTGAAAATAAATTAAACACTAATCATCATTTGACAGTGCCAAGTTTGTGTATCAGATCAGTAATAAATTACCTGCTAACTAATAAAACAATCAGACAACACCTTCTGACCATTAATGAAGATTTCTTTCAATTTAAAACGCAACTATGCCTACCAATGTGGGTAGTTTTTAGGATAGAATTTATCTGTGGTTGGGGACAGATTGCAAGGTGCAACATCGTACGATTACCATTCTATGTCGGGATTAGTTAGCCAGTTATTTGTTTTAGAAGCATGGACTTGATGGTGGGGGATGTCGTAATCGACCAGCGGTCGTGTGAACCACCCTCAGTGGGAGGAGAGCTGCAATCCCCTCGCACATAACTATCCCCGCATGGGATTGGAACCTGTGAAACTCCCAGGGGGATCAGAGATGCGGTGGCGAGCGTATTCTTAGATGGAGAATTCAAACTTTAGTTATCTATTCAACTTTTCACACTTACTAATAGATTACCTGCTAACTAGGGAAACAATACCTTATGACAATTATTGATTAATACCTTACATAAGTCAAGTCTACCAATAACAGTAGTTTGTCATCTGCTTTCCATTGAAATGAGAGAGCTTATGAATATTTAAAAAAAATTGATAACAGCACATTATGACTCACCATCAACGAAGTGCTGTCCGCAAACAGTGAAACACAAGTGAGATGGCTTCTGGACTTGACACCAAGCAGTCCTGCCAATAGATGACATCCACATTGCGCGACGTTCCGGATCTTTTGAAAACAGTGGAATAGGCTATAACTGAAGATCCATTTCGTTGTTTATACTATACGTACAGCCACTGGAACAATACGAAATAACCATTTTCAACAGCCAAACAAAACGGAAACGTATAATCCGACTTGCAACTGACAGGAGCCAAATGGACGTTTTTGTTTTATTGCCGTCCAGTAAACAAGGTCACGTGACCCGTGCAAGTCCTCTATGGACCTTTCTCCAAGCATCGACTTCCTTGTTTACTTCGTGACATTGGCCAATCAGTAAGATGCAAAAAGTGACGTAACAATGCCCCCTTTTCGCATACGCTCAGACACTTTTCTCACTCAGACAGATTTTTGAACTCTATTCGTTAGTTTTCAGTCGTGTTTCGGGAACTTAAATAAAAATCAGATAATTCAATGATCACTCTGTCTTCCTAGGAGTTTTAATTTAATTGCAGTAATAAAAATTAGTGTAGAAATAGCTGTGATAGACTAGCCTGAAATTCTTTACCGGTACTTTTAAAAAACAGATTGTTGTATGCGATGAATCGTAATGATGGTTTGAAATACATACCCCATTTTACAGGCGCCAACTCGCAAACACACTTTTAAAATAGCCCCGAAAATTTTGCAATGGTAAAGTATAGGAAGAATTTTCCGGGGGTCAAAGTTCGGGGAAAGGTCCATAGAATAAATAAAACACAAAGTCCAAAATGTACATTTTGTAATATGCAACTTGAAACTGTGTTACATTTATTTTATCTCTGTGATTTTGTGCAGCAATTTTGAGAAATAGTTAATGCTTGGCTAACCGTTGAGTATGGATTAAACCTAAATTTGACACATAGAGAAATGTTATTGGAAGTAGGGCAAAACCAGGGTATAAATTGTGTTTTATTGTGTGCCAGATATTTTATATAAAAATGTAAACTGCGTAAGGCCTCAATTTTTATATATGATAAAAAATACTAAAAACTGTGAAAAGATTATTGCAACTAAAAATGGTAAACTGTCAATCCATAAGAAGAAGTGGAAAACTATTATGAGCTCGTTTTCTTGAAATGCAATTGTTATTGTGTTTATATAAATGTATTATGTGATATTGTGTCTATATAATGTGATGTTTTTATTAAAAAAATATATCTAAAAAAAAAAAATCTCATTTTACTGCTTATGCGCAAGGCGATCAAATTTGGGGCAAAAATAGACGTTTTTCTGATCATTAGTTTAATCGGTTTAATTCATTCAAGTTATCTTTGTTGTTTGACATAATATAGTTGCTCATCTCTAGATGCCAAAATGCGTTAATCATTTTTCTCCGGCGACCGAAGTTGAAGACAGAAACGACTAAGATAGTAGCTTTTTATTTCCTTCAACTTGCATTGTTTGCATAACTTAATATTCATAGGGTGTCGATAAAGTCCTAATAAATTTTAAAATTACAAAGAGAATTTATAGATACCATATATATGTAAAAAATGAATATAATATAACAATAAATATATATTATTTATATAATATCTGGGATTTGAGCTTAATTCCTGCTTTTATCAAACCCGTATTAGTATATATTTAAGATCAAACTCCTTATCGTCCAAAGTGAAGTCTAAATTTTATTTGTTATAAGGAAAATGCAGTTATTGTTTACGATAACGACAGTTTGGAATGGAGGATTGTATACCGCTACTCCTTGGAAAACTTAGCTATAAATCGTATATCACCGTATGTTATTAATTCTTGAATTATTTTTATGTTTGATTTTCTACATAGCACCTCCGTTTGATTATCTATAAGAATTCTCTTTTGTCAACCCGAAGTTCTTAATCTCAACATCGTAGTTTAGTTCTGGTTCAGATTACTCCGGGTTCAGGTGCTCCGCAAAGACAAAATTTACCACCGAAATTTTCAATGATCTATACTCTATGCCACAATTTGAGTTCAACATACTTTTCTTTCGCACAAGTAATCAATGAAGATAAAATAACTACACACCAATATTTTTGTCACAAATTTGTAATTTCTCCTTTCACACCTCAAACAAAAATAAAAACATGTTAAAATGTTTGATGTTGCAACCCAGGGGCATGATTACTGGAGACGTCGAACTTGTATCTTATAAAAGGATGGTTAGGTTTACTTTAACTCTGGATACAGTTTTAATGTTCATCAAAATCCAAACTTTCATCCAATAACACATGAAGGAGCACAGGTCACTGGTGACAGAATTGCAAACGACGGCCAATATATTAGAATCGACAGATATATCATCTTTACATTTCATATCATTTCTAATAATCTTATGAATGAAGGATATGAAAAGTACATAGCTATCATACAAGAATCGAGTCTAAAAACGGGAGATAACTTTTGACGTTGGAATTTGGTTCAGACATATGGCAGTCATGATAGAGAATCCTAGACTTCGAGTGGTTAATAAAAAAAAATCCACTCAGCACTGATGCTGAAACAGCTTCCCTAAGTCAAATTGCCAAAACAGCATCTTCTATAACGATTCCTATTACATTATGATTTAGAAAAACTAGTTCTAAACCCATGAAACAAGGACTGACTGAAGCACTACGTTGTAAGGATCAGGAGAATAACAAAGAAAGTTTTACTAGCATGCACTTATCATCAACTAAGTTTCTGGAGTTGACGTTCAATAATGCTTTTAACAAATCGCCTTCCTTAAAACGAGCAACAAAACAACAGAAATGTCATAGGTAAAGAATCACCACTAGCGTCTTCTGTGCAAAGTTGCTAATGCCTTACGCCTTAATTTCTTTTCATCAACAGGGGGTTCTGAATCATCCTCACTGCTACTTTGGGATGACGACTCTGTAACAGGCTCTTGTTTCCTTCGACTTTTTTTAGCAGGTGTGACTTTTGTTTGATTTTTAGGCTGAGGACTATCTTCAGAAGAGGAACTGCTCTTGTACTGCTTTTTTCTGGAATGTGCAGCAGACGCCAAGGATGAAGGATGCTTTAATTTTCGCACTTTAGCAGGTGGAGATGGCGTTTTTCTCTGCTCCTTCTTGTGAGCCTGTTTGTCCAACACTGAACGCCTAACATTTCTTGGACTTCCTGAAGATCTCTTCACTGCTTTTGGTGATGCTTCCTCTTCTTCAGAAGAAGAGGTGGATGGCGAGCGTTGTGCAGGCTTCTTACGAACTCTCACAGGGGGTTTGGAAATTACTTGTTTGCGATTACTTCTTTCTCTCACAGAAATATGCTTTGTTTCCCTACTTTCCGACTCGGAAGAATCATCTTCATCACTACCAGACTCTGAAGATTCGGATGGTGTTGTTTCTTTATGACTTTTTTTCCTCTTCTGTTCCTGAACAACCATCTTTTCTTTTACTTGTTGCCTTCCATTTTCAGAATAAGACTCAGATTCAGATGATCCTGTGCTCTGAGCAGTATTTTGATTTACAGCTGATTTCGCCTTTTCGCCTTCCTCTTCTTCGCTACTCTTCTCGCTGCTGGAAGATACTTTAGTCTTTCTTTTTGTCGGTTGTTTTGACATAACTTCATTAGAACGCTTTCGTGCCTTCAGTTTTTGATGTTGACTTTTCAAATCAGAATCAGAGTACTTCTTTCTCCCACGTTCCTGAGTAACCTCACTAGGTCTTGCCTCTTTCTGCCTCTTCGCCACATTTATTTTCAGGTATTTCTTTTTTTCTCTTTCTTTTTCACTATCATCAGATGAGCTTGATTCCTTTCTTGTTCTTACAGGAACAGGCTTGACTTCTTCCTCGTATTCTGAAGACTCTTCATCACTTTCAGTAGGTTTACGTTGTTCATCTTTTGGTCGTTCTCTCACAGTATTCTGAAATACAAGGTAAGAATTAAATTTGAGTCACAGACATATTTCATGACATGGTATCAGTACATCTACCAACAAATGAATGACGAAAATTCACAAACAATTAAAAAAGGAGTTGAACATTTGAAAAAGTTTGATAGTTAATTTGAAAGACAATGAAAAAAGCTGTAAAATAAAGATAAATTCTGAGATTGAACCAGGCTTGTGAAACGTTGAATCTTCCGACATTTTGATTGGGGCAACATCAAACTTGCTAAGATTAATTAAGTAATTGAGATTGCATTTTCACATTTTTCATACTTTTCAATTTATCACCAATTTCACCCAGTTGGAAAACTGTTACAAAGTTCCTACATCGAGTCTTGGTACGTTAGATTGAAATATGGACAACTTAACAAACTCAAATGCACCTAAATTTGAATGATAAAAAATTTTGAACCTGCATGCTAGCAACCATAGTCTCACCGAGATCTGCCCTTAATATGAGAGCCAAGAAGTTAATTGTATAAGCTTAAATAACTAAGAAAATTATATCAAAGCTTATGGATAGAATGAGATTCAAACAGAAACTGAAGAATGAGATTCAAACAGAAACTGGATTCATCGAACACCCGTAAGAAACCCGTTGTGTAAAAGTCAGTGAAATGATCTCAGAGCAAATCAGATACAGTTAATGTTAAAGTTGAGGTAGTTTTGATGAGTCATTCATTTATTATTTTCTATGATGTCATTTGATTATCATGATATTATTGTGAAAGAAACATGAGGCTCACTGTATCGGTAAGAATATGCTGAAGGCAACAGAGAATATTCAATCAGACAACAGTACAAAAAAACCAACCTTTACATTAACTTCTTTCGCCTTTTTAGTTGGTTTAACCGGTTTTACTTTTTTCTCCATGATTGGTGATGACTTCTCATCACTACTTTCGTCGGAAGGTTCAGGTACTTTCTTGCTTTGACTGTAAATCAAAATATGCTGTTTGACTGACACCCCCAATAAAAATTTGTGTACAAAAACTGCAAACTGGGGGACACTCACACTCTGACTTTGGATGATTTAGTTGGAACACACTTTTCTTCTCCGTGAGAAGGCGATGAAGCATCTTGTTGTTCTCTTTCAACTGATTTTTCCTCCTCTCCACTTGACATTTCCTCAGAACTTTCTTCTTTTCGTACAGGCTTTGCCAAAAAAATAAATTGCATCGTTATGCAATGTACAGTCTGTATTCCATATGACAGGCGAAACTTGTCATGTTTGGTTAAAAGACATTTGTATGACTGATTAAATATAGAAATGACACACCAATTAAACATATACATATTTACAGGTTATTTAACTAAATAAGAATGTTGGATAAGAAATTTGTCAGGCATCTGAGACAAGTTTCTAATGTGACACCAAATCCATTTGCAGACCAATAAGATACAGCAGTCCTCATTTGAAATGATTCACAAATAGCCCAATTAATGATACTCATGTAGTATGTAAACCAAGATGGTGGACACCGGAACGTAGTATGTGTACCAGGTTAGGATTAGGCCATAATTTCAGGTACAAATATGACGGGAAGTACGATAAGAAAAATTAGAATAAAATTATGTCTTGACCCTAACCTGGTACACATACTACGTTCTGTGTCCGCCATCTTGGTGCACATACTACTAGAGCGCCCAATTAACCTCTTTGTACCAAATATTTTTCATCACTGCAAAGCCTGTACTGGTTATTTTTAGAAGTCAGATATTTCGTATGTTAAAAAATAAATAAATTTTATCAACATCTATGATTTAATCATCAAATTGTTACCTTTGCTTTCGGACTTTTATACTTCTTGGAAGTCGTTTCGTCATCACTTAATTCTTCTTTTTCTTGGCTTGCTTTCTTTCTCTTGGAATGCTTCTTCTTTTCTTTTTTATTCTTCTTTCTCTTCTTTTTCATTTTCTTTTCCTTTCTTTTCATTTTTTTCTCTGCCTTTTTAAGCTTCCTCGACACTTCTTCATCCTTGTCACTTGGTGAATCAGATGACTAACAAAATTGAAAGTCACAGTGAACAAATAGTCGAGTGGATCAATAACAACAAACGAGCGTAGTGTGAAATGGAAGAGAGATGTAATATTGATGATAATTTACAAATTCCATAATGAAACTTGGAATGTAAAATTCTGTTAAAACATATTCTACGATTTCAATTTGCTATAAAACATTCTTACTCTATGCCAGTGGTTGTCAAAATGAGCGCTGCAAGGCACCGATGCTCTTATAATTTTCTATTTACGATGCAGGAACTTCAACAAAGAAGTACATGGCTATATGCTCTTACGTCAAATTATTAGAGTAAACTACATTAGTTTGCATTCCAAACCGAAATAATTGACACAAGGAAAACTCCTAAATTACTTATTATACCAAACCTCTAAAACACTGATCATATATTTTTCAATGTTTTAACTTCATTTCAGTTATATTCATTACCTCGCTTCGATCATGTTCAGAAGTTTTTCTTGCCTCTACTCCCTTTTTCATTTTTTGATCATTTTCTGAAGACAAATCATCTTTGTCTGATCTTGATTCTTTTCTATCAGATTCTTTTCTAGACCTACGACGTTCTTCAGATCTTCGTGATCGGCTACGTTCAGAATTTACTCTCATTCTCTCATGAGAACGTCTCCTGGCACTTGCTGAACTATGCATCCTTAACATGATATAACAAAAATTAGATATATCGAAAACCTTCAAAATCTAGTAATTTCATTGGAATCTATTGGTAAGGTCACATGAATAAAATAAAAAATCATAAAGACTGACATCTCCAAAGCAGAGCAGGTAGACTCACAACAACATGCCTGCTATGAGTCTTGTTGTGTTAGCTTTTTAGTGAAGTTGCACTGAGCAAACTTGACAAGCTAAATATTCAATAAAGCATATCACGCAGTTAATATTAAATTGCCAGTATTCAATAACTATAAGATTAAATTTCACCATATTTACATGAGACTATCACCAAACATATTTACAAATATGCAAAACCTATAATGGGTATTGTGAACAATGAACCATGACAAGGGCTGGGAGCCAAAGCTGGGGCAATGACGTTTGATGGAGCTGAAGCCACCAGAAATTTTAGCAACTCCAGCTCCTAACTATCTGATTATTTTCTTACACTTCGAATTTTCTGATACCTCATACAAATAATAAAATCTATCATTTTAGCTTTAAATTTTTAATATTCATTATATGCTTGAAGTTTAATTTTAAAATTTGAAACTCTTAAAAACACTGCATTTGAGCTGATGTTTCAAGGTAGTCTTCATACCAATAAACATCTATGGCCAGCTATGGAGCCGGAGCCCGAATCAAGAGGTAAAAAATGAAGCTGGAGCCAAAGCCATTGTGAATTCGAACCAGCTCCTCAACACTAGTGCAAACAATGCTTAATATCTGTGACTCATATGAAAAAAATATAGAAAGAAGATTCTACAGCAGTGAACACATTATTTCAAATAGTCAACACCTCTATATGGCAAATGCTAATGTCATATGCATAATGCAACCAACATATTCCTAACGTCATTCACAAATCCGAGTACATCACTGCAATGGTAAATTTTTATTAGAACATTTTGCTGCTAAATTCCAAAAACACTATTATAGCCATACCTTGGCGATCTGCTCCTGTTTCTCTCTCGTGATCTGTCAAAAGGTGATCTACGGTATCGAGGCCTTACCGGAGAGTAGCGACGTTCCCTGGAATAATGGTAATCTCTTCTACGATGGTGATCCATGTATCTTGAAATCAGTTTAAAAAAACTTTACTGTCAGTTATTATATGAAAACAGTCATGCAAATCCTGATGAATCAACATTCAATTTGGACAACATTAAAGAGAAAGTTTGCCTGTAGCCACTCGAATAATAACAAAATCAAGACTGCATACAAAACATTAGCTTCTGTGATGCAGATGAACAACACTTGGCCGGTAGCAAATTATGACCCCAGCGCCCAGCGTAATTCTCAAAATGCTGAGCAAACAGCAGTAAAAATATGGAAGCAGCCATAAGAATGAACCTCAATACTGCTCTCTCCTAAGCAAATTTTAAAAATGGTTGAAATATTGACTCATTTTTGCTGTTTTGAGTTTCATTATATCGTTTCAAGTAATGTTTTCACTCTTCTCAGGGCGATTTGGAGAACTATGACCGTCTATGATTTCTTGGCAAACATTCCAATTCCCTGGGCTCCAAATTACTTTGAGTAACATTGAAAATTTGTACTTGAATATCTATACTAAACCATACTCCGTAGCATAATATCTAAACATTTGGAATACGGTATGTACAATCTGAACTGTTTTAAAGATTAATGTATCTTTGCAAGCTTACAAATTACTCCACGAATTGCCGTATTGAACTACTTAAAAATAACTTTAATTTGAATAATAAATTCATAGGGTAAACTCATGGATCAATTTATCCTCTAGTGCAGTGATTTTTAACCATGTTCCACGATAAACTGGTCTTCCGTTGAAGGCCTTCAGGTGTTATGCGTCAAATTGTTGATTCACTTTTTTGATTGGTATATTTTATGATATAAAACAATACAAATTAGGAAATGTGCCCAGAACCTACTAAAAAACTCAATAAAACATGCCAAAACCAAATTTTAATAAGGTGAGTTTGTTGCATTATAATGAGACGTATCACATTAAAATGTCATCATATGTAATTCTCATTAGTATTATGTTTAGCGCCAGAGTTTGAGAAACTTTCATATTCAATTCTTCTATTTAGAAGATCCTCGCATATCGTTAGGTATCAGTGGATGCTCATACCCTGTCCGAGTGAAAGAAGTAATATTCTGATAAAAAAAAATTCTACTACCTTCTTGGTGGAGATCTTTCCCGGCTTCGAGATCTTGATCTGCGTCTATGTCTTCTGGATGGTGAAGGGGATCTCTTTCTTGGTGGCGGTTTAGATGCTTCTTCCTCAGATGAACTAGATGAGTCTTCTGTTGGCGTATGGGAAAAAGTTTAGTTTGTTAGTCAAAAATTGAATTGCTAAATAAATATGTACCACACAATACCTGAAGATTGAGTTTTTCTAGCTCTATACTGGCGTCGTTTCTGTAGTGAATCTTTATTATCATTTTCATTCGATTTGTTAGTTTCAGTGTCAATTTCTTTTTGTGATTCCTCATTTTCAGCTTTTCCATCATTCACATTCTCTGCGTCTTTGTCTAAGGATACAAGATTGAGATATGAAAAAATGGACATAAACATCAAGCTGTCGAACAACATCAAATATTGAGTGTGGGAACTAATTTTTTAATACAGAAACATGTTTTTTTTATACGTTTGGTCGACTTTTTTCAGTTTCTGTAACTACCGTAAATTAGCCTTACAATGCATTTTGAAGTAATTCAAAGTTCCGACACCTACACTCAACTCATGTGAGTTAAAAAATACAACCCCTGCTCAGGTATGGCCAATACCGAATAGTTCACTATCTCAAATACATTCGAAAATATTATTATCGAATATGAAATTTTGAATACATTCAAAAATAAAATCAAGTAAAAGAAGCTTATCTATAGCGTGTGAAGAAATTAGCAGACAATAAACAATGGAATAACTGGCTATATTTCTCATGTTGGCAGATTACTTTGATATATATTTTAGAATAATAATGCTTTTATTTCTTTCAAGTCGACGCAACCATGGGTTATTTTAACAAAATAAAATTATACGGCAAGGTATGTAAAATATTGGTATCGGTCATGGTTTATCCTAGTAAAAAGTCCATACTCTTAAATACCAACCATTATCCAAATTATTTGCCAATAAGCGGAATAAAGCATAATTATTTTCAGACCTGTGACAATTTTTTTATGGAGTCCGATAATACTAATAAAAAATTAATTATATTTAAGCACTTTACCATCCCATTTTAAGTCCACAGATCGCCGTTGTATTTTGAAGTAATGATACTAGTTATTTTGTGAATGCGAAAATACGAATCAAAAATTAATTATATTCGGGCACTTCACCACACATTTAAGTCCGGAGTTCGTATATTGAGCAAAAAAATTGCATACCGACAGCAGCAGCCTGGTTTTCGCCTTTTTCACTCATTAAATCTTCGGTTTTCTCTTTCACTTCATCAACCTTCTTTCCACCAGAGTCCAACGTCTTGCTAGAATCTTTCTTTTCAGCTGAAGATGATCTCGAACTGGATGATGATGAAGAAGAGGCAGTTCTCTTTCGCTGACGTCTCCGGGATTCTATCAAATGAAGTCATGAATTCAACGTTCAGAAAAGGCATCCGATATAATAATAGTTTCAGATGGAACTGCTGTCCACTTATGAACACAGGCAAATACAAAAGAAGATTTAATTTTCAATCTGAAATGCTCGCATATTTCACAGGAACAAATATACAGGAAATATATCTGATTATAATATGCCATCTTTTATCACTGTGAAATTGAATTGAGACACTTCTAATGTTTGGTTCTTGACCTCTTAAGACTCAGTACAATATTGAAGGTTGAATAAAAATTCCACTTATAATATTTTTGGAATGAATTTTGAATCAAAATACTCAAATTGTTCAAAATACTCATTGATATACTACTGAAAAAACAGAAGTATCGAAAGTTCGAAACATCCAATTTTAAATATGTCTCTACTAAAGTTTTACTCCATAATCGATTTGCAGCCAGAATTACATAGCAGAGAAAATACACATTATAGAAAATTGAGGAAGTATGAATACAGTACTTAAAAACAAATCTAAGGTTGAGTTATAATATTTGGAAGCTAAATCATCATCGAAAACCAAAATCACAGCTCCAGAAGTGAAAAGCGAAGATAAAAATGTCTAGATAAGGTATTGTGTGTATGTCTATAAATGAGATAACTATAGTATTGACTAATAGTGATACCAGCAAAAGGAGGAATTGAATAAAAGATTACCATCTTCTCTTTGCCTTTCTCTGGAACGAGATCGTCGTCTTTCTACTGAATTGCGTCTTCTATCCCTCACGTATGAGCGACTTGAGCTTCAATAAAAATTGTTTTTATTTTTATCTTCAAAATAAGTGATATTTTATAAATTAGGAAATATAGCCTATTCACGATGAAATATTACAGAATAACAACAAATGCAATTTATTAGTAAAACAATAAATACCTTTGATGATAAGACCTGCGATATCTCGACCTGTCATAATCTCGCGATCTTGATCGTCTGGAATAGGATCGACGAGGACGGGATCGGGACCGAGAACGTGATTTTCTGTTCCGGGGCTCACTCCTGTAAAAATTGAGTATGTTATTATAAAGTTCTATTTAAAAAAATGTTTTTTTATGCCCCTCATTGAAGTATACGAAACTAAGATAGTAAAATTATCAGCACATTCTATTCTACCCATGACATCCTGTACATCTATCTTAGTCACACAACTATTCATTGATTACTTTCCTTAGTAGCCTATAACAACTGTAACTTATCAGATGAAGTAAAGAATATTCTGATGATGTTTTAATTATCTCATGGGAGGTATGTGAAATGCCAGAAATTGCAAATAATTGGTGAATAAATGCAAGCCCTAACTACTCCTACGAGATGTAGAAAATACATCTGAATTGGTATTGGTTCAGTTGCTTTACATGGGCGCAACTTTCAATATCATTGATTGTAAAATACTATTGTATACATTTGACAATATCAGTTTAGTAATTTTGCAGGGAATTAAATAAGAGAAATCCCAATGTAAATAAGGGTAGATGTGAAAAACAGGTTTTTATGATGCTTGATGGGTGCGTGGAGCTTCAAGGGTCCATATTGAAACCTATGGTACTATGATTCACTTACAAAGTACTTAATATGTAAACAACAAACTTTGGATGAAGTGTTTTGACTTGGAATAAAAAGTTTACTCCACTGAATCATTGATAAACTAGGTTCCATAAAAAGACTTGGGGAAAAAAGAGGCACTTAGAGGTTCACATTTTACAAATATTATTACACAAGATTTACCTTTATTAGATCAAAAAATTCAACACCTGGATTGTTTTTTGCTTTGTGACACTTCTGCATCATCAGGCTTTTTCTCAGTATCCTCTTTCTTCTCACTGGTTTCTTCAGTAGCTTCATCTTTTTCTTCTTTGGTCTCATCTTCTTTCTTTACATCTTCACTAATACATCCAAAAATAATATGTGAATATCACTTGTGATCAAACTTATAGCATTGAAGAAAGAAAATAGGAATAAATTAGAAAGCAGAATCATGCTAAATTAACCCTATTACGAAATTCTAATGATGTTTCATAACACTTAGGCATAACATAACCTTTGTCACTTTAGTAACACCGGGAATTTTTGCTGAATTCAGAATCAAATTGAATATATTTTTTTCAAATCGAATATCAAATACTTGGAAGATATGTAATTGTATGCGACTTTTTTATTATAATAGATCCTCCAGACACATTAATTACTAAAAACATAGAATCTATCACTCAGTCAGTTCGCTGAACTACAAATTTATTAAACAGAAATAATTAGCAAAGTAAATCCAAATAAAGGCAAAGTTAGATTATAAAATACTAATTTAGTAACACTCACAATGCAATCGTAACATAATAGAGTAATCGTCTGATAAATTTGAGAATCAATAAACCATTATTAAACATTGAACAAAACAAACCTCTTGTCACCATTTTCAGTAGAAATGGTATTTTCAGTCGAAGGTTGTTCATGATTATCTGTTTCCATCTTCTCCTCTTCATCTCCTTTCTCCTGCTTTATATCACCAGTATTTTCTGTTGAATCCTTCCTTTCTTCTCCAACTTGGAAATATACTTCTGTGTTATTCAATGACAATTAAATTTCTAATAAATAGCTACAATGTTTCAGCAAAATTTTAAACCTACAAAGCAGAATTCTACACACATAAGAAATATTTAAATTGACCCCAGAACCAGAGTGAAAGTAAAGAAATGTGCTTTCAAGTTTTTTTTCTTTTTAGGTGACTGGCTAATCACATTTTAATACATACAGTATTAAAATTAAATTTATATTTTTATAGCAATACACAGAGCATAAGACCATCAACCATTACACTAAAGATAAAATTAAGACGAAAACAAAAAACAGCTGCAAAATGCACTCTTGTCCTGTTGTGGGTCAGACCGCTTCACTTCAGTCTTCGGTACTCATTTATTTCCTATCATTTAATCGATTTTTATTTAATTTTTCTTATTTACCAGTAATTATTTCATTTAATGTATATGACAAGAATGGCTAACGCCAGGCCAGGGGGTCACAAAGTCACTCAGCTTGTCACTAATTATGGAAAAAGATATCCAATAACTAAGCCAAGTAGTACGGATACAAATATCACATAAACAACATTCCAGGATTGATTTAAAAAAATAGTACCAAATTTCTACACAATTGATCAAAATTCTGAAATGATTATAAGGTAAATACTCTATGTGAGCAGGTTAAATTTACACAGCCTGATTCAGATGTCCAATTAGTCATTGATAATAGGTAGTTTTAAAGCAAAAAACACTGTATTTGGTCAAATCGAAATTGAAATACCTCCTGCCGCATCAGATTTATCTACTTTTTCTACCTCATCTTCTTTCTTATCTTTAGAATCATTTTCCTGTTTGTCCTTCTGCTTACTCTCAGTTGATCTAATGATACATTAACATGAATGAACAAAAAATAAGTTTTTGGAATATGTATAACTATAAGGCCCAACGGAACTATCAAGCATCGGATAAATGAGCATTGTCTCATTACTTCCCAGTGAAGATCTACTTTACATTGTAATTTTTCAAATAATATTTGTTAATGAAGACATGATATTACTGATACAGATCCAATCACTTTCCAAAAGTAGGACAAAATCTCACTTTTCTTTATATTTATCTGATTTTTTGCCTTTCTGTGGAGACTTTGATCTCCTACTTCTTCTGGAACGATGCCGGTCTCTTGATCTGGAACGACTTCTTGATCTGGACCTACTACGAGATCTGCAATACATGAAACTATGATTTGTCATATTGGCACTCGGTAGTATTCAGTTGGAAGCTAATCAAAAATAAAACCACGCTTCGATTTCAATATTTTCAGATCCGAATCAGTTGAGTGTACATCATGATATAGTTCAGGGGTGGGCACACCGAGGCTCGCCAGACTTTTTGTGCGGCTCTTCTCGCTAACATAAATTATTATCCAAATTTCAACTAAGAGAAAAACTTTAATGTAAACTCTTTTAATTTATTACCAGTCGTAAAGAAGTTTTCGTCAATGATTAAAACAAATTATGTTTTAGTATGAAAATCGATGTAGCGTTGAATTTAAGTCAGTCAAGTCAGCAAATCTTTCGTCACAATGGTCAATGTTTATTGATGCGGCGGCGGTATTGCAGCTTAATTGCGGTTAGTCTAAGTTACTGTGCGATATGTCCTCAATTAAAAAAGTACGAAGATGAAAACAGAGTTGTCAAGTCAGAATGGGAAGAAGAATACGCATTCACCAGTCAGGAGAATAAACCTTTGTGCATAATCTGCCATAAGCTACTAAGTCAGAATAAAGTCAGCAATGTTAAATGGCACCATGAAACGAATCATGAAAACTTCTTTACAAGACTACCCTTGTAAATCAGCTATAAGGAAACACATATTAAATGAGCTCAAACTGTGCATATATTAGAGCATAGCTGCCTTGTTTATCTATTTATTGTTATTAGACTCTTGTGTGAATTTCCTTTCTGTTCATGGTATTTTGATAATAATAATAAATTCACAATTTCTCCATCCCTTTTTTTAAGTTCTGACTTGCAGCATGCGGCTCTTATACTAAAAAATTGTGCCCACCCCTGATATAGTTTTAGATCTTATTTAGAAAATCAGAAAAAGATATCTCATATTGGTAATCTGTAAAAGACGCTTATTACCTCTATAATAATGTTTTAAATTATAACATAATATATTAGATTATAAAATGACCATCAAATTTCTTGTGTCATGTAGAACAGACAGTCGCCTAGAAATGGAAAGTTAATTTCAGTCCAGTAATATGGATAGATTTTTTGAAGTGTGAATAAATTAAAGTTAATGTATGATTGACATGAACCAAATTTGCTGAAATATTTTTACAGGCACAATGTTACAGTTTGCCACCATGTTACCACTTCAAAAAACGAAACCTTTCAACTAATCCTCATCACAGACAGAAATTGAAAGATGAGTTTCAAATCGTCATCTCACATGCGTTGCATAAAATACACTTGTATAGAATAAATAAAAGATATCCAATATATTTCTCAAAAAAATTTCCGATTAATTTCAGGTTTACTGCATTTGAAAACGATCACTTGTAAGGACCCTTGTTACGCTAATTTTTTTTAGATATTGCGCATAGTGAACACATAATAATTTTTCGCAAAACTTAAAAACCACTCACTAATATATTGTATCGAAATTCTTAGAATTATTAAACATACACCACCCGATATAAAAACCACAAGATATGATACTGTGAGATGTTTAATTCAACTCTGTACTTACCTCTTAGTTTTTCTTTTTTTCTCTTTATCCTTTTTCTCCGAAGCCTTTATTAAGGCAGCTATCTTTTCCGCTTCAGCCTGTTGAATGATGAAGCCAAAATATTAGTTAGCCAAAGCATCAGAAGTTATGCATATAGTGCACACAGCATTTAAACTAATTGCCCTTTTCAGGACTAAGGCACACAATATTTGAGAAGTATTAGATAAAAACCACCCCTTAATTTTACAAGAACATAACATGGTTTTTGCCGGGATTAGCCTCGCATAATCATATCTATAATATATTGTTCAGGAAAACAATTATGTTTTAAGCCAGCCTTCTTGATGCCTGATCCAATCCAAGATTAGCACCTCGATCTTATTACACATCAAATTAATTAGGAGTAAATTAGTTGTTTTAATAGTCGTATATGAGAGGTTCGAGATATTGTCCTATTTAATATTCACATACCTGGCGAAGTTTTATCTCTTCTTTCTTTTGTTCCATAAAAGACAAAGGGATACCAGTAGCACTTTCTTGTGCTGATGTAAGAAGCGGCCACAATTGTCCAAGGAAAAGTCTAGAATTCTTGGCGTTCAAAAATCCAGTGAGATTTATTTGAAGATTCTTTGGGTCAGGATACTAATACAAACAAAAAATAAACATGAACTATATAGATAACCATTCTAATAAAAAATCAGCATGTGTAGAACTGTACATATGGCATACTTTGTAACTAATAAGACAATGTTCAGACCCAATTTTCTAACCATTTTAATAAAAAATCAGCATGTGCAGAAATGTACATATGGCATACTTTGTAACTAATAAGACAATGTTCAGACCCAATTTTCTGGGGTCGGTGCATTAATACTTTCCGATCAGAAAATATTGTGAAAGAACAATAGCACGCCTTCCCATCAGTTTTCGTTAATCGCCGTTCATACAGTGAATCTGTAATATCTCTGCAGTGAATATTTGCATTTGTGTGTGCATCACTAGCAAAAGCATTTACCGATACTGTCCTCATAAAAATAATGTTATTAAAATTTGAAAACAAAGAGATATTCCTAATCTTTCATTTGATTAGGTTCTTGACAAACATACCGCCAATATAATCATCCTTCATGAGGCGATTAGGATATGTATCTCATGACTATCATGCAAAACTTGATTTTGTTTCGGCTCAATCTGGACGTGTCACAATTAGGGATGGGCAATATAGAATACCGAATCCGGAGGATTCAAAGCCCAAAGTATTCGAATCCAGCGGGATCCGATAACAAAATTCGGTTTCCGCCTCTCCAGCGTCTGCTCGCAATAAACCCGTGAAATCGGTAAACATCAGACACTGTAATCTCAATCGGCATATTCAAGACACGAAGTCGGCGAAGTACACCTCACGGCAAAGACTCGTTATTGCACCATTTTTGCGTTTTTCTGCTTTGCTATCTAGCTAGCGTATACTATTATTAATTATTTGTGCCGACTTACTGGCGATATTCCAATAATCTGATTGCAACAATCTTTATTTGGATACAGACGTGCCTTGCTTCATTTTATATTAAATGATTTTTCGCGACCTGCGAGTTTTCTCAAAAAATAATGCATGTGAACCAAAACCAAAAGCGTTGAATGTTATAACATTACTTGCGATTAATTTACATCAAATATCATTTACGAATAATTTTATTACATCCTTTTTTCGAAATACAAAGTTATATCGCAAAACGTGAAAATCTGTCACATTTGAATTTCACTCTCAAAAGATTACATATTTTTCGGTCAGTTTCTATCGTTCAAGATAGACGCACATTTGATCGGGTGTTTGTAGTATTTTAGTCGCCAATAAATTTAAAAAAAGTTGTCGCATCTGGCAGAGATAGTGACGTATTGAGTCTTTGGATGTTATTACCTAATAACTAAGTACGAAATCGTGTTTACAAAAACTTGGTTCCACGAGTCTTGCTCGCACAGAATTAAAAGTTGATTTTAATTGATAGCGCTTCAATTTAATATTTTACAATGGGTGCATAGGTTGCAGTGGCAACAAGCTGGTCCTGCTTATATGTAATTCTCAGTGGGTATGTTGTAGTACACTCGGCAGACCTAACATTAATAATGATTTAACGATGTTTCATATCTATATTTGTATTTAACCGCTTACTATTAAAGTGTTCAAAGCGTGCCTTGATTTAGAATATCAGTATTTAGGGATAACATACATTTGGAACAATTGGAAGGCAAAATATATTGTAATATTCATAAAATTTATTGTCCTGGGAAATGCCTGTTTAATATCAAATGAAATCAAATGTCCAAATGAATAATACATTTATAGTAATACATTTAAAAATTTTTAACATCAAAATCTAGCAATGTGGAAATTCCCACTCTTTGAATAAGTATGAAAATAGATTAGGATTCGGTATTCTAGATTCGATTTAACTATTCTATAATAGTAAATTATCCTACATTGCCCATCTCTAGTCACAATGCTGAAAAATATATGTAAGGAAAGAGAATTTCAAAAAAATGAAATGAATTTTACTCAAATAAATAAAAACTTTCATACTCTTTCCTCCAGGTGATTAAAAACATATTCAATGACGACATCATCTTCAAAGCCAAGCATTTCAGTAATTGTCTTCGTAATCCAAGGTTTAATTGTTTCCACATTGATCTTGTTCATATCAATCTGAATGAAACATGGCTGATCTCAACTTTAAAAACAAAAACGCTAGAAACACGGTGAACTACAATAAATTTACATTTGATGAAAATATATAAATACATCCTGATACAATACTGCAATAGTTAAGTATTTTAACCATGTAACCCTTATAAAAAATGAATGAAATATTATCCTACAGAAATAATAACAGCAAATATGCCTCAATATTTAAGAATTCGATTCGAAGGTTATTGAAAGTGCCAATCCAGCAATCCCTATAAAAAAAAATGAAATGTTACCTTGCTCTCCAAACCGTCTGCAAATTTCATCGATTTCAACAACTTTTTTTGCTTGTTGGCAAAACGATTATCTTGCTCGGCACTGGTGCCCTAAAGAAATGAAATGTGAAAGCTAAAATATCCAATCTATAATTTGACTAATTTAATCCTATTTATAATTTGTGCAAGCTTATAATACGAATAACAAAGTAGGAAACAGATGCTTTGAATTTTGCGGATCCAATATTCTAAATTGACCATCCCCAATTATGTTAATAATCTTATGTAATAACTTAACCTATAAGTTAAAACATATCTACAGTATCTAAGAAAGTAGATCCGATCTTATAAATCAAAAAATAGAGAACCAACTAACGTAAATGTGAAAAACAGTGAAATGAGTGAGAATGACCAAATGCAGAAAGCTGAGGTTGAAAATGAGATAGTTCAATTGAAACCTAACATTTTAGATTTATTTAACGATGAAATGATTGAGGCTTACCCTGAAAAATCCTGCATCCATTTTTTTCACTTTACGCCTATTGCTAGTGACCAAAATGTATTACCTTGAGGTTCAAATTTTAGAATTAGATTTTGGTCAATTCATCAGTCAAATCAAAATTTTAAAATCATTAATCGCAAATATGTCAAGAATAATTTAGTTTGATTAAATTGAGCATTGAAAATTTGTTGTTTTTGGATTGAATATTACAGTAACAAACGGCGCAGCCGTCACATTAAGAGACATCAATGATAAGACCAAAATTACCCCAGCCCACATTCAGCCTGACGTCAAGGGGTTAACCAACTATTTTACTGACTTTATAAATGTTATTACATAAAAACTTGGTGACTCTGACAACATAGAGACCATATCTGATATACACAACGCAAATACAATACCAAGCACGGCCCAGTTACCCCTAGTATGGCCTGACAAAAACGAGTGTGGGCTAGCTTCACACAAGTGTAGGCTAGCGCTAGCGTCAAACGAGTGTGTGCTGGCATCCCACGAGTGTGGGCTAGCGTCAAACGACAGAACGAGAGTGGGCTGACGTTCTGACAATGTTTCACCGTAAGTCAAGGCATCCTAAACGTTCACAGAATTCTAAATTACATATATCCATGTTTAACTCAGCGCCAGAACCTCTCAAAGTCCGGCAATTGATGGCACAGCCACAATTTGGGTGAGCGAACACGTACTAGATCTACTTCTTTTATCAATACCTTTCCATCTAAAATCTGTACGTTTCAAACCTTACTCGAGGTTTTGTTCGCTCTCCCGATTCTATAATCAGTTACTTTTATTTTTGTTTTTATCTATTATTATCGTCTATTGCTGATTATGGAGTCGAAATAAACTTATACTTATATAATTGCCGGGAAAATGAATCAAAATCAGCTGAACAATAATATCTCTTATCCCTTTTGCCAGGTATGTAGGTAAACAAGCATGAATTCACAGGAGGGTTTCACAACATGAAAATTTAAATCTAAGCGAATATCAAACCTATTCATTTCCATCAATAAAATTGAGGTATGAACAAATCGAATCTGATTTGCACAAATACATCTTTTAAAATAAAGATTGAACAAGCAAATTGAGTAACATTTATCCAAAGATATACATTGTCTTGATGGCTTTGAAGTCTGATTTCGGCACTTCTAATACTCTGTACACCATGAAATTGACTTATTACATTATATATCTAATTATCCAACAAATAACGAAAAGTTCTACCGGGGAAAAAAACGGAATCTACCTATGTCTAACGATAATCCTATTTCACTATAATAGTATTTTATGTCAAAATGCGGCAGGGAATTGAAACTTTTATATTATTTTGTACATCACGCAATTTGCCTTTTATATTATATAGTGAATTATCTTACAAATTCTAAAAAATTCTACGGGGGGGGGGGGGAAGACTTTAAAATAAAATCGGAATCTACCTATGTCTAACGATGATCCTAATTCCCGATAATGGTATTTTATGACAAAATGCAACAGGGAATTGAAACTTTTCTATTAATTTGTACATCACGAAATTTGCCTATTATATTATATAGTGAATTATCTTACAAATACTGAAACATAAAAAATTTTACCGAGGGGAAAGACTTTAAAATAAAACCGGATTCTACCTATGTCTAACGATAATCATATTTCCCGATAATAGTATTTTATGACAAAACGCAACAAGAAATTGAAACTTTTCTATTAATTTGTCTGTTGGTGTCACGTACGTAGACCAAATTCCTGTCTCGCCTTCTCCGGTTGCCATTTCCAGCCAGTAGGCACGTGATAAACCATCCGAGGTAAATACTTCATTAGTTGACTGATGGGTGTATTACTTAACTATTTGGAATCCTGACAAATGATTTAGCCATCATTGTATTAACATCTTCGGGCTCGGATTTTTCTGTTATTCCTTCATTTTTTTTAAGCCAAATACTCCCGTATTATCTGCTAGGATTGTGAAAGGAATCGCGTATGGAATAGATTGCCACTCGTCCACCGACTCCTTTGTGCGTTAATCCCCTTCGTGCAGGGGTCATATGCTCTGGCTGCTGGGGTGTTCCATTTTTGATTATAGTGCGCTATAGGATAAACGTTTTCGAATGGTGATTCCTTCCCCTCTTTTGTTTGAAATATGACAGCACCAAACCCGTTCTCTAAAGCATCCGTTACGACATACAATAGAAGCTTTTGGTCTACATCATGTAATATTTTCGTGTTATTTAGTTGGCGTCGTGCGATTTTGTAGTCTTCAAGTAATTCTTTAGTCCATACTACTGGCGTGCCTCTGCTTCTTGTGGTAGGTACGTTTCCTGTTAGGGCGTCAAACTTCGCTAGTTTCCGATTTAGTTCCGGAATATGATCTGCTATATACCTCAGAGCCCCGATCCATCCTCTGAGTTTGTATATATTTCGCGCCGGTGGTAGTTCTTTCATCATCTTCAGTCTTTCCGGTTGAACCTCTATTTCTTCCCCACTCAAGGTGGCGCCTAGCAGGTTGATCTTGATCTAGCAGGTTCGTTTCCAATAAAACAATTATTGATGCTTAAGATTGATTTCATTTTGTTAATTGTTCGAAGGTCATTTAGAGTAACGTTAGGTGGTCCTCGACTGTTTTAGTGCTCAGGAAGATGTCGTCTATGTATGCTTCTATCAGCGACGCTTTTTGCTCCTCCAATCACTTTTTGTTAGTCACGTGTTCCCGATACGTCGCTGTTATGGGTTTCACCACACACTCTTGCATGTTAGCCGACCATAACGCAACGGCAGTTTTGAGTCGCATTGGAATATTGCACCAACGTATGTGTACCCCTTTCACTGTTATTCCAAGAAAGGTTCTAAATGCTTCGGTCATATCACAATGAAAATAGGCTTTCTTGAGGTCGAGTAGCGTGAGTACTTCTCCTCCTTGTGTCATTTGCTTTATATCGGGTATTAAGGAAGGCGGTTAAATCGATTGGCTCTATCGTCGCATTTTATTTTTGACGGACCCCCATCCTATGCCGTATCAATTTCTGTGCCTAACCAACGAGGAAGGATCATGTTTCCTTTGACGGAATAAAACTCATAAAAGTCCGATTCAATACATATTGAAGGTATAATACTGGTAGACCAATGGCAATTTGATAAGATTATAATCTATTTGCTACCTTATATCCGGACTGCCGGTACTAATTGAACACATGGACCTAATTTAATTTGTGTATATAACTACACTGTCACACAATTAGGTAAATTTTATTTCATGCCTCTTCCTTGCTGCAACGATAACACACTCAAATGTCCTGAGGAATTTTGTGACGCGTTCCACGACCACATCAACACGATCGAACCAAGCATAAAATTTACCATAGAAAAAGAAGTCAATGGGACAATAGCCTTCTTAGATGTCCAGATACAGAGTGAAGGAAATGGAGAATTGACGACTGATATATTTAGGAAAAAGACCCATACTAATCGCTACCTTAATTTTAACTCTAGCCACCCGCTTGACCATGAACGTTCAGTGGTTAGTAGTCTTATGAATCGTGCCAAAACTCTTATATCGGATGAAACAAAGCAGAAACAAGAAATAAATTTCATTAAGAAGACTTTACGACAAAATGGATATCCAACGAAAATGTTCAGAAATCATGTAAATCTCCAAAAACCGCCTGATAAACCCATACCATTCGCATCTACCACCATTCCGTATGTCCAAGGACTAAGTGAAAAAATTCGAAGAATTTTGGAAGACGTTAAAATCAGAGTAAGTTTTAAACCCCAAAACACTATCGGCCAATTGCTCTCCAACGTCAAAGACCGCCCATGCCCTAAACAAACAAAAAAACGGAGTTGTATACGCAATCCCATGCAGCGATTGTTCTTCAGTCTACATTGGAGAAACCAAAAAGAAGCCTGGAAACTCGCAGCAAGGAACATCTACGAGATATTGAGAAAATTGACAAGTCGGCCCTTTCGAAACACGCCCTTTCTAATAACCATAGCATCGACTGGGAAAACAGCAGGATACTAGAAAAAGAAACTCACTACAGGAGAAGACTATTTCTCGAATCTTATCACATAAATAAAGAGAAGAATTTGATGAATGACAAAGAAACCACACTTTTCCCGCCTGTGTATAAATCATTGTTTAAATAGTCTCCTTTTTGTTTGAACTTGCGCTAGTTTGTTTATTTATACATATTATCTTATCATCATCCTTTTAGATTAGAGTTGACGCCATGATAATTTTTTCCATATTTTTCTTTTTTTCTTTTTCTTGCTTTATATATATCCACTTGTGTCCTTTCCATATCATGCCCTGATAGGTTTTTCTGTATAGAAATTTGAAACGTCGGCAAATTACATCGTTTTGCTAACACAGGTTGTGCTTCAGTTATTATCAACAGGCTCAAATGACCTTAGCAAAGTCGCAAAAGTTATCGACTGGAGATAACTCAGTATCCCATATCAATTTTTAACGACAATGTAGCCCTGTGACAGAGGTCTACCTCACAGATGCTAAAAGCAAGCATAGTTCGACATCTTTTTCATCCCGATTGTTTCGTAACAATAATGATTTGCGATTGCGTGGAATTTTTGACTGTATCTCGTTTACGAATGTTTCAGACTCTTTTCATATCGTTGCGGACCTCCTGTGCAGTCGTCGCGGACCGCACTTTGGGAAACCCTGCTGTAGATGACCCTTTAACTCTTTGGCGTAGGGCTTATATACCCCGTCCTTACTTCTTTCGATATTATTGTGTTTTCGGGCGGGGTATACATCTATTTTGCGACTGTTACTGCTTTGTCGCTAAATCTCTGTAACACCTCCCTTACTTCCGTGCGTCATCGCCGATTTCCAAGACTTGACCTCTCTATTCAGGGCTGGGACTCTATCCTCCGGATTTAGTCCCAGGGCTGAGACTCTATTCTCCGGATTTGGCCCCCCTTTTGTGCGCTTGGATGTCTGGCCTTATGAACTCCGTTCTCGACCAGATGTATTTGACAAGTTTGCATGCAACTCTGTATTTTGCCCTTCCGCGTAGGCTCCTGACAAAGGGTCGTCACCCTCTGATTCTCCCCCGGTCATTACCTAAATTACTTATACACGACCACGGGTCTTCATTTTTGTCGTTATCGACTGCAGCGCTTGT